TCCCCCCGCCCCCCCTGTGGTTCATGGTCTGTGGTTCATGGGTTTAGGGTTTAGGGGTTTAGGGTTAGGCTGTAGAGTTCAGGATTCTCACTCTGGTCTATTGGTTCACTGTGGGTTTAGGGTTTATTTCGGGTTCAAGGTTTGGGGTAATGGTAGGTTTACGGGTTTCCCTCTCCCCCTGTGGTTCGTGCTGGGTTTACGGTTCAGAGTTCAGGGTTAAAGCCGCCCTTCTCACGTTCATTGGTGGGTTTAGGTTTTAGGGCTTGGGGCTCAGGGTTTGGGGTTTAGGTTGAGGTTTCTTTGTCCGCCGTGGTCCGTGGTGTTTTTAGATACCATGGGGGGGGGGGGGGGGGGGTTGTCGATTACGCGGAACGCTGTCGCAGATAATCCCTTAAAGGGTATATAGCCCCTTAAAGGGACTGCCAGGAAATGCCTCCAATGCTTTTTGTTTTGAGGAACGTGTCGCGTTGGCCTCGGTGCTGAACAGACTTGGCGATGCCAAGAGTGCCGCAGGCGTGGGGCGCTGAGATAGAGATACAGTGGTAGCCTGAATGCGTCGAGTTCAGAGGTGAGATGATGAAAGCTAGATATGTGAAAAGTTATTTGGTATTTTCTATCCTCAACATAAAGCAAGTAGTGTTAAAAAGGGCCAAACAAACGTAGACTAAAAAGCATCCTGAAAAGGAAAAACATGGTACGGGGCCGCCCTCACCTTTTTGCTTTTGTGTTACCTTGTTTTTCACTTTGTGTTACCTCTTTTGCCTTGTTTTACCTTTTCTGCCATCTTCTCATGTTTCTTTTGTGTTGTTACCTTTTCCTAGGTCTAGGTAAAAGCCCAGCTTTTCAGGATCCTTTTTGCTGCTTTTTTACAGAATATACCGGCTAGATGTATGTTTGCAGCGAAACTCACGACAAGCCAGGGACTCTGACTCCTGCTTGAGTCATGAGCATTACATTTGCCCAGGTAATCCGATTCTACACATCTGCGGCGCTTTGCATCTCGTGCCTGGCAGCATTCTGCAACCTGGCATGGGAATTGTGGCAGTATCTCCGGGTTCCTCGGTAGGTCGACCCATTGTTCTTAGACAGGCTACGTTGGCTTGGGAGATCACACTTTGGATCTGAAGTCCGAGGCCACTGCAAGCGACTCTACTCGGGGCTCTTCTTCGAGGACGGCAAGCCCCCCTGGTTCTTAGTAGGGAATGAAGGAATTAGGGCCTTCTACATATACATATAGATATATATATATATATACCCTCTAAGGGATTGTATAAGGTACCTCATTCCCTCATTCCCTACTAAGAACCAGCCAGAAAGGTCATAAGCTTACTCGACACAATCTACCCCTTCTGATGCCCAAGCGCGGCCCACAGCCCCAGCTCCGACTGAGCTCCCTCTCAGATCAGCTGGGACTCCGCCGACGAATCGCAGCGCTGGCGGACAGATCGTTTGGAAAAGAAGCGTCCCAAGGTTGCAGGGATTCGGGCTCGGCAAGAAGTTGTAGTGCGGCAATCCACCGGGCGCCGCCTTAAAGAATTCAAAGACCAAGTCTAGGCAAGTCAGACCGAATGGGGGGTTCGGAGTCTTTCTCGATCCGTATTTGGCAGCTCACAGACAAGAAGTCGCGACTACATGGTGCAGATGCAGTGTAGTGCTAATGCGTTGCAATCGCCTGACGCGCATCTGACCTTGGTGGTTTTCTTTCAGGATCTTCAGGACTGAAACAGACTGAAACCATACACGACGCTGCAGTTCAGATCTGTAAGCTAACACGTCTAAGTCCACGTCGCTTGTGGCATCGAGTACTTGTCAGTAGCTTGTAGCTTCGCCTCGCGCAGTGCCGAAAATGGCACGTGCCCCAGGGGATGATAAGGGAGGTGCATCTGTGCATCTGTGCACAATTAGGGGGTTTAGGGTTTAGGGTCTAGGGTTTAGGGTTTAGGGAAGAGCGGAGAGGCCGGGTGGGCAAAGCTCACAACGAGGTGACACCGTTGGAAGTTGGCTGCGGCAGCGCAGGCCTGCTGGGCCTGGGCGCTGCCATCATGAGAGCGCGAGCCTTAAGCTGCTCGTTGGAGCATGATGCCCGAGCTTCCATGAGGTTCCTGTGCGGAAAGCTTATAACCCTAACTTTCAACCCTCAACTCACCTTTGATGAGTTGGCGGGCGCCGTCGAGCGTGCAGCGAGAACATGGCAGGGTTAAAGTGTAGGGTTTAGGGTTTAGGGTTTAAGGTTTAGGGTTCAGGGTTTAGGGTTTAGGGCTTGGCCACCCGGCTCGGTCTCGGAGGGTTTCCGGAAAAAAGGGCCCTCCGGCTTAGAAGGCCGCCAATAAGGCTAAACTTGACTTCCAGAAACAGTTTTCAAAACACGATTCTGGACCAGAAGTTTTTGGAGGCCCTTCTGCCAAGAACCTTTCCGACCGGAATTGTTGGCTGCCTGGTTGCGATTCTAGACCCGAACATCTTCGATGAGAAGGGCCTGTCGGCCTAGAATTCCCTGGCCGGAAGCCTTGAGTTTGATTTCCAGACAATTTGTTGACCCAAAATCCTCGCTGGGAAAAGCCAGTCGGCATAGAACACCCGCAGCTACAACCTTAACTCGGACACGATTCTGAACCTGCAAATTTGATAGGTTCGATGTGTGAGTTTGGTCTGGCTAGCTCTGGCTTTGGCTGGCTTTGCTTTGGCTCGTTTTGCGTAGCATTCGGGTGGACCCTAAACTCCAGATCCTAACTCCTAGGAGCCCAGATCCGAAGCTCAAAAATGGAGGCCTGGGACTCTTGGTCCTTCCGACGCGGCACCGCCGCCGCCCTGGCGGATCACTCCCCGCCTCTCGGAGACCAATGCGTTCCTCAGGAGTTTCAGAACGGTTTTTAGGGGGGGGGGGGGGGGCCTTCGCATCTGGGGTGGGCTACTATGGGGGGTCAAGCTTCACTTCAGGTGCTGGAAAACCATGGAAAACCCATAGGATCCATCGCCATCTGAAGTTTTCAGGGTGCCGCTGGCCTCGCCTGCGATGAAGTCGCGTTGTCAGCACTGAGAGGATTGACTTGTTGAGCTCTGCAGTGGTGTTCTGTGGCTAGCTAGCATCTGTGCTTAGCTCTGTTGATCAAGGTACATGACCAACCCGGCCCGTCACATCCATCGTGAGTCGCAACCGACACAGCCTCAGTCATGTGCAGTGCTTTCCCTGCGGTCTGCCTTTACCGTGGCTCACAGCTGTCTCGTACATGTGTTTCGAAGCACCGATCATCAGGAGCTACAGCCCCACGAACAAGGTGTCAGCTGAAGCCTGGCGCTGAGTTTGAGTCTGTTCAGGCAGGCTGAAGAACGTAGCCGATGCCCAAGGCCAGCATGGTGTGTGTGTGGACACTCATGCCATGACCATGTTTGTGTTTTCCAGCTCTAGCGAAACTTTCCTCCTGGCTTGAAAAAAGAAATCGTGCGTCAAATGACAAGGCATCCTTGACGATGACAGAGGCAGATCTCTCCAAGCTGCCGGGCATTACTCAGGCCTGTCCTGTTCATCCCCTTCCCTAAGCCCGAAGCCCTAAGCCCTAAGCCCTAAACCCTCAACCCATTGAAAGTGAGGGACCTTGCGGCTTCAAGAAGTCCACCTTGGCCCACGTTGCATCCCCCACAGGCCATGGACAAAAGCGAGTTCTTGGACGTGTTGAGAAAGCTCGGCCCACGGAGTGCATGATCAAAGGGTTTAGGGTTTAGGGTCCAGGGTCCAGGGTCTAGGGTTTTAGGGTTTAGGGTTTAGAAGTTTAGGGTTTAGGGTTTAGGGTTTAGGGTTTAGGGTGTACAGATAGCACAAAAACTCTGCTGCCCTGAGGTTAATCGCAGAGTCAAAGCACCTGCAGAACAATCCACGTCTGGGCATACATCCAGAGGACTGCTGGACAGGTGCCCCTTTTCCTCCCCTATAAGCGACCTTGCAGGTACACTGGTGGCATATTAAAATATTAGGTGCTCTTTCAGAGGTGCTTTTAGTATCAACACGGGCAGGGGGAGTGCCAATAACCAGCATTCAGCCCGTGGGAGAGGAGAAGCGCGCCGCGAGCGTCGTCATGAAGGAGCTGGAGGCAACCTCGTTTGCGGTTGCTGCTGCTATTAAATGGTAGGACCACCTAATCCTAGAAAGCACCGGGAGTTTCGCAGGGGCTCCGGAGGTTCGCAAGTTCCCTGAGTTAAATGGTCCGGAATTCTGGGTAGAGTCCTTCCGGAAGGGCAAGTTTGCATAAGAGGGCTTTGTGAGGGTTTCGGGGGGGGGGGGGTCCCTATTTGCCTCTAGCTACGGCCTCCAGAAAACGTACTGGCGTTCCGGCCTTCAGGGCCTCTTCGAGGTGCTAAGGGAGCCGGTAGCTGCTTGTTGAGTCCCTAGAAAGTCCCTCTTCACTAATTAATAAATCCCCTAAGCTGTTCCGGCACAGCAGGCCTTCTCTACTCGTGCTGGCGGTCCCCTGGTGGTGGAGGCCACGATGTGGTACGGATGCCCTCGTTCGCGCGAAATTCGTGTCCGGACCGCAGGAGCTGGAGTACGTCCCCGGCCGATCCAATGTCAAGGCCACACCATGGAACCTAGGTCCTAGGTGTTGTGCTGGGGCGAGTACCCGGCGTTTTTCGCCCAGGTTCCATCGCAGTCTTGCAAGATGCGTGGGTCACACATTGGCATCAGGTCACATACCCTGGCTCTGGATCCGAAACCACGGCGTTCGTTCCGAGCCCAGCCACAAGAGGAAGCATCACGCCTCCGCGGAGAGCAGCTTAGGGTCCGAGAGCACCCGTACAGCTCATGACTATCTCCCCTCGAATCGCGAGGTGGGGAGCCACTTCGATGTTGTTCCAGCAGACCCAGAGGTCTGGTCTAAGGACTGCGATGGGCACTGGCAGGGAGCCTCTGAGATCCCTTTTGGGGTCCGGCTTTGCCATTGGTCTTATTCTCTCCAGCTGCATTTCTGCACAGATTTTTTTTCCGAGAGGACCCCTTCCAGCTCACGGTGGAGGGCGACCAGCTTTTCGGCAGAGGAACCACCGACTGCCTAGGCCAGAAGCTTGCAGGCTTCAGAGCTCCCGCAATGGAGGTGCTTCGAAGCTGTGGAAAGTTGCATCCGCAGGTCACGTTGCGCTTTTGACCTGCTTCCTGCGCGAGCTGGGGCGCACGAAGCCGCCTTTAAAACGGGGCCATGGCCTCAGGCGATGGAATTCAAGACTTAAACACGAGTTTCAAGCCGAGGCAGGAGCTTAAGTCTATAGGAGGCAACAAAGGAGCAAGGCAGGGCCTAAAGCTCGTGGCAGAGGTATTGTGGTGGTCTTCATCGCTGCCGAAGAAGGTGGCGAGAAGGGAATCGGAGTGGATGCGGTGCTGAAGAATGGAAAGCTAGAGGATGCCCTTCGGCCGAGTGAGTTGCAACAACCACAATAACATACATACATCTAGGGTTTAGGGTTTAGGGTTTGGGGTTTGGGGTTTAGGGTTTAGGGTTTAGGGATCTCTGCAAACCTGGAGCCACTTCAGGCCAAGAAGGGCCCCGTGTACTGGGCGTCTCGGCACCGCAAGAGTAGGGGCACGTTGATGCAATGTGGTGGTGCTTGTTGCATGGAGCTGCGCGATGGAGCTGGGTCCATGACATCATGCATGTCGCGCGCAGGTCGACTCTGCAGATTCAAATCCTTGCTGCGGCACTGCGGGAGCATTGTCATGGCGCGCCGCGCAAAGCCATCCCTAGTTGTGACTACGATGCTTGTAACCTGCCTGTAGTGCCTGGCTCATGCTCTGCTTTTTCTAGAGCTGCCCACACCTGCAGCAGGTCTCTGAAATGCAGGGGGCGCTTATTCCACAGCGGCGTCTCGGCTAACATACGAGAGCAAGAGAGCCCGCTATAGGGGGGGCCACCTACATTCTGGACATTCACGGGCCATATAGTCTGCCGAACACGAACGTTCCTTGAATCTTGGGGTCCCAAAATTTTGCCCAGGGAATTAGGGCATCTCCCATGTGTTGCGTCTTAGTGCCGAGCACGAGGCTTCCCAAACAAGGCGATCAACTCCATCGAGCTTGCCAATGAGGCTTGCTTGTGCAGGGGGGGCTCTTAAGACACAGGGCAGCTCTGTATCTGTAGAAAGCTGAAGGGTGGCACCCTAAGCTACCCCCTCTCAACTCAGAGTGGGCATGGGCGCGCAGGCCATCGCCTTTCTTCAAGAGCGTTTCTACAACGACTTCAAGCCGCTGCCAGAGGAGGAGCTTTACTCCTTCGTCACAGGGTGTGGGTGCTCAAATGGGGGGTTTTACGATATTTGGGGTAACTCACTCATTGGGGTCCCTAGCACAAGTTTTTCTTCCCTGCTTGCAGCGCCAAGGTCGCACATGAAGCCCACTCAAATCGAGTGCAGCAAGGGCTCCTTCAACCAAATTCCTGCAGAGACCACCGTCCATGGCGACATCAGGCGGGGCATGGCGGGCCCACCCGATGCTCACTGATCATAATCCTTTTAGAAGTTTCATGTCGGACTTTTGCTGGGATCTGAGACAAACATAGACAAACTGCAGCGGATGTGCATGATAGGAGTGTCTGCTTCCAGGCTGTCTCCCTTCTACGAGGTGGAGGATGTTGTGGAGCACATCGAGCGGTACGTCCAGGATCTAGATTTCCGCATGGACAGTGATATTGCATGCATAACCTGCATAACCATGTGCAGAAACCTCAAGATGAAGAACAGGAGCTGAATGACGACATGGAGTGTCTGATCAGTGCGGCTCGAGGCCGAGCCGGGCATGCATGTCCGCAGATCTTGCAGCTTCGCATAAAAACCATCCTGGCGCGGCGCAGGTCCTTGGAGCAAGTTTGTTCTCCCAAAGGGGGTGCAGGCAGGACACATACGCAACTGTAACTGTGAAGCCTCGAAACGTTAAAGTCTCATGATGTATCATGTATTATAAAAATCTTTGCGCTACGCGACGGCCGGGGCCTGCCCAGCAGAAGGGCAACGTAAACCGGAGATCGCGCGTGCTGTTGTTGGAGAGGCTCCGTGCAATCATTCTGTTTTGGGTTTTGGCAGTAATGGGTTTAGGGTTTAGGGTTTGTAGGGTTTAGGGTTTAGGAGATTTGGTGACCGTCCGCTTGCAGATGCCTGTCGGCGCGGCGGGGTGCAAATTCCACGGGGTGCAGTTGGGGATCAGAGGTGAAGTACCCTTTGTACCCCTACGGCCCGAGGCGTCGGCGGATTATATAATTTTCGTTTATACATAAGAAATGTATATATATATATATATATATATATAGATATGTATATATCTAATATGTATACATACATATATATATATATATATGTGTATGTTGTGTGTATACATATATATATATATATACATTTGTTTTTCTCATCCTCACCTCAGCGGCTGGGATCAGGTGCAGGATGGCGAAGTCAGCCGCGCGAAGGCAGGCTCTAGCATGGCTTTTAGGTTGCTTTGATGTGGTTTGGGGTTTGGGGTTTGGTTTAGGGTTTAGGGTTTAGGGTTTAGGGTTTCGGTTTAGGGTTTAGGGTTTAGGGTTTAGGGGGCACTTCTTATGGCAGAATTCCTTCAAATACAGGGCGCCCAGAAGAGGCCGAAGCTGAGAATGCATCGGCACACACACACCTCGAGCCAGCACAGCAAAAGCCTCTACAACCTCTAACATGACTCCTACTCGTGCCCTTAGTTAGGTGAAGGGTTTAGGGCTGGTTGGGTGTAGGGTGTCCGTCGTGTGTAGGGTGTTGGGATCAATTTCTGGCCAAAGGTGGAGCTGAAATGGATGGGCGACATGGACACCTTTCGGCTTTATGCTGGCTTGGCTGTCAAGCTGGAGTCTGATGGTCACAAGGCTCCGGATTCTTGCGTGGCCTTAAGCCCCTCGAACTTTTTAAGGGGTTCGATGGGGTACCTAGTTCCCTAAGTCCCTACTAAGAACCAGTAGGGACTGCTCCAGAACGCGGGAAGCCCCAGCAACCCTTGAATTGCAGGGGGGGGGGGGGGGGGTTACCTTGAACTGCATAGGCTTTAGGTTGTCGAGGCAGATTCCTAATCCAGGAAATTGTCACCATTGGGTATAGATGGCCTGCCTGATCCTGCCTGTGGATGAGGCCCTGGTGCAGGCCTTCCGCGAGAGCAACAAAGGCAGCGTGTTTTTCTTTGAAGCTTGTAGAAGACACCGGAGAGGCGGCGAAACATCTCAAGTTTCCTTCTGAATCTCATCGGTTTTTGGCATTGTCTTTGTCATGAGCGGAAAGCAGCTAGCTCGGAAATGCGTCCGAGATCGTTCTGCAGTCGAGCGTGGCTGTGGCTACGCAAGCAGGTGTGCAGCCCTTCAGCATCAACGGCTCGCTCCCGCCTGGGCCCAGAGTCTCCCGATCTATCGGCTGCCAGAGACAGCATGGCTTGGTTCCAGGTTGGTCAAGATGATGCAGAAGGCTGGCAGATCGAAGACGACGGTGTGGTTTGGAAACATTGAACAGCCCGCAGGCTGGCTTCGACATACAGATGTGCGGCTTTGGCAAGATGTCCGTCTATCACGGCGTCAACGAGTGCCCCATAGCCTCATTTTCTTGTGGCTTGCAACTCGTTGTCGGATGGGAAGGTACTGCACACTGTCGGAGATGATGAAGGCACACGAGGTCATCGTTCGCCTGGTGTGTCTTCTGGACCGGGGTTTTGCTTCGAGCCAAAATGCACCAAGACCTCAAAACTTCTAAAAGAAAGTTCTCATGTGCCCCCACTAGTTCGGCTTTGACCCCTAGTCAGCACAGCAATGAGAACAAGAGAACGATGCCACACCACGTCACCTAAAGGCGAAATCGAATGGCTGCTCCCCTCAAAGCAAGCCATAGACCCAAACCCAAATTTTCGGTGTTGCATGCAGGAGAGCGTTGCAAAGTGAGCCAGTTCCTGGACCGTTTATCTTTAGACTTCCTTGGGATTCTACGAGAGTCGTGGTCACAGACAAGCTGAGCATTGCGGTATATAGATTTGAGAGAGCGGTTGCAGTCCAAGTTGTTCTTCGAATCCCGAGGATGTAAGTAGGATCCACCGGGAGTGCGTCCCAAGCCGCTTTTTGCAGGCGGCCTGCACGCCTGGTCTTATGTCCATGTTCTTTTGTATGGATGGTTGAGGGCTAAGCACCTGATCACAGTGTGGAGAGCCTTGTATGAAGGGAGCTGCGTCAGAGGAATAGCGGCTAGCGGCTCAGCATCTTTCGGCCCAGTTGGTGAAGCTGTCCATGAGAACCGCACCCAAACTTGTGAGTTTGGAAGCTGCACATTCGGGCAAAGGGCCCAAGAAGTCCATGAAGCCCACTGATGCTGTAAAGAGCTTTCGACAGATGGTTCCTTTCACAGCCGGCTTCATCGGCAGGCGTGTTGACATGACATTGTGAGCCTAGCTTAACAGAGCCTGCAACCAACAAGGCAAACACCAGCCTCTCATGTACATGTATCCGACTAGCAGTGGGAGACATTGCTGTTTGAATGCGTTCGGTTGCCGGCAAGTCCATGCGAGATTGAGATGCAAGTACTGTGACTTTTCCCGCGCGGAGAATGCCCGCATACACTGGTCCCGGCCAGATGCCATGGAGGGATAGACGTTTGTGAGTGCGCCTTGATGAATGGTTCGCCATTGCAGCCAAAGCCTTATTGATTGCTGTCGATCATGTGATGTGTGTGTTTCAGAGCTCGGGGGGGGGGGGGGGGGGAGACCCACGGAGTACCCCTCCCAGGAATTTTTCGAGCACATCTCAAGCCGCATCTCCTGCATCGTCACCAACAAAATGCTCAGGCGGACTCAGACCGTTAAGGCGTTAAGCCTTCGGACACTTTTGACTGTTTCAGTGCGAAGGAGCAGAGTGTGCAAGCAGCTGCGCGGTCGTAATTTGGACGTCTGCATGTTGGACATGGCTAGTTTGTGCTAAATTCGGGTCCCTTTTTGGGGACCCATAATCAGGCGGCACCCTTTAAAACGGAATCCCAAAAAGGGACCCTAATTTTAAGAACTATCCGCATGAGTTTCCTGAACATTGGGCGGGGAGGGGCAGAAGACGCTCCTGACGCAGGTGGTTTTCGTGCTACGACGCAGTCTGCACCCTCCAAGTTAATGGACGGACAGCTCACTTTGTTGAGGACTGGGTTGCCCAAAGACTGTACACCTCCCTTCAATACCCAATGACCAAGTTTCAGGGTGCAGGTACCCTATATACTCCCTTAAACGGTATAATATATATAAATATATAAATATAAATACATAAATAAGTAAATAAATATGTATATACATATATATATATATAGGGTCCCTTAAAGCCTTAAAGGGTATGTATATATCTATCTATATATATATATATATATATATTTGTACTATATAGGGTCCCTTCTCATTCCCCCATTCCCTACTAACCAACAGTAAGTAGGAAGACGCTTCGAGAAAGACGGGGCTCCAATCGCCCGGCTGCGCTGAGCCCACTGCCTCCATCACCGCGCCTGGACATGTTTGGGGATTAGGGGCTCAGGGGGGTTTAGGGGGGTTTAGGGGGGTTTTAGGGGGTTTTCGGGGTTGTCAGGTTTCTGCTGGTTTAGGGGCTAGGGGGTTTTGGGGTTTTTGGGGTTTTGGGGTTTTGGGTTTTGGGGCTTTGGGGCTTTGGGGCTTTGGGGTTTTGGGGTTTTGGGGTATTGGGGTATTGGGGCATATGAATTGTCGCAGCCTGGCCTAATTCGAGTTTGAGTCTGCACCCTAAACCCCAAAACCCAAAACCCTAAACCCTAAACCCTAAACCCTAAACCCTAAACCCTAAACCCTAAACCCTGTTTGTTTCTGCAGGGTTGGGGTTTTTTTTGGCAGAAGCTGGCAGCCGACCCAGGCCTCGGTCGCCACTCTCGCTGAGCCGCGGCACATCATGCCCGCCACAGGGGCCCGGAACCCGGCCCCCATTTGGGTGTGTTACGACAGTAGTTATTGGGGGATATTAGGGGATATTACGGGATATTACGGGATATTAGGGGTACCTTCTTGGGGTCCTATTGTAAGGAGATCCTACGATTTGGTGGGTCTCCCCATTTTTTCGTAAACCTCCATTTCTGAAGGGCTAGTATCGCTTAAATTTCAGCCCTTCTGCCAAGTGCCGTGCTTCAAAATTTTGGAGAGGAGGTTGACAGTTGGAGCATGGATGATTGTCATCGAATTCGAGTGGACGAGCACTGCTCAAACTCGCGAGCCCAGCAGCACCTACTTAGTTTTTCTGTTCGCAGCTGGGACCCCTTTCTGATCGAGGGGTGATGCCTTCGGCTTCAGGCATTGCCCCACACGCCAAGGGGACAATGGTCGAGTTAGCGCAGCCGGAAGGGCACCAGCCAAATGTTTGGACTTGCTTTTGCCCTTAGTTCCGCTGCCGGTGACTCGATCGGTTACTGCCCTCCTGCCTGTCTTGCTCGGGCTTGGATTCAAGAAGTGGGTTTGGTAGGTTTCGCCCCTTGACCTAGCGGCAACATTGTGCCAAAGCCCCGATGACGCCGGCGGAGGGGCAGAGACGGACCGTTACCGTAGGCCGGAGACCCTCATTTTCACTCACTCATTATTTAGCAGTCGGAAGTACTACATGTTACATATATGTTCGAAGGCCACGTGTGCATGATGGAGCTGCGCCATGAAAGGCATCCCCTTGAAGGAACGCTGGGTTCCTGGAACCCCTAAACCGCAAAACCGAGGTCCCTCCAAGCCCGGCGCGCGGCTTCACCGGCTGATCGGCCCCCTTTTCAGTCGGCCAGCGCGAGGCACATTGGAGCTGCCGATAATCTCAGTGACGTCAATTCAGTAAATTCATAAAATTTCCTAGATTATTTAAATCAATTAAAGTCCTTATATTACTTATATGAATTAGCTTGCGTAAATATAAATAAAATTAGCAACTAATTAGATTAGTTAAATTAGTTAAGTTAACTAAAATTAAGCAAACATCGCAACGAATCCCTCAACCCTAAACCCTAAACCCACCCCTCCCCCCCAAATACCAAAAACAAAACAGAACATCTAACCATCCATCATTCCGGCCTCATAGACGCTAAGGGCCCCCCTAAGTGATCATGTAGACTGCTTGAAGTATCCGTTCTATTTGCGTAGGCCCCTACGATACGACCTTATGATATAACCCTATCAAGTATGGCACATCAGTACATAAAGAGGTATACATCTTTTTGGCCACTATGATATATATATATATATACACATACATACACACACACATATATGCACATGTGTATATGTAAGCCCTAAGCCCGAAACCCTAAACCCTATTATGCCGTACTATCCTTTAGCAGAAGCCCTGAGCCCAACCAACCCACCAGGGCCGAGACCCGAAGTGCGGCCTGGCAAGCGCGTGGGGAAGGCAGCAGATGGGCAGAAGATCTACGAGGGTTTCGGGGTTTAGGGGTATAGGGTTTGGGGTGTAAGGTTTAGGGTTTAGGGTAGAGGGTTTGGGGTTTAAGGCTTCGGGTTTGAGGTATCGGGTTTGGGGGTTTAAGGTTTAGGGTTTGGGGTTAGGGTTTGGGGTTTGGGGATTGGTTTAGGGTTTGGGGTTCATGGGGCTTCGGGAAGTATTGGGAAGTAAAGATGGGTTTTGGGCTCAGAGGCCATAGGGAAGCGAGGGATTAGGCTTGATGGTTTGCATTAAAGGGCTTAGGAAGAAGGGGCTTAGGGTATCAAGGGCATAGGGAAGTAAGGGTTTAGTGTTCAAGGGCTTAGGTTGTGCAGCGGCTTCCCAGATGCACCGTCATGCGTAGGCCACGCGCACATGTAGCCGCACACAGCACGAAAAGCCAGCTACCGAGATCCGACAAACGAGCCCTGAGAGTTGAGAGTTTGGTGGATGTACGGAAAGCCGCTGTCTATGTAAGCCACAAGCCCTTCCTGCCTGCAGGCGGCGAGTCTACACCCAAGGCGCAAGAGCTCCGCTCACCAGTTCCCAAGCGCAGGCTGCCAGCTTTGCCAGTACCCTTCGGGTCTTGAGTTTTGCTGTGAACGGCTTCTTCTATTTAGGGAGTCCTTGTTTCTTCGCGCCAAAGCTTCGGCTGCTTGTGTGACAAGGTTCATGGAAGGTCCGAAAGCTGCGCCTCAACCTTATGCCGGACACTGGCCGTTGGCCAGTTTGACAAAGCCTGTCCTGTCTGCACAGATGGCAAAGAAGCTTCCTCCCCCGAATACAACCGCTTCGCCCCCAAAGCAGGCACCGCGCCGGTCGGCGAATAGTATGCTAGTAGTGGGTAGTATGAGAGGGCCCAAACCCTAAACCCTAAACCCGAGACCCATACTTGGGCTTCAAAAACCCTGTCATGATGCCCTAGGTCCGCAAGCCCGCGCAATATGCGCCTTCCACGAGGCAGTGGAGGAGGAGGCGGCGGAGGAGGCAAGCGCCGTAGTCTCTTGTAAGTAGTGGATAAAAAACACTACTTACCAAAACAACACAGCATTAATTGTAGCTATAATATAGCTACAATAGTTGTTATGTTGTTTTGGTTTAGGGCTTAGGCTGGCTTAGGTGGTTTAGGATTTTATGTTGTGGCCCGAACGCACGACAAACGCATGCGCTTGCGCTGTAGTTGCCACCGCAGCTGTCACTAATACAACTCAACCAACCAGTCCGTCAGTCCTTCCTGACCACCACCACCACCACCGCCACCGCCACCACCACCACCACCACCACCACCACCACCGCCGCCGCCGCCGCACTTTCCGCGCTTGTCGAGGACCGTATGGCCGCTACAGGTCGAACAAGTCCTCGAGAGTGTGTTAGTTCCACTATGTTCCACTGGTTCTTGCCGGATCCTGACGAGGCTCGCTGCAGCCACGAAGCGAATTGCCAAAGCAGCAAGCTTAGACGCTGGCAGTTCTGCATTGACATCCCCAAGTCTCCGCTCAGCTTGAAGGAACATGCAGCAGTCATGCTTGGCCGTCGCTTGGAGACCAGTCATACTCCAATCGGCTGCAGGTATGTGGAACTTGCCAAGAATCGGATCCCCGTGCCTTTGCTGCTGCGCATCGTTGGAATGCTGCCTGTGGCGTCCCTGCCGGCCATTCGAAGGAGCCCTCCTGTATTCAGCATGAGACATTGTAAGAGGCCGGGCAGCGGGACGAGGCTGTTCTTGGTGTAAGGCCTCACCAAGGCATCTCTCCAAAGTTTGGTATTTGGGTGATGAGCTTTGGCGGATTTGGGTTTCAGAGGTGATTCTCAGCTGCTCATGTGCAGGACATCGGCAGGATTCTATCGTGCTACCCACGTGAGACTGTCCGAGGACCTGGGATCTCAAACCTAGGAGGTCAACCGGTCAGGCATGCCACGTTCGTTGTGAAGGTTTGTAGCTCTTGTCCAGGACCCTGCACAGATCACGGCACTGGCTGCCCATCTAGAAACCAAACGCGTGGAGCCTGGTTTTCCGTGAGACTTTCGTGGCGTCTCATGCTCTTTCACGGCACCTGTGTCTGTCGGTCCATGGAAAATGCATGATTTGAGAGGTGAGGAGTCTCACAAACTGCAAACTGTAGACAGTATCGCCCAGATGCATGGACACCAGGTGTAGCAAGATCATCTGGTAGCGAGATCTGTGAACAAAGCCTGCACAAGCACTGTAACGGTTTACCACAAGGAGCCATGAAGATTGAGGTGTCTCTCCTCAGTGGTCAGTCTACGCCAGTTCTGGTGGGCGAAACCTCAACAGTGAGCGAGCTGAGGGAGCGCGTGCAGGTTGAACTCAGTCGAGGCATCGCCAACCTTATTCACCCAAATGGCCAGCTGCTCGACGATGCAACGAAGCTGGCCGATGCCGGCCTCCATGACAACGATATTGTCACAGCCACTTTCGGACGTGCTAGCATCGTTTCCAGCAGGCGTTCCGTCGCTTTTGCTCTGGTCCGGGGCGATGGCGCACTGGTCATGTGGGGGGACGTCTCCTCCGGCGGATGGTGTGGCCGTGACGTGCGAGAGGAGTTACAGGATGTTCGAGAAGTCTGTGCCTCTGGCGACGCCTTTGCGGCGCTGCGAGCAGACGGGCAGGTCGTCACGTGGGGCAATCGCAATTCCGGCGGCGATAGTGCAAAGGTCCAGACTTGGCTACATGACGTTGTAAAAATCAGTGCCACTAGTCGGGCATTTGCTGCTGTTCGTGCTGATGGCAGGGTGGTGACCTGGGGCGCTAACGACGCGGGAGGCGACAGTAGGTGGGTTCAGCATTTCTTGCGACATGTAAAGGACGTCTGGGCTACTGAAAGGGCCTTTGCTGCCGTCCACAGCGATGGATCAGTCACAACCTGGGGAGATCCTTCCTCTGGTGGCAACAGCAAGCCGGTGCGAAAGCTGCTGCAGAAGGTACGGGAAATCTCCGCCACGGACACAGCCTTCGCTGCCATACTGGAGAGCGGGCACGTGGTCACCTGGGGCAATGCTGAATCGGGTGGTGACAGTCGGCACGTGCAGCAACGGCTGGAGAATGTGCAGTCGATCTCCTCAACAGGAGATGCTTTTGCTGCCATCCGCGTAGATGGAACAGTTGTGACGTGGGGCCTTGCTTTCTGCGGCGGTGACAGCAGCCACGTGCAGAAGGATTTGAGGCATGTTCGCCAGATATGTGGAGCTGCCAACACGTTTGCCGCTCGAACGGATGAGGGCGTTGTGTGTTGGGGTGGTCACAGCTGTACGGTTTGGCTGAGTGGAGTGCAACAGATATGTGCCACGGCCTGCGCGTTCGCAGCTATTCTCCCGAGTGGCAATTTGCTAACATGGGGGAACCCGGAGTATGGTGGGAGCACGCCCACGGACCACAAGGCTGTCCAGCAGATCAGTGCATCAGCAAGCGCCTTTGCTGCGCTCCAGGTTGATGGTAGTGTGTTGACTTGGGGTCATCCGTTTGGAGGTGGCCATCTGCCAGACAGAGTCCAGCGACATTTGCAGCACGTTTTCCGCACCACCGGCACACAGCCTACAATAGATATGTCAGATGACGACGAAATCGAATACTGGCAGCAGTGATTCCGACGCTTGGGGCATAGGAGGCCTGAAGATTAGCTTCACGTCAAACTTCCTTGCCTTCGCCCGGTGTACAGTGTACAGTGCGACCGAGACGTCGTCGGGCAACACGGTGCGTGAAGAAGAGTACGAGCCACAATGAGGGCTGGGTGGAGGAACGCCGGCAGTTCCACGCCATGGGAAAAGTCTGGTCATGCATCAAAAGAAGCATCATACAATGCCACTGCTTGCAAGTCGCCAGCTTTCATCAACCCGACGGTGTCCCCCACAAACATTCATGCTCGTACGAAAGTTCTGTAAGTTCTGTATTACGTAGCCGCAGCAGCAGCGGGAGGAACCTAAGATCTGAGCATCCAGAATGGAGGTGCTACCCCAAGGCGAGACGGTGGGAAACCGCCTTGGATTGTACTTGGGCGGTTCCCGATGCGCATGGGCCAACTTAACTCCTCTTTGCATGTACCAGAGACACACTTCCTTGTTCGAAAGAGCTACCCAACAGGTTCACCTGCAAGCCCCCAACCCCTCTAACCATGAACCTAAGACTCCCTAAGCCCTGAAGCCCAACCTGCTTGAGATTCAATGCCCCCCCAAGCCTGGCGCTTATCCCTGGTGACGCTTGAGACGAGGTGGTTGTTGAGGGTTGTTTTCATGCCCTTGGTTTCCAAGAGTTCAAGCTCTCCGTAACTCTCCTCTCTGTTGCGGTGTTTTTAAAGTTTTGGGATGTTTTGGGCTTGAGGGCTTAGAGGGCTTGGGATCCGTGAGCCCTGACCCTGGACCGGCCTCTGCTCCCCTTTCGGCCACATCAAATTCAGATGGGGAGGTCTCCGAAGACAAGGGCACCTTTTTGGGGGGTTCCTATTTTGAGCATGATCGTATTTTGGGGTATATGAGGGGTACCCCTATTCTGGGAAATAGCCATATTCAATCCTTGTTTAAAGGCCCTGCCCTTGGAGATCCTCCTCTGAGAAAGGTCTCATTCGTTTTACAGTTTAATTAGAAATCGAAATTCAAAGGCCACACTGTAACAAATCCTCTTCCGGGCCTCGTTCGGAGATAGACTTGCCTAGATGGCTATATTAATCGGCCACACCGTATGAAATCCTCTTCTGGAGCCTGCCTGTTCGTATTCCAATCTCTTTAGAACTTCAGAGGATACGGCCTAAGAAGTAAGCAAACGGGCTACTTGTTTTAGGTATCATCTTCTCAGCCTCATTCAGAAGTAAGTCTACGTATATTCAAAAGGCAAACCCACACATATACATATAGACATACACATATATACATATACGTATACATATACATACACATATACGTATACGTATACGTATACGTATACATACATACATACATACATACATACATACATACATACATACATACATACATACATACATACATACATACATACATACATACATACATACACACATATATGTATATATATGTTACATATATACAGATATACAGATATACATATATACATATATACATATATACATATATACATATATGCATATATACGTGTATACATATATACATATATACATATGTACATGTATACATGTATACATATGTACATATATACATATATACATATATACATACATGCATACATACATATATACATATTCACATATATACATATGTACATTTTTCATATAGACGTATATACGTATATACGCATATACACATGTATATAGTATCTCGAAACTATCAATAGCATTGGAAGTCCGAAGAAAGCGAATTCCGCACCCTGAGGTTTTAAGTTCCGGGCTTAAGGCCAGGCCCTCTGTGTATACAAAGCACACCACCCCTTCCGATTCTTTAAAGTTGCCCACACGGGTTTAGGGTTTACCGGTTCGGTTGAAAGGTCACTAGGCCCATAAGCCAAAACCGCTGAAGCCGCTATTGAACCCTGTACCTAACAATCTTTAGACCTTTCTTAGCCATGTGCGTCTTGCGAACTGTACCTCTTTCTCCGGAACCGAGCTTTTGACTCGTTCGAGGCCTGAAGAGCAAGCGCGTATGGGTGTTGGTGAGAGCCCGTCCCATCTCGGACAGCATCAGCTGCATAGTGATCGAAGCTTGGCGCGAAGAGACAGGCTAGCCAGGCTGATGCCCCCTAGGCCCGGTTTTCGGAAGTTGTTCATTGAACAAAGGCACTTAGAGTCCCAAAAAGTGTGCCGCAGACCTGCATGGCTGGCCTAGGACAGGAACAAGGTGAACGTCAGCAACAACAACGGTGCTCCGACGTCCTTCTTCTTCGACCAGGCGCGGCTCAAGGTGGGTCATGGTTTCGTGTTTAGGACGCTTGGTTCTGTAGTTGCTGCCAGGCTTTCGATGCCTCCGCTACCCAGGCAGGCGAAGTCGGGCAGCACCGGTCAGCAACATGTTGTCTGAAGGGCGAGTCGCGTGTTTGCCGTTGACCTGGTGGTCCTTGCTGGTGCAGGAACAGGTGTGTGACTACGTCAGCGAGCAGGTGCTGCCACATGCGATCAATGGAGAACACATCTGTGGCCAGGCTTTTTCGAATCACGTTCTTCGACATGTTGTGATCTGGCGTCTCTGTTTGTACTTTCTCGCCATGCCAGTGGCAGCCGAGGCATCTTGGCGTATGGCCAGACTGGCAGTGGCACCGTGGCAGCAGTCATCCTAAACGGTCCTAAACCCCTCTCCCGCGTGATCCTGAAGCACACTAGGCCGAAGCATCCGCATGTCTCCTGGCGCGTGACTGAGGCAAGACTTACACTATGTTCGGTGATTTTGCTCCTGGACCTTCTCCGCGGGACGGCGCAGCGGCCAACCAGAAGCAGGCCTCAAAAGCGTGTGTCACTCGGGCACATACAGCCCAAACTCTCGGTCAACGAGTTTTTTGACTTTTGAAGATCGCAGATGTCAGGGATGTCGAAAATCCACCGCTGATCAGGGGGTGGCATTTCGAGCCATGAGCCGTCTGGCGGAGATGATGCGGTCCAAGGCCCCGCAAAAACTTCTTACTGGTGCTGAAAGGGGAGTATGAGAACATGGGATAATATGGGGGCGTGCGATATGAAGGGGTACCTTGTGGGGGTCCGAATTCCAAGGGGATCCAAGTTGTTTCAGGGGACCCCTATCTTCGTAAACCCCATATCGCTGTGGGTCGCATACTCTACATCATATTGGTATGTTAAAGGTCTTCAATAGGGACCTAAGGCTGCACTGCACTTCTTTTGCGAGGCCCTGTCTGGGTAACCCGTTTGTAAGGCCCGGCACGAAAAAACAGGGTCCCCAAAGCGGGACCCTTGTTTGGAGAATTTCTTAAACCCTAAACCTTAAACCCTAAACCCTAAAAACCCTAAACCATGTGTGCCTTTCTCGAGGGCCTGGATGCATCAAGCGCACCGACGGTGGAGCTCAGCTTTCTGGAGGTGCATGGGGCACCTACTGAAAATAACAGGCATGTATGTATACACACGCACAGATACATGTATACATATACGTATATATATATATCTCTCTGTCTGATCTATTTCCAATATATGTATGTATGTATGTATGTATGTATGTATGTATGTATGTATGTATGTATGTATGTATGTATGTATGTATGTATGTATGTATGCATAGAGTTCATAGTACTACTGTAGGAGTACTCATCGTGCGAATGCAAGTTTCTAAAAAGTCATTGCTGATGAGAATTCACACAGATGCACCATGATGCACCTGCTTTGCTTGGCATTTCACAGGTGTACAACGACAATCTGTATGACCTGCTTGACGGCTCACGCCAGGCAAGCTCGCACAGAAGTTGACAATGAACGACGAGCTCCTAAACCAGTTGTCCCTGTCAGTTGCCGCGCTTGCGCTCCAGCGAGAAGCACGTGGTGCCACAGGGCCTGACCAGAAGGCCACATTCTCAGAACACTTCAAAACCTGCGGAGCTCTGCATCTACCGCCGAGCGATCTGCATGAAGGCGGTGTGAGCTCAACGAGATGGAGCAGCAGGTTCACAGTTGGCTGCGCGAGGCTAGGAATCCAGGAAGCTGAGATTCGGTGACTGGTGATCTAGTACGTACTCTGTGGACCAGTGTGCATGTCGCATCAGACGGGTTTGCCGGGGACATGGTGGGAGTTTCTGCAGGGCGCCGCAACCCGCATGGTGGGCAAGACCGTCTTCAACCCGCGATCCAGCCGAAGCCACGCCGTGGTCATGCTGCTGGGAGGCAAACTTGAGGCAAAACTAATCATAGTAGCAATAATTATCACAATAAGAACGCTCACAACAATAACAATAACAATAACTATACAGACTGTTACAGACTCTTCCAGCGATCATGTGTCCGTGGCTTTGCTTTTGTCGTGCCGGCTCGCTAACCTCATGGCATCTGAGGCTGCATCTGTGCTGGTCTCAGCAGGCCTGAAACGAATCCATTGCGAATGATTCACAGCCATGGTGCCCAAACTCTCACATGATGTGCTCATGAGCCTCGTGAGCTGCTCATGTCCCTTGCAAGATTGAGTACCCATAAAGCTCCTGCAAGCAGCTGCAGATGCATTCTAACCGGCATAACCTAAGGGCAGCATTGCCCGCACAGTGCCGGGGGTTGTGCTTGTGCTGCTGCTTCTGCGGCAGACCTCATCCTCGCGGCTTCGCCATCTTCCTGGCTCCACAACACGCGAGACGCGCGTGTATCTGGTGGACTTGGCAGGCCGAACACATCGTCCCAACACGTTGTAAGCTGCTACTGAGCACCTCGTGACCACTCTCACGTCGTGTCCTGCTCATGTCGTCTTAGAGGACAACACAGGTCAAGGCAGCATTTCTCATTGCTGCCGACCGGCTAAAGTAGGAGCCCTCACATGGGAAATAGATCATGGCGTTCAAATTCCCTGCTGTGCGGATGCGAAGACCAGGCAGTGAGAGAGCCGGACTCCACGCACTGGGCCCTGAGCAGCTCAAGGAGGGCGAGCACATCAACCTCAGCCTCGGGCCCAGGAAGGACGAAAGCTGTCGCCATAGTTCAGGCGTCGATCCGCGCAGCATCCAAGAGGGACATATGCAGAGTTGGACTTCGAGCTGCCCATCGCTGTGGTAGCTTGTCGGTCACCTACGGCCTAAGGCCTATCTGCCTTGGGTCGCGCCCGGTGCTCAGGTCTTTGATTTCCTTGGCCTGTCTCGAAGTTGGCAGGGAAGATGTAAAGTACCAAGGTGGTCGGAGCGTTGGCCAGCGGCAAGTGCGAGCATGTGCCGTGACCAAGGCTGCAAATAGCAGTTAAATAGCATGGTTGTATCGTTCTTCTGCAGCTGCTGTACGGTCCATACAGTGGTGGTGACAGTTGCAATCTGTTGGTGAATGACAGAAAAGGGTCCTGTGCAGCTCGAAGGCTGTTATCGTTGTTTCCTGGCAGAGCACAGCACCGAGGTACCGGGACTCTGCGCTGACATGGCTCCTGAAGGACCCCGGAAGTGGACTGAGCCCGACCGATGTTCATGCAGTATGTCTTAGAGCAGACCTCGAACGTATCTGCCTGTCAGGATGCCATTACTGGCAGCAGTGCTCGGGTGTGCATGGTTGCAGCGGTTCATCCGTCACATCCCGTGGAGACAGCCGCTCACCTATTTTACTGTACCAGTTGCTCTCGATGTGGACGGCTGGCGCTGCTTCCCCTCGCTAGGCCAGCACCTTGCGATATGCACGCCAGTATTCCGCGCTGCAGAACACTACTGGCAGCCACGCCTCGCAGCTGTCTTCGCAGGCCAGGCAGCAGGAAGTGCCAGAGTCAAATCGGCACAGCGCCTGCGTGTTGCCAACCAGCTAGCACAGTTTCGAAGATAATTGTCCGTAGCGCCGTCGTGATGACTTGTGCCCTGAAGTTTACGCTGTTGTGAAAGGTTAGAGACCTTCAGCGTCGCGTTGATTCCCTCCGGCACGCTTTCGAGAAGGCCGGCATGAATGGTGGGGTGCAGGAAATAGATACATGTGGCATATGGGGGTTTACGAAAATAGGGGACACCCCAATATAGTTTTTAGACCGCCAAGTTCCCTTATTATAAAGACCACAATAAGGTCCCTACTCTCGGAAACGCCCATGTTGTGGGTTCTGGCCTCGAATCTGGTGGGTATTTATTTGGTCGACTGTCCTGCCTCACGCTTTCTCCCGCTCATGAAGCTTGTGGGTTGCCACATCAGTCTGCCCATTTATGTACCGCCATATATATCATCATGCATATATTATCATATATTTTAAGGGGCTGCGCCCATGGGCGGGCAGCGCAGGCAGAAGCGCGGGGCGAGCAGTTTCTAAGCATTTTGAGGCCCCTAAACTCCCTTAAAATCTCTAAGCGTTTGAGGCTCCTCAACCCCCTCAAAGTTTCCAAGCATTTTCAGGCCCCTAAACTCCCTTCAAATCTCTAAGCGTTTGAGGCTCCTAGACTCCCTTAAAGTTTCTAAGCACTTTAATAAGGCCCCTAAACTCCCCTTTTCCTAGCCCCGGGCTTAGACACGTCGCTTATGCCCGCCCTTTGGGGGGCATCATGCTCCTGATGCGCCCCCGGGGTCCCGCCCCGGGAGCCGCTGATGCTCCTGATGCGCGCCTGGGGGTCCCGGGCTGGACCCGCTGATGCTCATGATGCGCGGGGGCTGCGCCCATGGGCGGGCAGCGCAGGCAGAAGCGTGGGGCGAGCAGTTTCTAAGCATTTTGAGGCCAATAAACTCCCTTAAAATCTCTAAGCGTTTGAGGCTCCTCAACCCCCTTAAAGTTTCCAAGCATTTTCAGGCCCCTAAACTCCCTTCAAATCTCTAAGCGTTTGAGGCTCCTAGAGACTCCCTTAAAAGTTTCTAAGCACTTTATAAGGCCCCTAAACTCCCCTTTTCCTAGCCCCGGGCTCAGACACGTCGCTTATGCGCCCTTTGGGGGGCATCATGCTCCTGATGCGCCCCCGGGGTCCCGCCCCGGGAGCCGCTGATGCTCCTGATGCGCGCCTGGGGGTCCCGGGCTGGACCCGCTGATGCTCATGATGCGCGCCCTCCGGAGGCCTCCGTGGCGATGCAAAAACCACGAAAAAAAACCGTTCACCGGCGGCACGCGGGGCGGCACTGGCGTCCGGCCTAATTCTGCTTCGCAGAAGGCCAGAGGCCAGCAAGGCTATTCCCGGGACGACCCGGGTTAAAAGGTCCGCATTTGCTCGGTCCTTTGGGGACCTCGCGCTGCCCGATTTTAAGGGGCTGCGCCCCTCGACCCTATCAGCTCACTTTATAAAGGCCCCCAATGCCTGCCCGCCCCCTCGGCCCGTTGCGCCACTCCGCCCGCCTCGCCCTTCCAGCCCGCTCCGCCCCACCCATGGCTCCCATGGCCTCAGGGTCCCATGGCCCCACGCCCATGCCCATGGCCCCGTGCCCCTGGACCCTCGACCCTATCAGCTGACTTTCCCGTATCAGCTGACTTTTGGCGACCGGCCCCTCCGCCCTTCCCGTGGCTCCCATGGCCCCATGCTCGCCCCGCGCTTCTGCCTGCGCTGCCTGCCCCTATGGCCCCATGGAAGCCATGAGTGGGGCGGAGCGGGCTGGAAGGGCGGAGCGGGCGGAGAGGGCGGGCAGGCGTTGGGGCCTTATATAACAACAATATAAGTCAGCTGATAACGTCGCGCGACATGGGGCCATGGGACCATGGGTCATGGGAGGCATCAGCGAGGGCCTTTCGAACAGCCATGGGGCATGGGACCATGGGGCCATGGGGCCATGGAAGCCATGGGTGGGGCGGGAAGGGCGGAGTGGGTGGTGCCATGGGCATGGGGCTATGGGACCATGGGGCCATAGGGCCATGGGAGCTGGGTGGGGCGGAGAGCGGGCTGGAGAGCGGGCGGAGCTGGCGGAGGGGGTGGGCAGGCGTTGGAAGCCGCCAGAAAACATCAGCTGCCATAGTCAGCTGATAGGGTCGAGGGGCCATGGGGCCATGGGCAAGGGGCCGTGGGACTATGGGGCCATAGGCCCATGAGAGCCAAAGAGCCATGAGTGGGGCGGAGCGGGCTGGAAGGGCGGAGCGGGCGGAGCGGGCACAGGCATTGGGGGCTTTTTTTAAAGTCAGCTGATAACGTCGAGGGTCCAGGAGCATGCGACATGGGGCCATGGGACCATGGGATCATGGGAGCCACCGCGGAAGAATCGAACAGCCATGCACCATGCAACCATGATGGGGCCATGCAGGCGGAGTGGCGGGCACGCGTTGGGGGGGGGGGGAAGGCGCGTAACCCTAAGGTCAGCTGATAGCCATTGGGGGGGCTGAAAGGGCGGAGCGGGAGCGGGCGGAGGCGGGCTGGGCTGGGGCCATGGCACCATGGGGCCGGCCATGGGACCATGGGGCCATAAAAGGGCCATGGAAGCCATGGGTGGAGAGAGCGGGCTGGAAGGCGGAGCGGGCGGAGCGGGCGGAGCGCGGAGAGGGTGGATAGGGCCATGGGAGCCATGGGGGGCAGAGCGGGCATGCGACCATGGGCCATGGAGCGGGCGGAAGGGCGGAGCGGGCGGAGCAGGAGGGGGGGGCAGGTATGGGGGGCCTAAAGTCAGCTGATCAGGAGCATGGGGCAGGAAGCCATGGCGCCAGGGCATGGACCATGGGGCCATAGGGCCATGGGAGTCATGGGTGGGGCAGAGCGGGCTGGAAGGGCGGAGCGGGCGGAGGAGCGGAGTAGGCATTGAAGTCGGCTGTTAAAAGTCAGCTCATGGGCATGGGGCCATGGGACCATGGGGTCATAGGCCCATGAGAGCCATGGGGGCTATAGAGCCATGGGAGCCATGGGTGGGGCGGCGCGGGCTCATGGGACCATGGGGTCATGGAGCCATGAGGGGCCCCATGAACCGGCCATGGAACCATGACGCCATAGGGCATGAGCCCCGGGAGCCATGACGGAGCAATGGCGGGGTGGGCGGCGTCTGGGTGGGTTGGCAGGAAAAATGGGTCTTCACTGACGCCGCCCCCTGGTTGGGGGTCGGCGGATAGTATAATATAATATAAAAATCTTTGTATAATTTTAACGCTACGCGACCCGCCTCGGCCCGGCCCAGCGCATCCGCCGCGTGAGCATGGTGATTCCGCAGCGCCCAAGTCGCTGGACCCCAAGCAATAAGGGTTGGGTTTAGGGTTCAGGGTTTAGGCTTAGGGTTCCGGGTTTATGGTTTATGGTTTGGGGTTTTAGGGTTGAGGGTTTTTTAAGGGTTGAGGGCTTAGGACTCAAGGTTCACGGTTTGGGGTTTCGTGTTTTTGGGTCTAGGGTTGAAGGTTCAAGCCAAACCCTCAAGCAAAAGGGGGGGAGGGGTGTCGGGGCCGGGGGGGGGGCAGAGGGAGGAAGCGGGGGGGGCGGGGTGGCCTGCTGGGCGGGGCCTTCAACTGCCCTGGTCCTGGCGAACCGTCCGCTTTCAGATTGTGGTCGCCCCGTGGGCTTGGGGGGAGGATTTGGAGGGGGGTCACAACCTATACACCTTCGGCCCGAGGCATCGGATTTAATATAATACAATATAATACAATATAATACAATATAATACAATATAATACAATATAATACAATATAATACAATATAATATAATATGATAGAATATGATAGAATATACTAGAATCTAGAATCTAGACCAACATGATCATCAGATTCCGATGCCGAGCCTTTGGTTGCCAGGCGTTGGCCGGCGACGAGCACAGCATTGCGTGTCCTTGCGGCACTATGTAGGGTTTAGGGTTTGGGGTTTAGGGTTTAGCGTTTAGAAGCTACCAAGCTCTCCAAAGACCCGGACCCCCAAAACCCCGAAACTCTTTCGTGTTTGGTGGCCTCACAGTTGGAACTCACTCGGAAATGGGTCTTAGGCTCGGGGGTCTCTGGTGGTTTTCGATCCTGGGGTTTCGAAAGATTAGGGTCACCCCCTCCCCCCCCCCCTTTATGGCCCCAAACAAAGTCGAATCCACAGGATCCCCCAGAAAAGGCCCTGTACCCTAAACCCTAACCCTTACAATTCGGGGAAGAGAACTCTAAACCCGAAACCCTAAACCCGAAACCCTAGGCCCTAAACCCTAAACCCTATTCTGGCTTTCCCAGGTGGACAAGAGAGTCCCTGCAGGGCTCAGTGCATTGTCAGCCCAAGGCGAATGCACGGTCTGGGCCCCGGCTTCCTCGGCTGGTTTCGGGTTTAGGGTTTAGGTCGGACATTGCGTGGTGGAGTCCAGCATGTTGTCTGCGTGAAACCACCCCATGCATGTTGCAAGGGAGATGGGACTAGAAGCAACCAGGGAAACTCATCAAAGATCCTTCTCAGGAGGAGAGCGGAACTCAGCTTGGTTTTGAGGAAACATCGAAACTCCCAAACCAGATCGTTTCTTCTTTTGCGGAGTTCATCTGACATAGATAGGAGGGCTTGTTTTGCCAGAATATCTGCACGGTTATTGTGGAAGATCTGCCACAGCTCGGAGAAGTTCCTTGCGTCATGTAAAGATTTGTGTGCCTTTGTCCAGAAAATTTTGCAGCTGCCCGGCTGTTTTCTCTTCAGGATATTAATAGTGGTCTGTATGAGGTCACGATCCGGGTGAGTGACCCAATAGTCCATAGTGTCATTTCCATTAATGACAGCTTGCACCACTTTGACCGCGGCTTGATTGTCACAGAAAATTTCGCAGCATCCATCATATGCAAGTGCAACATTTACGGCGAAGAGTTCTGCCCGGAAGACAGTTTGTATCATACCTGGCAAGATGCCTGAGGAGATGACATTGTTGGTGGATTCCTGCGGCTGGGCTTCCGTCACCCCCCAACTTGCAACCCTGGCCAAAGGAACACCTTCGTCTTGTGCGGATCCATCCGTAAAGAAAATACGTGTCAACCCATTGGATGGTAGAGGAGAAATCTGGACATCCACTTCCATGAGGGCCTTTTGGAATTGCTTGAGTTTTTCCGGTTTTGGGAAGAGGCCACCCAGGAGCACATGGTCAGGTAAAGTTTTGAGCTGTTCCCATTCCGTGGTTGACGCCCGTACATGCTCCGTACCCGGGCACTCGTGGACTCTGTGCCTGAGTGTATCTTCTTGGCCACAGAAAATGCATTCTTTGTCATTGTTATAATCCACGGAGTGCTTCCTGCCATTGGGGAAAAGCCCTCCCAGTCGCACCTTGTTCATAAAACCTTCCACCATTGGATCATCATTCCGGGGGTATTTTGAAGATTTGATGCATAGGTCCTCAATATCGTGGAGATTTTGTTTGTTCTGTAGATCTGCCACCACCACTCTCTCCCATGATTGCATTGTGACCAATTTGAACTGAGCAGTGGAAAGTTCCCAGATATTAAAAGACCAACCATCTGGGAGAGTGCAATTCCCATCTGCATCAAGAAGCCATTCCCAGTCTCGCAACATTTGCTGGAAATGCGTAATAGGGCCCCAACCTTGACCCGCCTTGAAGTTGTGGCTCCCATCAACCCCAATCTTCCATGCATCCTTAACCAACTCTTTGTTGCGGGCCCACATACGCATCAAGGTAGCGTGCCTTCTTCGCATCACATGGATAGCCGGCTCAAAAACATAGCGTGACATAAGTGGGACCAGAAAGTGCAGATGATACTGCTGTTTGTTCCAAACCGTATGGTTGCATTTGGCTCTCAAGGATCGAAGGAAGGTCTTACCCACTGGAAAGCATTCGCATCCATAGAGACATTTCTGTAAGATGCCTCTTGCGATAACGGCAGCCTTGACATCATACTTCCATGGCATAAATTGAAGACGTTCCAGTAATTGGATCCCTTTCTTCATCCTTTCATCTCTTTTTGTAGTAGATGCTCTCGTCTGGGTCTGGAATTGGATCCCCAAACCTTGCATGTTTGTCTCGCACTTGACTTTGTAGCCAGCATCATGGAGCTTTTGTTTGAGAGCCCGTGTCCTTGCCGGTTTGGTGCCAAAAATACAGGACTTGTTGATGTTAAGGATCAATCCCGTTGCCTTTGCCAAGTCAGCCACCGTAGCCAGGGCGCTGGTGAGAGTCTCGTCTTCTGTATTTAAAAGCGTCCAATCGTCCACGTAGGAGTGCATATCAACTGCATGTCTTTGTTGCACCAAGTTCGTGAACATCCAGGTTAGGATTATCATTTGTGCTACAGCGAGTGGGCATCCTTCCGGCACTCCCACTGTGGATTTAACCGCTGGCCCCCAATGGTCGTTGCAGACAAAGTGTCGTTTTAGTCCAGACAAGAAAGAACTGTAAGGTTTCCACACATCTTGTAGGCCAAGTCTTTGATTCAGGCGAGCCAGGATGTCTCTCGGGATGGTATTGTAGGCCTTCGACAGGTCAAGTGATACCCCCAGGATTGTTTCCTTTCGAAGGAGGGCCTTTTCCAGAGTCATCTGGATATTCCATGCCAGGTCCATTGATGACTTCCCCGGCACTGATCCATAAAGGGTACGTGGAAGGTGAGGCAAAATGTGTCGCATTGTTTTCGCCGTCATAATCTTCGCCCACAATCTGTAGATTGACGCCAGGATTGTAATTGGTCTTGTGCATGAAATGTCTCCAATCTGGTCGTTCTTGTAGAGCAGTGACATTCTGGCGTGCAAAAGTGCCTCTGGCCATCCCACTTTTGTGAAAAGGTCCAACGTTCGTCTGAGTGGTTGCTTCAGAAGCAGAGGGAGATTCTTGAGTTCAGTATTCGAAAAGCAATCCATTCCTCTGGCCTTTTTCTTTTTAAGCTTGCTCAGTCCCCATTCCAGTTCCATGTCGGAGATGTGCGCCTCCATGTAGTCGAGGATGGGGAGTGAATTGATTGCTTGTTCAATAATGGCATCGTCGTGGGTCCTTCCATTGTTCCTGTTCCAAAATTGGCTCCAATATTTTTCGGCCTCGTTGGTAATGATCGTTGGGTTTGCCGTAGGTTGTAACTGGTAGATCATTCCGCTTCTAAAGGAACCTGAAATCAAGGAAAGAGTAACAATGCCTCCTTTGACCGAAGCAACCATCCCTTTGCTCTCTTTTTGATGCCAGATGGCCCCAACTCTAACACAATGGAGGTCGTCGTGGGCAAGCTTACATCTGAATCGGCTTTTTTCCTTGCACCGACACATGCAAATCTGGAGTTCCACGGCTATATCGATGCTGTCCACTGCAGGAAAACTGGGAGGCTTGATTGCCTGGAAATGCAAAGAACCACCATTGTCCCAGTCTTCCTTAAATCTCTGTTTCAAGAGCGTCTTGCGGTGGCAAAGACACCGGTTCTTCCAATGCTTCTCGAGCTCCTTTAACTTCGTGAGCATGTCACGGGTCTGCCAATTTGTAGGTAACCCATGGGGGAACCAATCTGCAACCTCTTCGAGCCACCAGGTCTTAAAATTCCCGCCAAAGCCAGATGATTTCAAAGCAGCGCGCCACGTGGCCAAGCAAGCTTGTTTACAGTTCCACCAATTTGCCGTATCAGGAGCAAGTACTACCAGATGGTCTTGTTGACTCAGTAATGATTCCAGCCTCCGTATCTGACGAATACGCTGCCTGGTCATCACCGTAGTCTCATCCCCTGATGGTTCGAAGTTGCCTTCTCTTGCAAACTTGATGACACCTTCTTGTTGCTTGACTCCAAATTTGATCTTACCCTTACCACGATATGCGTTCGGGAGCTTCGAATCGTGGTCATTTGAAAGCATCGCTGCAATGGAGTTTTCGTAGGCCTTGGTGAAGCAGTCCCATGTCCTTTCCACATCTTTTAGTTGGATCGCCGTTTCCAAATCAAGAATATCTCTTTCTCTAGGGCTCGCCGTTCGGAGTTTTGTCGAGTCATTTACCAAGGCGGACATATCCTTGGCTGTTCTAAAGGTCCAGTCTCGATTCAGCCTGGGCCTCCAAGCAAAAGATGCAAAGACTTCTTTGTGGTCTGTCTCAGGGATGCACGCAACCTGATATTGCTGGAATGCTGCTTTGGCTTTGTTGTTCATAAGGATGTAGTCAATTCTGGAGATATCTTTGAAAGTAGGCTGCATGGGCTGTCCATCCATGTAGCTTTGGAGAGCTGCAGCGTCTGCCCATCCGCAATATTCCATCTCGGTCCACGTCTCCAAGAAATTGATATCGCAGTTGAGGTCACCCACGATAAGGCATGGGATGTCCACTGACTCTGACCTAATAAAGATCTCTCGTAGGATGCTGTCATTCTCCGAAATGAAATCGGGCAGTGTCTGATGGAGACCATACATTCCGAAGATCCGAATCGGTCCGAAGTCTGTGATCACGATCGTGTCCACCACCCTCGCGGAATTCCAAATGTCACTTTCCCATTCCTGTCTGGGGCTACGGAGCGGCAACTTGGAGAAAATACCTACTCCCTGGGCCGTGCCTTTCGTCTCGCAAATGCGCCCGTCCACAAAATCTCTGCGATTGACTTCTAGGCCATGCTTATAATGACAGTTTCTCCTTCTCGCTGCCTTGCATGCCTTTACGTTGACAAATTTTGTGGCCGCCGTCTCGGAGAAGACTACTACATCAGAGCTGGAAGATGTGAATCGTCCATCGTCCACAAAAGCATTCAAGCATTGGACATTAAGTCCTGAAACCGTGAAAGGTCCTGGCTTCTCCGCTTCGCCAACTCGCTGACCAAGAAAAGGGTTGTATCCATGATAAAGAAAGGAAGTCCACCATCTCCAAAAGTTAATTAAGCGTTCGAATTCATCCTTCGTCGAATTGTCGTAATTCAGATGCCACCCACCTTTTCCAGCCTTGAAGCTGTCATCCATGTAGGTTGCATCAGTCCATGCACACCTGTTGACTGATGAAGTCCAGGATATGATGTTAGCGTTATCGCCATCCAGCATATCAGCCAGATGAATTATCTGAGGTTCACGTCACTGCTTGGGCTTCTTCTCACCATTTTCTCCACTCCCTTGAGGCGAGGGTGTTCTCTTTCTCAAGGAAGACATTTGTTGTCGAACTTCAGCCGTCAATTCATCTTTCAAGGTCCCTTGTGCGGTGCGCAACTCCTGAACCGTTTCTTGGCGTTGATTCTGCATTGATAGCTGAAGGTCTTGAAATTGTGATGCCAATTGCTTTGCAATGGTTTCAGTGAGGCCCGTGACTGTAGACCTGAGCTCATTGTTGGTCTGCTCTTGCTTGTGGGCATTTTCATCCACTTTGGCATTGATTTTTTTGGATGTCTTCTCGGAACATCTGGTTGGCTGCCTGTTGTTCCTTCTGCAAAGAGTCCAGCTTTTCCTGGAACTTATTTTCCAGGCTTTTGGAGGTCGCATCATCCAACTCGAGCTGCATTGCTGAGCTGCTAGTCTCCGGTTGGATCCTGGTTGGTCGGGGCTTTCCCGCCACCACTGTCGGGAATGGGTCTTTTCTGGATCCCTTTCCGACTCCTTTTGCTGGTCGTTCCGAGATAAGGACTGTACCATGTGTCGCCAAATGGACCGCTTTGCTGGGGGGCCCTTGTGCTCCAGCCACCCAACATCTTGGCTTTGTCTGTTTCAGCACCATAGCCTGCCAACCAATCCCATTGAGGAACTTCTGGACGTCAGCTTTTGTGCAAGACAGGGGCATATTCTGGACATCAAAGAATGAGGAAATCAAGAGGTCATAGGGTGCCCCTTCGATCGGCTTCCAGTCTGGGTGCCATTTTTGGCGAAGACGTGTGAAGTCCTGTGGTTTGACCCTGATCCCCTTTCCCGATTTGGAGTTAACGATGCCATACGAAGCCGGCTCAGCATTGGCCAGCACCTTGAGGTCATCGCAGGGCCTGTCTTGGAACCATACAATCTTGAAAGCCCCATCTGGCTTGCCATCTTCTGTTTTCGGAGAGAAATAGATTCCTCGTACCACCTCTTCCAAAATGACATCTCGGAATTCCCTCTTAACGCGAAGCATGATGTGGCAAGATTCCGCTTGGAGGCCATCTTGGACTTGTTTGCCCTTTGTGTAGAATCGACGGCCCCAATTTGCAAAAGATGCTTTTTCCAACGTTGGGATCTGCTTCTTTAGGAAACGAACCGTTCCTTCGACAACCTCGCTCCATGAGGGCACATCTTTGTGAACAATATCGCACCCCACCACAATACTATCCACCTCATCCACAGTAACTTTGGAGTCTTCCCCAGCTAACGAAATCTTTTTGCTTCCCAAGTTCACTAGCTGCGCTTTGAGAAGGACTCTTTGGTCATCTGCCGTTCTGCAAGGGAACTCGACCTGCATGGTGCTGAACCTTGACGGCGCTGAGACTGTACCACCCACCAATAGAATGGCCAACTCCTCAGGCGACATGTGGTCTTCGTTGCCCGCCAACATCGAGGCCTCCTTCTCATAGACCATGGCAATACCACAAGCACCATGGGTGATCTTCTGCAATACCATTGGCGGGCTTCCATCCTCCTTCTTGAAGAAGTTCGGTTCCATCTTCCACTGGTCTCGTTCCTGCAATGCCTTTTTCCAGGGGTCGTCATCTTGCAACGGGTCACTTTCTTGGATGCCCTTTGCCTTTGGCTTCTGCTTGGGCTCGTTCTCCTTCACCAATCTCATTGCACCACATCGACTTTTCAGCGTGCTCCAAGGGTCGAAAGAAGTGTAGATCTCACGGATCCCCCTATCACCGATTTTCTCTCTGATCTCTTCAATCCTGGCATCCACGTTGTCGTTGGCCACGCCCTTTGACAGCAGGAGCCCCTTGAGCTTCTGCAACGCCGGTTGGGTTCCACCACGGAGACGTCCACAAATCTGGATTGTAGCCCCCACTGTCATTGCCGACGGGGCAGTGTTGATGCTCAAAGGCTTGCCATTGCTTGTCATAAAAATATCCGTTGCTTGGAAACCCCAGTGGTCTTCGGCAATTTGACCCACCAGTCTTGCGTCCGACTTGCTGACCTGCAGGCATTGGCCTTGGAAAACCATGAAGAAAGAGGAGCTTGCCAGCCCTTGTGACCCACAGTTGTTGCCATACACATGCAGGCTGGGCATCGCAAAAGTGCATGTTCCATCATCGATGAGGATCTTCTTCTTGGGCCGTGGGTCGTACTCTCCTTTTGTCGACGACTTCCTCATCGTTGTACCAACCGACGATCGTGGCGTGGTCGGGGGCGTTGACTGGACCGTGTTGTAGTCCATCCTAGCCGTTCTTCCGTGGTCAACTGGGTCAACCTCTGGTGCCGCGCTGGCACTCGGGGCCGATGCATCTGGCTCTGCCCCTTCCACTTCTCCCTCTGAGGATTCATCCTCTGTTCCATCAATATCAGAACTTTCTCCATCTTCTCCATCGTCTCCAGGTGTATCAGGCGGGGTCGGCGGAGGAGGACCCGGGATTCGAAAGGTTGGAAAATCCAGCCATTCATCCATGTCAGTGTGGCCATCCCACCGCAAGCACACATAATCCCCACTCTGTATCTGAATAGGCCATTCATGTACCAAGGCTTCGTTGATTGTAATCCACATGGGGCTGTCGGTGTGTTCGCTGAAGTAAAACTGACGCATGTCAGCCCGGTACAAGACGTTGTTTGCCCATCTTGCTATGGGCAGAGCTGTGTCTACGATGATCAGCACTTCGCCATCCCGTCCGTCACGGACGTCTCCAGCCAGGATCCATCGACCCATCTTCATCGGAAGGTGGATTCATACGAATGACCACAAGGTTTGCCGGTGGGATGTTGAGGTACTCGGCAATCTGTTGGCTCACCTTCCGCACAGTGAGGTCTCCGTCAAGGCGAATCTCCACTCTTCCCATGTCTGGACAGAAGAGCTGGTGCGCGATACCTTGCTCGTCATCTTTGTCCTCAAGCATCTCCTCGTAGAGCATCCGGGTCTCCTCTGTCAGGCAGGGGACCTCTGTTCCTCTTTCTCGATTCCATGTCAATGAGGCGATACTGACTTGCCATGCTCCAATTTTGCCAGCCAATCTTCCATGTGGGCCAGTTGCAATCAGATCACCACGGAGTTCCAGGGTTGCCCATCCTTGATTTGTAATCTGCACCAGGAGGTCGAAGTTCCGCCACGTTGTTGCCAGCTCCTGGATGCCTTCAGTGATAAAATTCCTTATCTCATCAGCTCCCATGGGGTCACTAGGTCTGTGTGCCAAAGCTGATCCTAGCACAATCATCGCCTGACATGGCAACAGGGAGTTGCCCAGGAGCAAGAAAGCATCCTCTTCCGGTTCTGGCAAGATTACATCTGCCGCAAAGCCAAAGGCCTTAGCCACTTCCCACTTCGACAAGAACCTGACCCCAGGGTGTTCAATACCCCAAAGTGGGAGGCAAAGTCCATGCTTCCTCAAAGTCAGCCAAGGTGAATCGATGAGGGCCCTGTACTTCGTCGTAATGGGCGGCAAGGGAAGCCCTGTATGCACCTTCCTCTTGTCCAAGACGCTCCCAGGTTGGTTGCGAAGCCATTCAGGAAGGAGATCTCGGCTTGCAGCCTTTGAGGTCTGGGCATAATTCAGCCTGAGCTCGTCGACCATTTCCGGGCTCATATTCTTCCAAATCGCATCATTGCAGATCTTGGTGCCATCGCTGAGCGGCATCACCATTCTGAACTTCTTGTAGATACCTTCCAAATCAGCATTGTTCCATGCCACAATGAAAATACGCATCCGATCTGCAGGCACATACTTTGAAGGATCGATTTTGCCCTTCCAAATAATCGTGTAGCCAGCCCACCTAAGAAGCTTCTCAATGATGGCGAAGTGCTTGTGGCTCAGAAGGCCGACCACACTCTCAATGAGCAATATCTTCCGCTGTAAAAGTCGGGCCATATAAAATAGCTGGAACCATCCTGTCGCGTGGATCTTGTCTTCCAGTCCATCGCTCTTTTCCATTTCCGCAAAGGGTTGGCGCGGAGGGGATGCACAAAGTACTTCCACATGGGTCTTCTGCAAAGTCCGGGCCCATCTCCAATCCCCAACTTCGCCCCAGAATACATCAAAGTTTGCCCCTCCATCATCATCATGCGGGGTAAACAGTCGGGCCCCTGGGGTGTTCAAGAGGGTTGAGGAGATGGCCATTCCCTCATGGTCCACCTTGGCCACCACTTCTGCCGGAAGCTTCGAGGCAGCCACCGACCATCCGCCCATACCTCCACAGAAAAGTTCCACAATACCAGGAGTAGCATCCGTTGCTGTGTTCATCGGAATAGTGGCTGAAATACCGGTGGTCTCCGGGAATCTGATGGCTTGGTCCCCGTTTACCGACATCCAGCGAGCATTCACCAACATAAAGGCTTGGCCAACTCGGACTTGGCCCGGGAAGTTGGACGAAACGAAAGGCCAGTCCTCGTTGATGGTCTTAGGTTCCCTGGTACCAGAGGGGGATTCCAAATCATTGCGCAGCCGGAGGTCCACCAAAGCACAAGTTCCATGATGCTTCGTCACCATCTGCTTCACCACCACAGCAGCGTTGAACCCATCAGGCATATGCTCGATGCTCTTTGCCGGCAGCCAACCGTTACTCAAAAGTGCATCCAGACGTTGTTGCATGTCCGATGCACCAGTATTGCCAGAGAAAATCTCCATGGCCCGCGGTCCGTCACACCCACCGCACCGCTGGGAGGTCTCGGGCCCCACGGCTGTTTAGGGTTTAGGGTTTCGGGTTTAGGGTTTAGGGTTTCGGGTTTAGGGTTTAGGGTTTCGGACTTCGGGGATTTGGTAATTTAGGGGTTTAGAGGTTTTAGGGGTCGTTGGGGGGTCTTTGGGGTTTAGGGTTTTAGGGGTTTTGTGTTTTTTGTTGGGGTTTTGGGGTTTATTAGAAATAGTTCATTTTTTTTTTTTTTTGGGGGGGGGGGGGTTGAAGGGTTTTAGGAGTTTACTATAGGGGTGTTCGGGGTTTGGGGGTTTAGGCATCCATGCTGGCCCAGCTTGAGGCAATGGTTTGAGTCGCATCCGACACTCTCGTGGACGCCGGCGCACCAGAGTAAGGCCCGAGCCCCAAGCCATGTGCCCTGGAGCACCTCATGGAGTCGCGCGCACGTCGGGAAACCCAATGAAGAACCCTAGCAAGCCCTAAGCCGCAGATCCCCTAAACCTTATAAACCTTATCAACCCTACCAACCCTATAAACCCTATAAATCCTATAAACCCTATAAACCCCTAAACCCTAAACTCTACAAACCCTATAAACCCCTACAAAACCCCTATAAACCCTCTAAACCCTATAAACCCCTAAACCCTTAATTTTAAATTTAAACCCTAAACCCCCGAAGTATTTTGCAATCCGAGGCTGCCGTCCGCGGACAGCGCCGCGACCGGAGCGGCATAGGCGGACAAGTCGAGGAATACAGCATCTAAGGGTTTAGGGTTTAGGGTTTAGGGTTTAGGGTTTAGGGTTCGCTAGGGGTAGTTACATGCCTTAATGTTGTCCCTTACACCAAAATGCTCAGAAGTTAGTAGTTGGGAGGTAGGGCAGGTAGTGGCAAGCTCAAGTGGCGTGAAAGTACCCCTGAGATGCCCTAGCCCTAAACAGGTTACATCACGAAGATCGAAGAAGTCGCTGGTGGCGACGAGGCTCTTGCAAGAGTTTGCGAGGCGGGGGGGGGGGGGGGGGGGCATGTATTTGGGCCGGGATGTTTTTTGTGTGTAGAATACTATGCTATACTATACTATACGATGCTATACTATACTAGACTATACTATACTGTTTTTTAATATACGGTCTCAGTGGCAGAGTCGAACCAGGTGACCTTTGAAGGTCGTCACGGGAGGCGCGCTGGATGTGGTGGCGTGCTCAAGCTGCGAGCTCTCCCACCCTTGCTCAGGCTTCCGGTCGTGCTTTGGTACCCCGAAGTGGCGCTGGCCCGTGGCTTAAGAGTATGATTCCAACTCCCTTTTTTCAAGCCGGCCAAGAACATCCCAAAAACCCGAAGGCCATTTCAATGCGCCCAAAGCCACCCCCCCCCCTCACCCCCAAACCCATAGACTTCTGTGCAAGAGGGGTACGCCGAGTCCTGTTCAATGAAGAAACTAAGTATAATTAAGTATAATTAAGAATAATTAAGTATAATAGTTTTATTGAATTCAGTATAGTTCAGTATAGTTAAGTATATTTAAGTATAATTAAGTATAATTAAGTAGTAGAGCTTGAGGAGATGGTCAAGCCACCTTCATCGCTGCTGGAGGTGGCTGAGAGTCTGATCGCCAGGGCTCTGTGGCCAGGGCCAAGGTTTGGGGTTGTAGGCTTTGTAAGGTGCAGGGCTTCGGGCCTCGGGTTTATGTGATAGCTGGGAAAGGGACCAATATTCCAAGCATGTGAGGGACTGTTTGAGACTATCTGTTTGTGTGTGTGTGTGTGTTGGTGTGTGGGTGTGTGTGCGTGTGTGTGTGTGAGAGAGAGAGAGAGACTGCGCGCTTGTCTGTCCGTCTGTCCAGGAAAGAGAAGACCCCCTCGCCCTCCAAAAGAAAGCACTGATGTTCAGTCTCCCCAAACCACAAAACCTCTAAACGCCAGAGCCGAAACACCTAAACAGAGCCCCTAAAACAGTTGTCGTACACATAATATATAATATAGGGACATCTAGGGTATTGGTGTTTAGGTGTAGTTCAAACTAGGGCCTCAATTCTCATATCCCACCTCGTCAACAAAATGAAATAGTCTTCCTTGGGGACCCTAAGCCCTGAGTCCTGAACCCTACACTACCAACTCCCCTCAAACTCCCCCCCACCCGCCAAACCCTGAACCCTGAACCCTGAACCCTGAACCCTAAACCCTAAACCCTAAACCCTAAACCCTAAGGGCCCATTCGCGAGGCTATGCAGAAGTTGGACACTGCAGAGGCCGAGCTCAGTCGACTCCGCGGAGAGCTGCAGGCAGGGTGTACTCCTGTGCTTAAAAGGCTACTGAGGGCCCAGGTTCAAGATTGGCTGACTCTGATAACCTAGTGTCCAGGGCCTATATGATATATGGCGGTTTACATATTACATTACAATGTATCATGTTGAATTATATTTTCTGCTATATCAGAGGTTGGTCGGAGGTTGAAAGGGTTCGAAAAAGGGGGTGGCCGGTCAGCCGGACCCTCGTGGACGCTCCCAGAGACGCGCTTTACGTCGAGTCTAAACCTGGCCCGCAGAGCCCGGCCTGTTTGGTTATACATATATATATATATAGAAATAGATAAATATAACTGTAAATATAAAAGTAAAATAAATAAACAAACAAATAAGAAATATATATATATATATACATGTATTTGTTTGTATAGATGTAAAAGTTAATAAATGAATAAATAAGTAAGCAGTGAATAGATAAATTTCCGTATATATATATATATATATTTATGTTTATATTTGCATTTGTATTTGTATTTGAATTTATATTTATATGTATATTTATATTTATATTTATATGCATATTTGTATTTATATTTATGTTCATGTTTATATTTATGTATATATACATATATATATATATTTGTATATTCATGTGTTTATGACATGATATCATAGTATAAAGAAGATACAACACGTGTGTGTGTATGTTATAGTATGGTATGGTATGGTCTGGTCAGGTGTGGTGTGGTGGTGTGAGGTCGGGTGGGGCGGGGCGGGGCAGGGCGGGGCGGGCGGGGCCGGGGCGGGGCGGGGTGGGGTTGTTTTGCTTTGTTTTGTTATGAATCTTGCTACTACCTGTATCGTTGCTATTCTTTTTATTTCAAGTTCTGGGGCTTACAAGTCGTTCACGGGATTTTCTATTGGGTCTACAGGGTCAGGGTATGCCATGACAAAGGCATGTTTATTGGTTCTTGCTTGTTTAGCCGTCAGGTCTGTGGTGCCACTTATCACCCTAAATCAAAAAGCCCTCTCCTCGACCTTGCTGACGCCTGCGGAATCCTTTACTAGTGACACTTGCACTTGAGCGCATGCCGTAGCCCCGAAAGCCGGAGCATTTTGTGAAGATTCGAAGCTCGCTTCATGGAGGCAGCTCGAAAAGATGAGGCCATGCGACAGCAGGCGCAGGGCCTGGGCGTAAGGGTAGGTGCTGCAGGTTTTGGTCCATGCCAAAAAGGGAGCCGAATTTTAGAGCAACCCTCCGCCGCTCCCTCCTTCGTGGCGAATGTTGCATCTGCAGGAATGGATGGCGACCGCCCAAGGAAAACTTCCTCGGCCGCCGCCGATGCGCGACACGTGCTCCGCGGAGGAAAACGATTGCACGAATTGAAGCATGTGGGGGTTTACGAAAATAAGGGATCCCTAGTATAAACCCCCAAATAGTAGGATTCCCTGAAAGTAAGGACCCCAATAAGGTACCCCGAATTTCGGAAACCTCCATGTACTTTTTCAAGTGTGTATTTTACGCTCCAGGTTGAGACGCTCAGCCATCACTCAGTGGGCTAAGCTTACTGCCAGCTCTTCTGGCTTGCAGGCGAAGATGTTGACAACATACTGCAAGCTAGCACCAGTATTGCCACCCATGGAGAAGGTTTGAATGAGCTCTGCAAGAGCAGTTGAACCGACCTCCATCCCTTGAAAGCAGCACGGGCATGCCTCGGGACGAATCTGGAACAAAGCCATGCCCATCATTCTTTGTCTCGTTTGTAGACAGCCACCTGGCCCCCCAGTTGCCATGTCCCCCGCTTTGCCAGTGCAAGACGGCGACTCTCCCGTCTTGCCAGCGCAAGACGGCGAGTCGCCCTTTTGCAGGCAAGTCATTTACTACCAGTTGCTTAAGAACCCCCCAAAAGAATGAGATATTCTACCTTATAAGGGGAATGTAGGGATTATTATTTTCATTTTTTTTTTTTGGGGGGGGGGGGTTTCTTAAGGAAATAGTAGTTTAGGCACCATTCCCCAGCCGAGAGGGCCAGAGGGCCTCGTCAGGCAGACCACATCCTCATCAGCATGGGAGCGCGTCCCAATGTCAGCCAGGCAGGGCCCCGATCCCTATTACAGCAAACCCTAAACCCTAAACCCTAAACCCTAAACCCTAAACCCTAGACCCTGCACAGCTTGTGTGAAGAAAGAACTTGTAGGCTGCAGCGCGTGATGGTGAGCTGGATGACGAATTCCTTGATGGGCTTGATCCTGGTTGGGCCCTTATTCGCGGAAAGAGTTCACTGTGGTGATGTTGGAGAGAGAGAAAGCTGCCGCATGCTGTCAGCTTCAGGCCAGGATGGGTGTGGCCACCATGAAGGCAGTTCCACTGCTGTCGCTCCTTGTCGTGTTTCGACGGGGCTGGCGCTTGAATCAGATCATGGTGCGCGCACACAGGCTGGGAGTGGCTGGTATAGGGCGCCATCGGAGCCTTGAACACCCGAACGCCCCGAAACGCCCAAAAACTGAGCCCTGAACTCCCAAAACCCCGGCGCCCTGGGAGGTCGAAATTCTGGATCTTGACGCGATCCTCACTGGAGCTCTGGGCTCTTTTCGAGCTGGCCTTCTGGATCTACTGCAGGTGTAGGACTTGGGGGTTTGTGGGCTCTTGGGTTTATTGGGCCTTGGGACTTCCCAGCGCTTCAAGGGCACCAAGCCAGCTAGGGTGGCAGTGCTGGGGAAGGGAGCGATATATGTCAGGGTATCCTGGCTCAGAAATCAAGAATCGTGCCCTAAAACCCCAAATCCCTATGTACGACTCTTAGCCCCCGAAAGTGGCACACGAGGGTCGTGTATGGGCAACTGCCATTAATCCTAAAACCCTAAATCCCTGAAACCCTAAAACCCTGAAACCCTGAGCTCCAAGCCCCAAAGCCCCAAAGCCCCAAGGAGAAGCCCAAACCCTTCCGGGTTCCGCAGGTGGAAGAAGCTCAGCTTGGAGGCGCGGCGAGCCTACGCCCCCAACGTTCTGTGGAAGTCGCCTGGGGAGAGGCCGGTGGTTTTCGTTTAGGGTTTAGGGTTTAGGGTTTAGGGTTTAGGGTTTAGGGTTTAGGGTTTAGGGTTTAGGGTTTAGGGTTTAGGGTTTAGGGTTTAGGGTTTAGGGTTCAGGGTTCAGTGTTCAGCGTTCAGGGTTTAGGGTTTAGGGTTCACGGCTTAGGGCTTAGGGTTTAGGGTTTAGGGTTTGGGGGGGTAGGGTAGGGTAGGCTAGGGGGTAGGTTAGGGGCATTCCAAGGCTAAAAGATTTAGGGGATCAACTCGGTGAATAGGGCTCAGGGCCGATTGGGCTGGGTTGGGATTTCGGGTTTGGGGTTTAGGAAGCTTAGGGGTGGGCAGCCCCATCTCCAAGAGGATGCGCTTGCTGGACAACTTCCTGTCAAACACGGTCATGGCCCAAGGAGATGTGAGGGTCGTTCTGGCAAGTTTTCGTATATATATATATATATATATATAAGGATGTTCCCCCTCATACTAACAGTCGTTAATAGGGATTAATGGGGGGGTACTATAATCCCTATGAAGGACTGTTATAGCATAAGGGGGGAACATCCCTATATACACATATAATTATATATGTATATGTATATACCAGGTACGCCAATGGTGAACGACCCTCCGCTAAGGAGAGGATCCATGCTGGCCAGGGCTGGGCAGGGAATCGCCGTGCCGCTTGGATGCATGTCCTCGGGCGTGTCTGCTGGGTTTCGCGCATACGCACTCGGCCCCTAGACTCAAGCAGAGGACGATGCCCGCACCCGATCCCGGGCTTGTAAACCCATCTTATACCCTGTCGGTACGGCCTATGGTACAGCATTCAGGAGCGGCGTCGCCGCGCCTGGTCAAAGAATGCCACTGGCTCAGTTTTCATGCAGAGCGGCACGCTTGCTGCACGACGGAAATGGTCAAATTGTATAGTAGTGTAATACTACGTTCGTATAGGTATTGCAAGTATTTCAAAGAGATCAGATTTCGCACAGGAGGGGCCCAGCGTATTCAGCTTCTGGAGTCGCCACATGCGCAAGCCATCGGACGGCAAGGACCTGTTGAGCAAGCTCCTTGAGACACATTGCCATAGCTGCATGGCCTCGTTGCATCTGTTTAGCTGCTCTCCAGCGCTCAGAAGACCATTTGGTCAGTTTCTGTAATGAGTGTTTCTTGCAGTATGGCCCCTTGTCTTTCGGACTCATAATTGCAAACGCGTGGTTCCAAGTTTGCCCAACTTTTGGCAACGTGCTCGGCCGAAGCAAAACATATTCACCATGAGGAAGCGAGGCAGAAGCTGATATCTGATCCGTCAGCCGCCTGCTCAGTAGTCAGCGCAGGCAGCATAAGTCATGCCCAGTCATGCCTAAGAATGTCTGCTGATGGCAGCAGTGCATCGAAGCAAGGCAAAGCCAAGACTGTCAGCTTTCGGAGTTCCGCGCAGGTTGAGAACTTCCTTCGCCTCGCCGATGAGCCAGATCCCGGATTCTGGTATCTTCCAACCGAGAGCAAGCCGAGAACACTAGCTTCCTGGCATCCCGGAGAGTAGAGAATTTTGTTCAGAGTCAGAAGTTTTTCGGCCACTTGTGCCCCAGAAACTTCCCGCCGAGGCTGGCAGGCCCCGCCCGCCCTCACTTCGGCCGCTGTGCCACACCCTCAGTGAGCCGAGATCTCTGTCGGGGCGCTTTGCGCGTGGCCCTGCATCATCCAGCCATGTCAAACACGTCTGGTTGTTTGCAAAAGCACTCCCGAGTCAAGAGTAAGTCTGCGAAGATGCTTGAGGCACGGCCCCCTCCGTGGAGAATCTGCTGCGCTTGCATGAGGCTGGCAAACCTTATACAAGTACACCGTCCTTCGAAACCGGGTTCAGGTCGAAGTCTGAGGTGTTTGGGCTGCTGGCAATTGGCTTAGCCAACGTCTTAGCTAGCCTGGCAGGCCGATGAGGTCCGGACCCCTCGAACACCTGGAGAAGTTGCCGCCCGGTGCGGTGATCAGTAGACCACTCTGAGATGGGTTGGGAGCACGCTGGAGAAACTCAATGGAAGTGCCATGGAGTCCGATGGCTGCTCATTGCGTGGTTGACCTCCTTGCGCTCCTCTTGAGTGCTTGAGGATGTGCAGTGCCTGAAACATCTGGAGCTGTGCTCATGGATGCTTTGCCTGCATAGTTTGCAAGCGCTTGGCTTTGTGGTGCGTTCTATCATGCAAAATGCGAGTTCTTCTTGCTGGGAGTCAGGTTTTCAATCCTGATCGAAGGGAAGAGGGTGATTTGCAAGGATGTCACACAGATTGGTCGCCGCGCGTTGGCATTATCACACGGCACGCAACGCTGGCAAAGCACCCAAGAAGACTTTTGGAACGCGCTGCATGGCTCTTGAGGCGGAAACATTGAGCAGTGGATCCTCTCATATTTCTTTGATGGGGCAGAGTCCCTTTCCGAGCTGTCCGAGCGTGAAGTGACCGAGCTGCAGGCCACTCGTCAACAGCCGTGGGTCGTGACAGGGTGTACGAAAGTATGGACCCTAATCGACCCCGAAATAGTCGAGTTCTTTGAGAACAGGGACCCCGTTGAGGTACCCCTGTAATTTCGGAACCCCTGCTGTGCAGATTTGTTCCACCCCCACTTTGCGCACCCCTCTGAGTTGCCAGGAGTTGGTCCAGGCGGTGGCGCACTGGGCTGGCCTCCCTTTGCCCGACACACCCAACTGGTTCGGCAAGAACGAAGGCCCCGTGTGTCCTCCAGCGTTCTCCATCGTGTTGCACACGCTCCTGACATGGACCTGACAGGGAACTACTAGATGAAGAACTACAAGCGGAAGAAATGTGCTAACGCCCACGCACGTGCAGAGTTTCCGCGCAAGCACCCCCACAAGGTCTCTGCAACGTCTTGAACTCATGTGTTGCCAACCACGCCATGACTTGAAATCACAGAAAGCAAGAGTTTGCACGGGACTGAGTGTGCGCAAGATCCACCCCCCCCCCCCCCAAGGGCTAACACTGGGGAAAAGGAGTATTGGAGAACCCCCATGCGAACAGCAGGCCTGAAATGCTTCCGCCTGAGGAATGATCCGTGCCTTGCCTGAGACGTTTCAGTTTTCATGCCATGGCATGGCTCTCAGATGGTGTCAGAATTGCATGGTTGCTGTTGCTCAGGTTTCCGGCAGTGCACCGGCCGCTGCTGACGTACGTCAACACTGCCCTGGTGGCACCGGCGTTGGGGCACCAGGTGGGGTATAGAATACGGGATCCTGAAAGCACCAACTCTGCCCTCGACTGCCATCTCAGAGGCACTGGGTCTTTTGGGCTTCCACCCTTACCGATCAGGAAGCACCGAGCAACTTATCTGTTAAAGTTTCCACATGCTTCCGCCCTTTGGCCGCGCAATGTGCCAAAGTCCCCAGGTACTGGCTCCGACCTGCTGGCCAGAATCGCCAACACGTCTCTGGCCGGCCACGCATGCTGGAGCTCCTTGGACAGCACGGTGATGGTTCTGAGAAAGACGCAGCGAGTTGCAGAAGACTTGCCTGAGGCGTGGCAGGGCCCTGGTCTTCTGCCACGGAGTTGGGGTGGGACCTGCCATGCAGTGGCCTCAGTAGCCCTACGGTCCCTACGTTCCTGTGACACCTGTCCAGCATGGCTCTGTTAACCATTAAAAGCATCGTGGCGCTGCTGACCAACGGTTCAAGACCGCGCAGGTGCCTAACCTTCTTGCAGAGACTGACAAAGACCTTGGGCCAGGACTTCCGACTCTCCCCAGCCCTTAATTTGCGTCGATGGACGTGGCGTCGCTTCAAGAAGTAAGCGTTGGCCATATCCACGAAGGGTTGGAGGGTTTCTGGGCGGAGTGGGGAGAGTGGAGTTGCAGGACCATGCCATATTCTTGGTTGACACCGCTGGCATCTCAATGAGATTCTCGGACGACGTCCCTGGCGCGCAGGAGGCAGCGTGGACAGGATGGGAAGAATCGCCGCCAATTTCTTCCCAATCCCCCAAAGCCGCCAAAGGTTGCGACGAACATCCGGAACATGCTCCAGGCCAGTAAAGTGCTTTGCTGTGGTTTTCCCAACTAGCTTTTGGACTCGTGCAGGTCTGGGGTCTGCAGGAAGCTCACTTCATTGGGCACTCGTTCGGGTCGTTCGTGGTGGCGTGGGTGCTGCGCTATTCACGGAGTTGTGTGACAAGGCCCGCGGAAGAGAGAGATTTTAAAGTCCTTCAGGGAGGGGGGTTCAAGTGGGGTATGTAACCCAAGGTTCCCTAATACTCCCCACTACTCCCTAAGGCTCCCTAAGCTTCCCTAACTTTCCCCAGGTACTACCTACCCCAAATGAACCCCGCTCCCTAAAGAGAGCAACTGAGCAAGTGCAGAGTGCAGACCATGGCGCAGGACGACTCTCATTGACCCAGTGTGCTTCTTGCTACTGAAAGTGCTGGTCCAAGGCCTACATCCTAAACCCTAAACCCTGAATCGTAGTCAACCGTACATGTGTGTGTGTGTGTGTGTGTGTGTGTGGGGTGTTGTGGGTGTAGCCCGCTTTGCAGGCCATGAGCTTCAGCAGGTTCGGCATGACACTGGCATGGATCCGCGACCCGGAGGGAATCTAGGGGTTCGGGTGCACAAGGCATGTGTGTGGGATACGCATAGTCATTGCCGCAGGCTTGCATACCGTACTAGAGCCTTATGTACGAGGATGGAGATCGTGCTGAAGTACTTCGTCATGACGGAGCTTTTCACCTGCAACTTTGTCTGCCGGTGCTTCTTCTGGGAAGAGTCGCACTTGGATCCCAATCTGCACGTGGATTTCAGCCGGTTGGCGCTGCTGCCACATATGCTTCTGTCATGCTGCGATGTGTCGTTCTTCGCCAAGCCAATCTTACATCTCGCAGTTGCCCATCAGGACATGCAGGATTTGGAAGGCGCAGAAGCAACTTGCGTACTGACTTTTTGCCTAGTGGACAGCCATGCGCACGTGATCACGTCTCCCTGATGCCAGACACAGCAGCTCTGGTCATTCTCGAGTCTGAAGACCTTGTGGTACCCACCTACTCTGTCCGGAGCCTCGTCTTCGCGGAGTGGCGGCGCAGGCCACAGTGCGCTCGAAAGTGAGATCAGCTTTGTACATTTTGCACACCTCAAGTTACTGTGCTTTTTAGAGCTTTAGATTCTGTACTTGTGGCAAGGAAGTTGCAGGAGCCGGCGGGATCCCAGGCTGGAAGTGCTGCGATAGATCTTCTCCTCTGAGTCTTGCCGCTTTCGGCGAAGGCCAAGAGCTCTCCGCTGGAACTTCACTGGGTTGAGGACCAGCCACATGCAGGCAGGAAATTGCCAGAGTGATTGCTGGCCTCAGTGACAGCCGCATTTGCTGCTGTTGTGCAAAGGCTTTCTGCTGGATGCAGTGGCCAACCAGGAAGTGTGTGAGCGGCTCCAAGCATTCCATGAATCGTGAAAGCGAGGGCGCTTGAACGAATGGTTCCGGAGTGTCGTTTGTATTTTACACTCCTCTCCAAATTTGATCATACGGAGTGTCTCAGCAACAGAGTCGGATGTCATCCGCTTGTCATCCGAGCAAACTTATCAGCGTACCGAATCTTTTGTTCAGAGGGTCTGCATGGTCTATGCTTTTGTGATGCTGCCAAGACACCTCCACGTTTTCAATGGGATGCATATTGCTGCAATCGCTCACCTCAGCTTGCCCAAAGCGGCATGCGTTGCACTGCGGCTGTTAACGATTCAGGCGTGATGTCTGGCCCGTCAGCACTGCGGGAACGTTCTGACCTCGCTGTTGAGTTCTGTGATGCTCTTTTCTGAAATTTCTGATATGCGGTTCGATGCGCAAATGCTCGGAACGTCCACGTCGTCGCTTCAGGACTTGTAGGCATTTTAGGTAGGGCTGGCTTTGACGGCTTTGACTCCTCTGAGCCGGGCCCGCAACATTGGGGCCACTTCGTATAGGCAGGAGGCTCAGACACCTAGCTGGTGACAAAGAAAGTGCGTCCTCAAAAACCGATGAGCACCTGAGCTTCTTCTTATGTGACTCCCGTGGTCTCCGTGCTTGGATCGGAACGCGGGCTGGGGTGCAGCGTGATGCGCCACGTCCGTTTTGTGCGGCGCTGCCATGTGGCTCTTTGACACCTGGTACAGAGGGCATGATGCGGACGCCCCAGGAGATCACCAAAACCCTCAGTGGAGCTACCAAGTCGGAAGTTGGAACTTCACCCCAGCACCAGAAGCACTAAATGGCCTAAAGCCCTGAAGCCCTATATGGCCCTGTATACCCTAAACCCTAAACCCTAATACTACAAACCTTATGAAATTTTCTCACAGCAGCTTCGGGTTGCATGAGCGGCAGCCTCGCTAGCGAGAGGTTCGCACAGTGGGTCATGGGCCGGCGCAGAGACCGAGGTAGGGTCGGCTGTCTTAGTTTGGGGTTTAGGGTTTAGGGCTTTTTTTTGCTTCAGGTTTTGTTTTGGGGGGTTTGGGGGGTTCGTCCGGAACTCCACCCTTGAACCCAAAATGGATAATGAACAATCACAGGGTGAACAACCACAGCCCTAAACCCCCCAATTGCCAGGCTCTGGAGGCTATGGCGGCTCCTGGGACGACAGGCGGTCGAACTCACTGAGCTCAAACTTTGAAAGCCCAGGATAGGTCCTTGAAGCCCATAAAGGCCCCCGGCCCAACGCTTAAATGGGTTTAGGGTTTAGGGCTTAAACTCCTGCAAGCTGCGAGAGCCTGAATAAGACACTGGAAGCCCTGGAAGCCCGTGAGACCCCCTGGAGCGACCTTCAGCTTGAACCCACATCCCCACAGCTCCTTAAATTTGGAATCCTAACCCCCAAATCCCAGACCTTGAATCCTAAACCCTAAACCCTCAACCCTAAACCCTAAGCCCTAAACCCTAAACCACTTAAAGCCTCTCAAGCCGAACTTGCTTTCGCAGGTGGGAGGAGCCCCGGCTTCAGTGGGTGAAAGCCGGCCAGGCACAGGAGAATGGGGAGGCTGAGGAGCCGCTTCGCCCGCGAAGGGTTTAGGGTTTAGGCTTTAGGCTTTAGGCTTTAGGGTTTAGGGTTTAGGGTTTAGAGTTTAGGGTTTAGGGTTTAGGGTTCAGGGTTAAGGTTTCGGGGTTTGGGGTTTAGGGTTAATTATGGTGCATCAGTGAAGCTTGCAAATCGTTTGTGATGCGTGAAAAGGGTTTTGGGTTTGGGTTCTATAGTACTATAGGCCTGAACCTGTCATTTTAGCTGCTGTTTTTGGTTTAAGGCTTGCTGGCATTGTCGGCCCAAGCTTTAGGCTTTTTGGGTGTCGGCTTTGAGCTTGAGTATGTGTTCTCTCTTTTTTTTTGGGGGGGGCGGGGGGGTGCGAGTGGGTTTCGAAGTGTGTAAAGATGCAGAGCGCTTGAGGCTTAAGCTTCTTGTTGGGTTTTTTTGTGAGGATCAGTTGCGCGTTCACGGGACAAGCTCTTGAGAGAACCTGCTTCCCGTCTTGGTGGGAGGAGTACGCAAAAGGTGGCAAGGCCAAGAAGGTTGTCACCTCAGATCACCTCAGTGACACTCATGCCCATAAGCACTTCATCCCACCGCCGCGGTTGCTGAAGACACGCGTTGTCATCCCAGGACTCCAGAAATGTGCGTCCGGAGACTCCTCAGCACAGACTTCGCTTGCACTTCGATGATGCTGACACAGCGAGGGCCCCGTTCAGTCTTGCTTCAACTGCTTATTGACGGTTGCTGCAGTTTCATGTTGGTCGCGTGTCCAGTGAGGCCTTCATCCTTGGCAGGGGCGGAAAGACCAAGCACAAGATTGCACGAGTCTCCGGTGCTTCGGCCCAACATACTCGCCTTTCATGTCTGGATCAGAGTCAGAGTGCTGTCCGGCTTTGGCATCGCACCTTTAAGGCGCAAGGCTGGAGCTCCACGAGAGGCGCACCTGGGGCTCAGTAGCAGGCTTGAGGTTCCCAGAGGTGCAGCCCAACCCTGCGTGTGGCAGACTTGGCAGCCTTCAAGAAGTTGTCGTGCCTTTGCAGCATGTCTGCCAGGAACAACACAGTCCAGGTGTCTGGCTCAGAAGAGGCACGCGCTTTTACCTTGGAAGAATGCAAAAAGGGTTGAGGGTTCAGCAGTGAAATCTGCAGAGCGTGGACATCACAGGCTTGCGCAAGGGCTCGCAAGTACATCTCCCTCGCCAGAAGCTGAGTATTGTGCAGGGACTGCCAGCATAGCAGCGACACCATGCGTGACAAAGCATCGAAGCATATGATGCGGCCACTTGCAGCTGCATCAAGCCGACGCTCGACCACAGCAAGACCTACACCTAAACATGGCCATGGCGACCTTGCCGAGGTGCAAGCTCAGCGCGTTGGCCCCGTCCACGTGGACAACGGTCATGCTGCTTGTTTGAGAACCTACCTTGATGGGTGCGCATGCTGCATGGTAAGAACTTGATGCGCTGGCAGTGTTTAAATGAAAGCGTCCTGCATCACTTGTGTGCGCGTCGAGTCCCCAAGCTCGCTCTCTCTGCTCCAGTCCAAGTGCCAAGTGCTGGCACCAAGGATGATGGCGATCTCACCATGATGGATGTCCCGAACAACTGCGTAGCCTTCGTCACAGGCATGCCGATCGTGGGGAGCGGATCGTAGTTTCTCAACTCCTGGCCAGCTAGCCATCAAGGCGGTCATTTTTTTCCTGCACCCCGAGTTCCCTGACCTCCAAATATCCTAAACCCTAAACCCTAATCCCTAATCCCTAATCCCTAAACCCTAAACCCTAGCAGCCAGCGCCAGGCTCTGGAGGTAACTTCCTCCGCGCCTGCGAGGAGGCAAGCAAAGCACTCCAATTGGCCCTGACACATCCCAGAACCCCCTGCAGTTGCAACGGCAGGAGTGGGGAACTCTCATGTTCTTCTGCGACTACCAGACTCCGGCCTTAGGCCGGGAATTCAGGGCAGTCGCCGAATTTTTCAATACCAACAGGATAGGTACAGCTATCATACTGATACTAAAGACGAAGACTAATTCTAGTGCTGCTAGGCTAGGAGTACTAGATCCAGTACATCATAGTACATAACTACTGTCCTTATTACCATTACTATGACTATCACTATGACTATGACTATTACTATGACTATTGCTATGACTATGACTATGACTATGACTATGACTATGACTATGACTATGACTATGACTACACCTATGACTACGCCTATGCCTATGGCTATGACTATGATAATTATTCTTATTCTCCTTATTCTTCTCCTGCTTATCATTTCTACTAACATTAACAACCTTAGCAGAGGCAAGGATCCGGGATACTTGGCCAGGCCCGGGCTTAGAGCGCGAAGCTCCGACTGAACGCCGACGCCTCGGAAACTTTGCGCTGCTCCAAAGACTTCTCATCGCACTTTAGGGTTTAGGGTTGAGGGTTCAGGGTTTAGGGTTTCGGGTTAAGGGTGTACCTTGGAGGTTCACCAGGGTACTTAGAAGTGGGGTTATTATAAGTAGGGCAAGTATGGTTAAGGTACTTCTAACCCTACTTATCAGTACCCTGTTGAACCTCCAAGTACCTTTGAGTGGTGGCAGAAGGCAGAACCGATCAATGTAAGAGTACATGTTCCTTTTTTGTTTTTTTGGGAGGGTTCCTATTCACGAAGGTTCGGCATATGAGGGCGGGGGGACCCTAGTTTTGGGGAAACGCCCATATCATCCAGGTCATCGGCAGTCGCTTCTCTGGTGGTATGACCATGGAGCCCCCCCCGCCTTGATGCTTGCCCTTGAGAGCCCCTTAAGCTACCCTGAACTCCAAATAAACCCTACACCCTAAACCCCTAGGCCCCTAAACTCTAAGCCCCTATAAGCCCTAAACCCCTAAGCCCCTAAACCCCTAAAGCCTAAGCCCTAAACCCTAAACCCCAAACCCCAAACCCCTAAACCCTTAACCCTTAAACCCTGAACCCGAAGCTCCCCTGTCAGGTCTGGCAATCTTTGGACCTCCCTGGGGACGTGCAGGGGCCGAGCTCAAGATCATGGCGGCCATCGAAGCAAAGTTGCCAGGCAGGGTTTAGGGTTTGGGGTTTAGGGTTTAGGGTTTAGGGTTTAGGGTTTGGGGTTTAGGGTTTAGGGTTTAGGGTTTAGGGCCACCCGCAGGGGGAAAGACCATGTGGCTCCCGCCGACTTCACAAGTACCTATTCAAAGTTGAAAACCGGAAAAACGTGATTCGGTAAACTGGAACCGCAGATTCAGGAAACTCGAAACCGCGGATTCGGGAAACTGGCAAGCGTGGAGTTGGAAATCGCAAAGTTTTCTGAAAGCACTTTTGACATGAACGTTATCATCCTGCCTCCACGACCCCACCCCCTACCCGATGTGGTTTCCTGAACTGGGCAGCTTCCTGAATCACGTGGTTTTCTGAATCGTGTGAAGCCAGTTTCCTGAATCGGGTAGTTTCCTGATTCGCCTAGTTTCTTGATCCGCAGTCTACTGAACCACCGGAGTTGCCTGAATCGTGACTTCCTGAATCCTGGATTCCTGAATCGTGCGTCTGAGTTGCGCATCGTTCTCCTGCGGGCCGACTCGTTTGATAAACTCCCATGTCTCGCCAGCTCGGCAGACCGCAGACCATCGACAGGTCACTACACGAGCGGGATTGGTGATGCGCAATCTGAAGAGGAGCCCGGCGCAGTCTGCTGAATGGGTGCTCTACGCACCTTGACCTTGAAGGTCTTCCAGGGGCTGTAGGCAACGCATTCCAGCCGACTGTTGCATCCAGGAGGGATGGGCCATCGACACCATGCCACTGACAGGTCGTGGCCTTTGCTCGGATGCATCACCCTTGATTAAACACACTGCAACGAAGCAAAGCTGCCCCGCGCCTCCTGGGCACCACATTATGTCAAGGCCAGGAAAAGACCTGTCAGTCATGCTAGTGCCATGCAGCGTGTGGCTAACACCTTCGAGTGGCTTAAGCTCGCGCACCCAGGAGATGAGCTGTCCTTCGCCTTGGGCAAGGAGGGGGCAACGCGGAGAAAGTTGGCCAACGCCAGTGGTGCCCGGCCGAGCTTTCTCACACCATAATGGTTGAGGGCTTAAGTTGAGCCCAGCAGTGCCAACACAGCTAGCGCTGCTTTCATCACGTGTTTCCCGCCTGAGCTCCCTGGCCGGCATCCGCAGCATGCACATGTAGTAGCCTCGCTTTCCGCATCTCTTACATCTTCAAGTATCATCGCAGGGATGACACAACTGTCGAGGATGCATCCTCGAGTACATCGGCAACATTGCTTACATGGCTGGCGTTCGTGCAGAACGACAGCGAGCTCGGGACCACACAATCCGATCTTCATTACATGCGAGCGCAGTGCAGAGGGTCACGCATAACATGCCTGAAACCCCAGAAACATGGAGATGAAGAGGTGGACCGAGCGAATCGAGCCCCAAACATCTCCAAAAAGGACTACATCACTTGGTTGAAGCAGCAGCGGATCGGGCCCGTCTACATCGACATCTCCACCCGCAGCGATGCTGCGGAGGTCCTTTCTGCTCTTGAACTCTTGAGTTGCAACTGCGCACTTTTTGGAACCGTGACCCAAAAGGAGACTATACGGTATGAATGCGCAATAGAGAACGGTGTTCTTTGGCATTGCGCGGCCTCGAGACTCGACCTACCTGCGATCCTTCCCACCGCCCCGTGCACCCACCCCCCCCCCCAACCTCTGCCATAGGTGAAGGTGCCGCGCGAGCTAACTGGCATCCTCAAAGGCACGCTCTCTGCTGTTGTCGGAAGAGTACCTTGCAGTTGCCAACAAAGATGGACGTCAACTGGGCGAACTGTGCAGCCCTGAGCCCAACTGGCCCCAACGACTCCAGTGGCCCTGAAGCCCATGAGCCGAGAATGGGTGGCCTTGTGGTGCCTCCCTGCAGCCCTAAACCCTAAACCCTAAACCCTAAATCAATATGCTGTAGTCCCAGCTTCCAGAATCCCAACATCGCCCTGCCGGACGCCAGAGTTCGCATATTCCTGGTACAGCCATGCGCCCCAACAGGTTACTCAGCATTTTCATGCAAAGACTAAGAGAGGCGCTTTCCCAGCGCATGGTGCCCTTTTTTTGGAAGATTGCGGAAACAATATGCCTCTTGAGTCAGGCTTCTCAGGCTTCAGGCCTGTGCACCGGGTTATCCGAAGAGGGAAGCACGACATCTCCCAACGCAGCCAATCCCATGAGCAACATGTAGATTCACATCGCGCGGTTGACGAGCTTAAGTGCCCCGCGTTCAAGTGCATCTTTTCGCGGCACTCCTTCAATCCTAAAATAAAAAAACCAAGCCCTAAACCCTACAGAACTGAGCACATCTCGAATGTTTTGCCCAAATCCGGTCAGGGGGCTGCAGGGTCTTGGGAGCAAAGGTTCAGAGAGGGTTCGGGGTCTTGGGGCTACGCTATGCCAACCTCGGCTGATTCATATTATGCATCTGCAGAGATGTTCAGTGATTTGCATCTTTTTTTTTGCTGATGGCATGGCCATCGATGCTCTTGCCTTGATCAGGCACAACGCTCAGAGACATCGAGCACGAAACGGACACGTTCTGTTTCCTCGAAGGAGACGTGGACTCGTCCGTCTTTTGACTGCAGCTTGGGATCTTCTTCTTTTGCGTGCCAACACGAGAGCAATTTGCACCTTACACTGTAGTGTCACTTTAGTTCCTGTAGTTACTCTAGCTACTGTAGTTACTGTAGTTACGAAAAAGAGAAGTGGGCGTGTCCAAGACAATCAGGAACGGCTTCTCATCTTCGGTGCATCACGGGGCCGGCGTCAAGCTGAAAGGAAGGCAGCGAAACCGGGTTATAAGCTGTAGAACCCGGATATATCCGGATATGCTGGGAAGTCGAGTGAAGCACAGGCGAAAACTCCGGCAAAAGCCGGGCGATCCCTGCAAACTGCCCGGTGCAGGTACAGGAGCTCATCAGAGCCCGGCCTCCACGGCAACCCGAGGCGCATGTCAGATGAGGGTTGATAAGGGTTCTTGAGGTTCAAGATTTAGGCTTAGGATGTAGGATGGTTCAGGGTCGTTGCCAAGGACTTGCTTTCCGCCCAACAGAGTTGCAATAGCATCCTCCCACAGTACAGGGGATCCGTTAGAGCACCCCTTGTGCTGAACTTCTCCTTGAAGGAGGAGCTCTTCAACGGGCATACGGGTTACGGCCGCGGCCTCGGAGGTCTCTCAGGTCCAATTCGAAGTCTGGTCCTGTTTTCGGAGCCTTGTAGAATTGAATCCTGTGCAGTTTATATAGCGGTTTTTGTCGGTTTTGGGTTTCATCGAGATCCGAGGCAACAACGAAGGCCAGCAGCTGACAAAAGCGGAGATTCGCACCGGGCAGGCCATATGTGCGTCCCTGGACAAGGACCTGGGGTTCATTGCTCAAGGGTTCAGGTTTTCGCGGTTAGGGTTTAGGGTTTAGGGTTTAGGGTTTAGGGTTTAGGGTTTAGGGTTTAGGGTTTAGGGTTTAGGGTTTAGGGTTTAGGGTTTAGGGTTTAGGGTTTAGGGTTTAAACTGTTGCATTTTCTGGCTGTCAAGATGTGCAAAGGCTGTTACCGCCCAACTGACCTCCAGGAGAAGCTCCTGGCTATCCAGCAGTCTTGCGGCGCTCGGCTCACACAGCAGGGCACGGACAACGTGCAGCTTGGCGCTCCATGGGGCTCCTCTCCAGGGTTTAGGGTTTAGGGTTTAGGGTTTAGGGTTTAGGGTTTAGGGTTTAGGGTTTAGGGTTTAGGGTTTAGGGTTTAGGAACCTGTCGACAATCAATACCTGAGCTTGTGAGCGGGGGGAAAATGCAAGGGACGACCACTGACCAAAGCGTCTGCACAGGAACACCCCCAAAGGAGCGGCACGGTCATCCAGAGTATGCTGGCAAAGGCATCGACATGATATTTTGGTATTGAAAATGCAACGGGATGAATCGAAGGGCGGCTCGCGTTCCCCAGGACCAGAAACTTGCAAGTAAAGCTGCCACCTTTATTCGCTCTTGCCACGGCATGCCACCGCTGCCAGCGTGCGACTCAGGCTGATCCAGGGATATTCGCAACAAGTGAATCTGGCCACTGAGTTTGCAGTTCATTGCAACACCATGTAACTCCATTTAGTGCGAGCCTTGATAGCGGCTTGCTTTGAACCAAGCTCCGCAGTACACTGAAGGCCAAGAAGCAGCTTCAAGAGTACATCTTCGGCCTCAAAGTAGATGAGGACTGCGACTTTGCCCGGCAAACCGGTGTGAAGATTTCGATGTGCCGGCAGCTATCCCAGGAGTTCACAACTCCAAGCGGAGTTCCATTCCACATCTTCATCGCCAAGGCAGCAGATGGCACGCCCTCCATCTTGGAGGAGGCACCTTGAGTCAATCCTGGTCCAGAACTCGTCAGAGCCGAAACAAACAACACTCCAAAATCCAAAAGCCTCTTGCCACACGCACGTTCGCAGTTGTACACAGAACAGTTGGGCTTCTGCATCCATGGAGGGCTTGGGAATCGCATTGATGTTGCGCCGATGCCTGCCAGGTCAGGAATCGAACTCGAGTTCGTGTGCAGGCCAAGAGCTGCGAAGCAGACGACGTGTGCAATTGCAGTGCTCTGGTTCCGGGGTTTGGGCGGATTGGGGTTCGACAGCAAGCCACCACGCGCAAGATGGCCCACGTACATTTCTCATGGGCTTCAGTTGGCAGGTAAAGCAAGCGGAGAAGAAGATCATCCTTTCTGGAATCTTCTCAGCACGCAGCTGAGAACCAATGCCTCGCAATGCTATGCCTTGGGGAGACCCTGCGGATTGCAGTTGACAGAGGCCCATTTTGGTCGCATCACTTGTGTGGATGCCACATGTTGGGGAAACGGCCTTGGTGTGTACAGTTTTGGGGGCTGGTGTGGATCGTTTCTTCTCCTTTCCCAGGAAGTCATTTCCACGGATGTGCAACTTTGACATTGGCGTGTTTACTTGACTGTGCCGCGTCATGGGGTCATGTCAATGTGGATTCTCACTCTCTCTCTCTCTCTCTGTGTGTGTGTGTGTGTGTGTGTGTCTCTGTGTCTCTGTGTCTCTGTGTCTGTGTGTCTGTGTGTCCCGATCACAAAGGATTGTTGACTTTCCAGCAGGGGGGCATGGCCCTCACTCACAGACCATGCCCACCGAAGCTAAGTGAGTGAGGGGGAGATCCATAAGGACGCCTGTGGACGCACCTGCTAAGCTGAAGCTCAGAGTGGTTATTCTCACTTTCGGGGGTCGCAAGAGTGTGTGTGTGTGTGTGTGTGTGAACAAGTGAGTGCCTAGTGTGTTTGCCTCTCTGTGCGAACCTGTGTGTGTCTGTGTCACGAAACCAAATTCAGGCCCCTCCAGTACCAGAGTCTTCTGAATTCATGTTTTAGCATGCACAGCATACGTGGTGTTGCAATGCCGAGGTCGTCTCGAATGCCCGCAAGGATCTGCAAACATTCCTGAGTTCTTTTGTGACCCACGAGGCCACGGCATTGGGGCTTCAGGGTTGAACCCTAAGCGACTCCAGACACACCTATAACCTACTTAGAGGACTTAGGGGGCTTAGGAGGCTTTTCTGTACAGTAAAAAATTGGGGTTATAAGTTATAAGTACTCTGAACCTCCAAGTTCCCCCTATACCCATTGAGTGACAGGTGCATCTGAAGAAGGAGCAGTTGGAGAAAGTCTCCGCCCTTGGAAAGCAGCGCTTCCCCAAGCTGCAGCTTGGGCTGCATGGATGTTTCTGCGTTCGGTTGAGGGCTTAGGGTTTAGGGTTTAGGGTTTAGGGTTTAGGGTTTAGGGTTTATATAGGGATTAGGGTTTAGGGTTTAGGGTTCTAGCACTACTGCGAAGCGCTTGGTGTGGCTCAGCAATGCTTTTCATAGCACCCGAAACCCTAAACCCCAAACCCTAAACCCTAAACCCTAAACCTGGTGTCCAATCATGTTGGCTGAGGAACAACTTCAGGCATCTGACGATGGCTCAAATCAACAAGGTGCCCTGTCTTTACGGCGGTTCCGTTCATCCGAAACCCTCGTTGCACCTGGCACCACGTGGAACCCCCCGCTCTCCAGGAGCAGCTCAAGTTGACCCTCTCCGGGGCGCCGGATGCCGTGAATGAGGCCCAGAACACCCTGTCGGCTTCTTTTTCCAAAGGCCCTGAGGCATGGCGACTTCTTCACGGGATCCCTCCACGGTTTTAGGACCCTAAACCCTAAACCCTGAACCCTTTACCCCTTAAACCCTAAACCCTAAACCTCTCTGTGGAGGCTCGGGAGGAAGTGGATGGCCTCTTCCAGGAGCAGGGCTGGGCCGCCGCATCGGCTGACATGCGCCTCTCCCGGAGGTTTTAACTCCTTTCCGGATTTTTGAGGGGGGTTGAGCTTAGGGGTTTAGGGTTTAGGGTTAAGGGTTTAGGGTTTATGGTTGGGGTTTGGGGTTTAGGGTTTAGTTTCAACTCGTTTTCCGTAGTTTTGAGGGGGGTTGAGGGCTCCAGTCTTAGGGGTTTAGGGTTTAGGGTTTAGTTTGGGCTTCAGGGTTTCGGGGGTTTAGGGTTCTGACGGGCGGTTTAGGGTTTTAGGGGTAGTAGAGGGTACCTGTCTCGAGGTTTGCTGCGAAGCACAGCATGTCTCGCAGCACCGTGCCCGGCAAGCCTGACGCGGAAGGCCCCTGCTCCTGTCATTTCTGTAATGTAAAGGGATGCGGAACTTCCTGGAGACTCCGCTACAGCCAAGTGTGCTCGGTAACAGCCTAGGCCGCCGCAGGAACTAATAGCCACAGGAACGTGCAAGGCATGCACCATAACACACTAAACCCCTAAACCCCTAAACCCCTTTACCCCTTTACCCCTTTAAACCCCTAAACCCCTAAACCCCAATTTTCACGAATTTTATCCGTGAAGGAGCTGGCCCCAACGAGAAGATCCGGCGCGACGGTGGGAAGACTGCAGAGATCCTGCAACTCACTGTTCTCCGGCTTTAGGGTTTAGGGTTTAGATTTGAAGAAGGGGACCCTAGCTCGTAGCCCCCTTCTGGAGGTCTCCGGGCTTGGTGCTGTCTGGCTAGCTGCTAGTTAGACATTTCGGTGCACTTTGCCATAAGGACATGGACTCAGCATTCATCCTGGGTCGCGGCGGCAAAACCAAGCACAAGATTGCACGGGTGTCCGGAGCAACGCTGGAGCTGCATGAGCACAACTGTGCCTTGGCGGAATGAAGTGAGAAGCATGCTTCAAGGGATTGGTGCGTGGGTCGGAAGTGTGAAGTCGAAGTGAAGGCGCTGGTTTTCTGGCAGGTTGACAACAGCACGCAACAGACTTCGGACTACCGAGGGAAGCTGCATGTAAGCAAGTTGGATCAGGCACGGTGGAGATCATCGGTGCAGATCCTGAGCGCCGGAGAGCAAGGAAGTATATCAACCTTGTGTCGGGGCAGCACGTGGAGTAAGGGTGTTGTTGCATGCGCTCACCATGGCTAAACATCCCGTGGAAGAGAGCTTGTTGGGCGGTCAGTGCTTTCAGTGGTAGGGCATGAATGAACCATTCGTGAACCATCCGAGGTCGTTTTAGTGAACGCGGTCAAAGCTGCGAGCACTCAGGTTCGCGCCCAGCGCGTTGGGCCAGTGCACGTCACTCCAGACCAGCACGATGACGGGGACCGGGTCTTTGCCTGCTTCGGGATTTCAGAGGTTCTCAAAGCCACGCATAATGATGATGACTTAATGACCCTCTTCCTGTCTATGCCCTGAGCCCCCTTGTTGTTGACAACTTGTTGAATCCGTGGAGTGCCCCTACTGTGCTGATGCTCGGAGAGCGTTGCGCTGTTGTACCACCCACAGATACCTCAGAATTATCCGTGTCTTGCCTACTCAGCCATATTGACTCATTGCGCAAGTCGCCCTTGTGCGCCGTGAGCCCCGCCACAGTTTGGACATGGGACCTCTTGAGGCTTTCGAGGCCACCTTGTGTCGGAAGAGAAGAACTTCCAAGATCACGTGTTCAGGTACTTGAAAAAAGAGCATGCGAGCTTCCTGTGCCCCTTTGAGTCCACTTAATAGACCTCTAAGGGCAGTGGCTTGGTGAAGAAAGTGGCACCGGCTTTGGGGCTCGGGCTCGCGGGTCTCCTGAGCCGTGCAGAACTTCGGGGTCCACCGCAAGTCCCTGAACATGGCGACGCACATCTGTGTTGTCAAGAAAGCCAGAAAGTTTGCCTCCAAGAGCTTCCGTCAAGTGAAAAAGCGTGCTGAAGAACCGCCAGAAGCGCCCCAAAACGGCCGCACACGTCAAGAAAAATCACACGGATGCTTCCAGCTTCATCGGCGGGAGTAGTGGGATGGGCCTACAGTACAGGACATCATTGGTTTGCGCTGACAGTGGGTCTTCTGCTCTATCGATTGCCTGGTATTGCCATCTACCAGCCGTGCCAGTCCAATTCTCCCAACCCTGCAAAACATCAGCCAACATCACTTTCAGGCTGTGAGCCCTTCCCAGCGTGAAAAAACTGGGAATGCTCTCATAGGAAAGATGCTCTTGTGGGCGTGCTCATTCAGGCGTGCGCTGTTGCGACATTGTTGCATGCGCACAGGATCTCACGATGATCCCTGTGCCGACAAGCTGCGTTGGCTTCGTCACCGGCTCCCAGGGGAATTTCCTCAGGACTTGTGCCCCCAAGCCCTAAACCGGGTTTAGGGTTTGAGCTCCCCAAACCCTAAACCCTAAACCCTCAACCCTAAACCCCAAATCCTACAGCTTTGTGGACTTGGAGCTCAGGACCTGCGAGGAGGAATGGGGCACCCTCATGTTCTTCTGCGACTATCAAGGCCTGATCTCTCTGGTTTGCTTGCGGAACAAAAACTGTAACATCCTGTAGCAACTGTGGTGCAATGGCTACAGTCGAACTCTAGTTATTGCAGAAACTGTAGTAATTTCATGGTCTGCTCCGTGCGCCATGTAGTATTTCGTTGTCAATGCCTGGAGTCTTGATAGCGCTCTAGCGACCCCTAAACCCTAAACCCTAAACCCTAAACCCTAAACCCTAAACCCTAAGAGTATGCTTGGAGGTCCCGGAGGAAGCCCTGGAGACTCCGAGAACTTAGCGGCCGGCTCAACCTCTCGGAGCATTCGTCCTTTGCGAGAGTAAGGGGCTCCCATGTTTAGGGTTTAGGATTTAGGGTTTAGGTTTAGGGTTTAGGGTTTAGGGATTAAGGTTTAGGGTTTAGGGTTTAGGGTTTAGGGTTTAGGGTTTAGGGAAGTTGCGAGGCTACAAGTCGCTTGCGCCATGTCCGAGGCCATCTTCGGAGCAAGGGCCGGGCGGACGGGCGCAGAGCTTAAGGTGATGGCGGCGATCGAGGCCAAGCTGCCGCTGGGGGGCCCAGTTGTCCAAGGGTTTAGGGTTTAGGTCTAGGGTTTAGGGTTTAGGGTTTAGGGTTTAGGGTTAGGGTTTAGGGTTTAGGGTTTCGGGTTTAGGGTTTAGGGTTTAGGGTTTAGGGGCCCATGGCACCGGGCAGATCCGGGGGCAAGTTCGCAAGCTCTGGGAAGGTACTTCTTTACCAAGAACATCACCGACACTTGCTGCCAGGACTCTGCCAACAAAAAATGGGGGTTACTTTTTGTGCAGAGCCAACTCTCGTGGCAGCTCACCCTAAACCCTAAACATCCCTAAACATCCCTAAACATCCCTAAACATCCCTAAACATCCCTAAACATCCCTAAACAACCCTAAACAACCCTAAACAACCCTAAACAACCCTAACCCTAAACCCTTAACATCCTGAACTCTCCGCCGACTTGGGGCCCCCCGAGGACGAGTGGGGCCGCGACACAATCCCTTTGGGAGACGAGGAGCTCTCCTTCGCCTTGGGCAAGGAGCCCCCAAAGAGTTCGATGAAAAAAAGGAAGAGAGAGACTTCCCTCAGAAGACCCCCAGAAAAGGGACCCTAAACCCTAAACCCTAATCCCGAATAACCCAAATCCCTAAACCCTTTGGGGGACTGTGCTCGCCTGTTCGGAGGACGGTGCCACTCGGAAGAAACTCGCCAGGGCCAGCGGCTGCATCCTCGAGCTCCTTCGCTTAAGCCTATTTTTAGGGTTATGGGGGGGGGGGGTCCTTGTTGTAAGGGGTATATACTCGAAAGGCACTCCTGGGTGTCCCAGCCCGGGGAGGTTTCGTGGTTTCTGGGTGAATGTCAGCTAAGTGCTTGGTGGAGCTTGCAGGAGGCTCTCTTCGCAAGAGCTCTCAGGAGGGAGCGCTAGCAAATTGGTTGAAGCATGGACGATCATTGTGGTCTCAGATGTCATCCAAATGACCTTTGATCGTCCTAGGTATGTCGGACATGCAGCCTTCCTTGCCGGATCTCTTCCCGCTCGGAGGCGTGGCACCGGGGGAAGGAGGGGTAGGGAGGCAGCATGAATCATGTGCCTACAAAGCTCTCTGCTAGCTCTAGCTCGCAGGCGTGCAAGAGAATACCTCTCATGGCTGCTGAAGCAACGGACGGGCACAGTGTACGTGGACACCCACAACCGATCCTCGGCTTTCCAGGAGCCCTTCAATGTCCTTCATCTGGTGACTGAAGTGTGATTGTCTGATTGCACTAAGGGAATGATGTTACGGTCGTGGACATTCCACGGGACCTTGAGGCATCATTGCTCTGGTGAAAAGTTTGTGGCGTGCAAGGCAGCATGACAGAAATCGGGAGAGTGCTTGCTCTGGCAGCAGGCGGTTGCTAGCGTCTTCAAGAGCATGACGCTGAGGGGAATCGAGCAGGCAAATCGTTGCCGACGTGGCAGAGCAGATTGAGTGGTGATGAGTTGCTGCTTTCCACGCTTCAACCGTTGCCGGGGGCTGCCGAAGCTGTCTGCAGGACACGAAGACCTTCTGCTTCCTAGAGGGCAACACCAGCAAGTCGGAAAGGTCGCGCCACATGCTTTCACTTTCATCTCCATATTCTTTCTTCTCTCCTACCCCTCTCTCTCTCTCTCCTCTGTCTGTCTCTCTCACGCTCCTGGCTACTCTTCTCCTTCATCTCACCTTTTGTTTATCTCGCTCTCGCTCTCTCTCTCTCCCCTCTTTCTTGTTTCCCCATCCCTCCTCACTTCCCTTGGCCATGAGTGTGAGTTTGGCACCCCAGGACATCTAGCTAGGTTCCTAATGGAAGGACGTCTAACATAACCTTGTGCTTCAAGTAGCACTGTCTCCTCGAAAAAGAGAGCCTTCATCCCTCGCAGCCTTAGCCCTCAACCACTTCATGACCTGCGTCTGCAGGCTCCTCATCTTCGGGCATGACAAGGCTGGCAGAGAGAAGGCCAAAACCATCGCCCTGGGCAAGATTGATGAAAGATACAGGAGACCGATGGCTGGGGCCAGCAGCAAGAGTCAGAGCTCACACTAGCAGAAGAGGTTCTTGAGCTCTTGCGTGAGGAACGATGATGATGGAGGCCCGTGGGTCGGCTGACGATTGCCGCTCACCCAGCTGACGTGGGAGCCGCGCTTGGCAGGCTGGGGTGGTGACTATGGCTGGTCGAACCAAGGCCAGGTTCATCCGTCTTACTTGTATCAGCACTGGGGAAGCCCTAGGATCGTTGCAGGCTAAGGGCTTGAGGGGTCCGGGAATATACTTGGAAAGAAGTACCGATGGCAAGACCCTTCGCATGTTGAGGTGGAGGTGATCGGCACTACGGTGGCTGGCAAGAGCCAATGGAAGTGAGCCAGGGACCCAGGTTGTATCGCGTTGTGAGGGTTTTGAGTTTTTGCACGCACTTGCGGCTCTGCTTTCTTGGCTGCACCCTTGTGGCCTGTCTTCTTTCCCGATGATGTTCGCTCTCGCATCATCTGTGCATCCCCCTATCATGCTTCGGGCGAAGTCACACATCGGGCCGGTCACGATCTGGGTACTGATGCAGCTTTTGCGGGCTGCAGCTCGTGGTCCTCGCAACCGTTGCAGCCATTGAGGGCTGGTCGCGATCCTCGGTCGGGTCTGGCCCGATCACCAAACGACTCGCTCCTTTTCTCAGTCGCAAGAGATGTTCATTAGCCCAGCGTGGGCTGGCCAATGAAAGCGTAGCGATTATCATCACAAACAAGGCTTGCGTTAGGCGCTTGCACCCTTACATCCGCATGAGGGTCAGCTTTTACAAAGCACTGCCGTTAGACTTCAGGTGACAGCTTCCTTCTGCGTGGGGACATCAGCGTTCATGCCGTCGCCTCGGTATAAAAGCTGACGCGACACCCCAGATTCTACTCCCGGCGTGGGGTGTGAGTGCTCTCCTTAAGTCACGGAATGGCGCACCTGAGGTAATGATCCAGACAGGCCCCAACGGCGAAGATCCCGTGATCGAGGCAGCATGTCAGCAGCGTCAGCCGTAAGGAATGGTCTTGCTCAAGCTCAGATGTTCTTGATTCTCCACTGCAGGACGTCGAAAACGCAACAGGGACGAAGCTCACGTCTTCCTAGCCAGCTTGCGTCAGCAGCTCCTAGTCACCTTTGGCCACTACCCTCTCAGCACACGAGCCAGGTTGATGAAGGACAAAGCCATGATTCAGATCCAGGGGACTGCGGAGAAGGTTGGTCAGGTGCGGGGCGCAAGATTGCGAAAGATGAGGGGTTGTTCTGAGTTGTTTGATTTTTGTTCCTCTTTTGGGACTCCTTTGCCGCATCAACGCACAATTGGTTTTGGCGTCATCAAAGCTTACATACTGTCTACATACTTAGTACTGACCCAATCCAGTTTCCTTTTCGCAAGGCCTGTCGTGATCCGTCGTGTTCTTGGGGGGCCGATGTGTCAATGTACTTCAGCTCAGTGCGTTAGCGCTTCTAGGGTTGCTAGAGACTTCTAGGGCTTCCAACCTCAAAAGCCTTACGGCATGAAGATTGCTAGACTTGATACCCCGGACAGGCACGCGACAAGTGTCAGAAGAATCTGATCTGCGCACATCCGCGCTACAGGGCCTCTAAAGCTCTGGTTGGGGCCAGCTCAGGCTTCTCAAGCCCTACATAGTTTGTGGAATCCTGGCCCCCTAACTGCGACAAGTGTTCCAGGCGCCAGAGCAGCCGTAAGGATGGAATGGGGGCAGGAAGGGAGCTAGGAATCATGATGCCAAAAAAAGAAGGGAGGGAAGGGGGCTGGAGGAAAGGGAAGTATGGAGCAGGGACACGGAGATACAAGCTAGCAATAGGGAAATGCCCCATGCCCGCCCAATATCTTTGTCGCCGGTCCATGTTTTCTAGGTTCGTAGATCCCAAACCCTAAACTCTAGATTCCTAATCCCCCAAGCCCCTTCTAAGAGCTGCAACCTCGCCCGTGCGAGGCAAAGCGCCAGCTGCAACAGTTTGCGGACAGGTTCGTCACTTGTCGCTTGCTTGGATCAAGGAGCTCTTTCTCTGAGTATAAATGAGCTCCACCACCCGTAACATGTTCCTGTATGTGTGTTTTGGTATGCGTACCCATGAAATCAAAATCGTCCGAGCACGACACGCGATAGACTGAACGTGAGCTTGGCTACCTTGTTGGGGTCCCTATTATACAGGAATCCGACTATTTTGGGGGTCTATACTAAGGGTCCCTTATTTTTCGTAAACCTGTATAGTAGGAGGGTACTTTCATGTTTGCAAGCAGGGGAGGGACCTGACAGGGTTTCAGGTGTAGGGTTTAAGGCTGAGGGGATCAGTGTACGAGGTCATGACACCCCGATTCTCCATTCACCACCATCAGTAACACCAATACCCTAAACCCCGAACTCTAAACCCTACCTAAACCAAGGCAAGGTGAAGATGCAGCCACAGCCCGAACCTGAGAGATCCTGAGACCTTGCGGGGGCGCAACGTCGCAACGCGCCGGCAAGATCCTCGAAGCCTGGTATCCATGTGGCGAGGATCACCGCAGCCTTGGCCAACAAGGTGAGTGGTGCCCTCAGAATCCCTCCTCAGAATCCCTCAGAGGGCACCGTAAACCCTAAACCCTAAACCCTAAACTCTTCATTCCAAGAGAGCAAATCTCATCCTCTCCGAGGCCACTACATCCGGCCCATGCCTTGGATCTCATCGGCCGAAGTCGAGGAGCCCAAGGACCTGCAGCTTGGCCTTATCAGGAGCCCACAAAGCTTGCTAAGGGTTTAGGGTTTAGGGTTAAGGGTTTAGGGTTTTAGGGTTTAGGGTTCAGGGGATGCATGTAATTCGGCGCAATTTAGGATGACTCAGCCACCCTTATAAGAAAAAGAGCCAAGGCTCAAGATCCAGGGTCACCAGGACAGCGTGGATCAAACGTTCAAGGCCTGCACTGCCAGCGGTGCAGCACAGCGTGTGCGGCATCATCCGAAGTTTAGGGTTTAGGGTTTATAAGGGTTTAGGGTGGATCTTCAGACATGGCAACCGTACAGTGGGCTCGTAGGGCATGCAATCTCGCGCACAGGGCCCGTCTGTGTCTGAATGAAGCAGAGGTTTCAGCGCATGTTTTATGCAGGTCATCCATGAGCTCTACCGTGACCACGGGCTGGAGCTTGATGATGCAGCCGCTTGCACAGTTCATGGTAACTTTTGACATTGTTTGACATGCGTTTCGAATCCACCATGGCCAAAGCTGAACTTGCTTAGGACATAACCATCAAGCGGCGCGACGAGCAGCCAACACATCACCCAGGTAGGGCAGGAAGTACAGTACATACTTTGTGTGCCCCACAACAGGCCAGCTAATGGTCATAAGCACGCAGCATACTGCCGTGCACTGACCCTGCCAGCTGGACGCGCCTTCCACGCTGCTGGCCGTGATTGCGATGTCCTGCGCGTTAGTGAGGACCGGCTGGGATGAGGTTCTGTGAGGTTGGCGGACCAACAAACCGATTGCTTGCAGGATGATGCAGCTTTCATCCTGGGCCGTGGAGGAAAGACAAAGCACAAAATTGCCCGGGTCGGAACCTTAGTGGCAGTGCGTGTGGTACATGGCCCGAGGCTTGAAGCATGAGCCAGAAACCTAGGTGTCTGGGGCCCAGCTGGAGCTGCACGAGCGCAACAGCACGGTGGAGATCTACGGCAGCGGCCTTGCTTGCCATCGTGAATCGGGGACGTCCGCATACTGCTGTTACAGACACCTTCCATTCTCCCTCATCCACAAAAGGTGATGATGAAGTCCGTGCCCGAGCGCGAAAGTACATCGACTTGGTTCGTGCTCAACGAATCGGGCCTGTGCACGTCGACGAGTCGCATGATGATGGGGACCCGGATGTGTGTTCTACTGCATCATACTGCATCATACTGCAATGCAGTATGATAACCAATGTTGCTTCTTGGGTGCTACCCTTGACACAACCTTGTTCCCTTGCTTTCAGCACCGGAGTGTTTGCGCAGGACCTCACACTCATCGCAGTTCCTAGCAGCTGCGTGGGCTGAAAGCTCAGCAGCTATTTGAGCCCGCTTCACAAGGGAAGAGCTTCGCAGCTGTGATGGTGAGTCGGTCATGTTGTTTCGCCCGACCGTCAGAGCCAGCAACTGCCAAGGTTTCGTCACCGGTAGTCAGGGCAACTTTCTTCGAACCTGTGAGGAGGCCCGACACGCATCAGCAAAGCTGCGCGTATCAAGTATGGTGTTCCTCTTTGGGCATAAGAGCACGGAGCGGAAGACCTCGTCGCTGGTGCAGAAGTCCACAGGAATGGGGAACCCTCATGTTCTTCTGCGACTACCAAGGAGGTGCCTACTATTTGCTTAAGATACCCCCCCCCAAAAAAAAACAAAAAGTTATAAGTTATAATCCCTAGATTACCTTCATGAAGAATATGTTTACATTTTGGGGGGTTCTTAAGGTGCCTCGAAGGTCCCCAAAAACCCTCAAATCCTGGAGAGAAATGGCAGGTGGAAGCTTGGACATGTGGGGAGGGAGCTCAGCCGCCTGGCTGCAAAGTCTTTGTAGTCATTGCAGGTCATGCTTTTTGCAAGGTCCTATTGTTCACAGCCTGCGCACTGGCACCGAAAGTGGGATAGGACTTGATCTGATGCGCATTGAGACCGCTTAATTAAGGAGAAGTTGGCGATCTTCGGGACTCTATGGGCTCGCTGTGGTGCAGAGTTGAAGGCCTTAGCTGCTTTCAGTGGCTCGAAGTGGCTAGCAGAGAGTGGCCAGAGCTTGCAAGATGTGCATTTGCGGGCACACGGCGCCCAAAGCATCACGGGCCAAGCACCGTGCCGTATTTCAAGTCTTGGCTGGGAGGTCATGGCTGCCATTGAGACGAAGCTGCCTGGCTTTTACACCACGAACCTTGGAGAGACCCAGTCTTGGGACGAGCTCTTGCCTCAGGACATCCTAGAGCATCCTATGTTGGCAGCAACGCCAAGAGTCATGCAGCTTGCGTGTCTTCCAACGCCAGGTGGGGTACTGATACTTACCCAATGCACAGCGACCAGCTCTCCTACGTACTGGGGCGAAAGGGCTCCACGCGACAGAAGCTGGCGAAAGCCAGCGGCCATGGCCCAAGCGGGGTTCACTTTGCTTGCACCTGGCTGATACCTAGAGCCCTTCAGTGCAATGCCCTGTATTGTTGTGTAGCACACTTGTGTGCGTTAGGACAAGCAGAGCGGCGAATTCTGTAGCCTTTCGCCGCTCAAGCCGCCCGACGCTTCAGCTTCTTTGCCTCCTAGACATCCTTCGACGCGATGGCTTCTTCGTCGTCCACGATGTCCGCCGCTGCCACGCTGCTCCCCCCGTCGGAGATCGCCGCCATTCTCGTCACGGCGATGACGGATCCCGACGTGGCGGTGGAGGTGATGGCGGCTCTCCCCATGCACACCAGGGAGAGGATCGTCGCGGCGCATGCCACCCTCCTCGCCGGTCGCCTGCCTTCCTCCCGACGTTTGTCCTCAGCCGCTGGAACTACCGACCCGGATTGGGAAGGAGTTCAGGCGACTGCCGAGCAGACAAGCTCCGCAGACCGCTTCTCTGCTGCGCAGGAAAGCGTATCTGCTTCGCTCATGCTCAGATACGCTTTAGAGTACTTTCCTGTTGCGGTAGCTGTGCAGATGTCCGAATGTCAGGACCTCACGTCCCGAGCCCCACTCGGAAAGAGTTGAAGTTGATGCGCGCGTAACCGTACAGTTGAGTTGCAGCAGTAGCTGACTACTGGCAGGACCTTGCCGGCGAAGTTCTTATGCCGGAGACAGCGTCTGCGTCTGCTACCCAGGCTCAGACACAGCAGTCACGGCTGCTGCTTGGACACGTGAGGGTTTCACTCGTGATGTTTTCCGCAGGAGCGACAGAATCGTGCCCGAATCACGTTTGCCAAGCCCGTTGCTGTGAAACAGGAGGAGGCGCGCAGTTATGATCCCAAGGACAGACCAGCTGGACCATTTGTGTTCTAGCTTGACCGTTTCCAGGATAGTGACACAGAGCTGCCTACCTCGCTGCTGAACTCTCCAGCGGATGTCGTCGTTGGACACTACCTGCTGTCTTGGGGCGAGCTGGCTTACCAGCTGATGCGGCGAAAGCATCTGTTGCGAGCTCGCTTGGAAGGCGAGTTCCACCTTGACCTGCCGCTGCAGTCGATGTCCGCCTTGCCCTACGCCGCTATGTCCCTCGACGCCGTCGGCAATCAGTATCCAGCCGGCCACGCGAAGAACACTTAGCAGGACCCCAAGCCTGGCAGACCGGGCTCCGGCTGCAGCCACGGGAGTTCCATGCCAAGTTTTGGATTCTGGCCTTGTTGCAAGAGCGCCTTGCAGAACGATTTCGTCAGGTAAAAGGCCGTGAGCCAGAGGGAAGCGACAAAGCGGTTTCCAGAAACTACGCCAAGTTTGCTCGGAAATACATGGAGAAGATGGACAAAGTGCAGCTCGGTGACTTGGCAACATTGAGGTCCGATCTTTTGAACACTGAAACCCAGTAGCGCGGCCTGTCTCTGCCGAGTAGCCATACCCGCGACGCAGGGCCGTCGTTGCTAAGCCGCAGCTTGCTTGCTGGTTAACTGAGGCCAGTTGAAGCCACTCAGTCCCGATTGCCGAGAAGTGCAAGATCCCGTCCAGCTCACTTACGACCTGCGAGAGTTCGTGGAGGAAAATTTCCGGCTCAATATGCGGACGAATGTCTTCCATTTCAGAGATTTGAACGCCGCTGATGTGGATGTGCCGCGATTGTGCTTGGACACAGCGCACGCTACCGCTTTTGTGCTTCCCAATGTTTCAATTTTGGCTGCCTTGCCCACCCTGTAGTGCAAGCAGGCCACCAGTCGCCTCGACCCGGAACGGGAAGAGCGGTGACGGAGTTAGAGGCGCTTGCGCCTTATCAGTCCCATGGTGCACAGAAGCGACCAGTCGGATGAACCCATGTTTGAAAGAGCGATTGCTGTATGTGTGAATTGCTGCATGTGCCGGTGCAGAGAGAGAGAGAGAGAGAGAGAGAGAGAGAGAGAGAGAGAGAGAGAGAGAGAGAGAGAGAGAGAGAGAGAGAGAGAGAGAGAGAGAGAGAGAGCGAGGGAGAGGGCAAGCAGGACACAGTAGCGCAGGCAGAGCACGAACAGCGACAGCAGATGAGGGAAGCGACAGCAGAGGAGGATGACAGGCGCCGCGAGGGAGGGGCCGTAGCAGAAGCAGAAGCAAAAGCAGAAGCAAAAGCAGAAGCAAAAGCAGAAGCAGAAGCCCCACATGCAAGCGGAGGAGTCGTACCAGGCTCCAAACAAGATACGGCAGACAGAGCCAGATACGAGGAGAGGCTCGCAGCCGAAGCAACACAGCGCCCAGGGAGCACCCTGGGGGGCACTCCGAGCACCCTGCACACCCCGAGGAGCACCCGCCCCAAAACCAAGCCGAAGGCACAGCGCAAGGGGGCAAACGTGCCCGCCATCCCAGACGACAGCTCCGAGACCCATTGGAGTAGCAGTGACCACAGCAGCAGCCAGTCAGGAGGACCTCAAAAACAGGACGATGTGGGGCTGGAGGGGGAGGAAGAGGGGGTACGGGATTGGAGTATGGACGGACCTCCGATAGTCCCCCTGCTCCCAGAGTCGCAGGCCATTTTCCATCTTGGTGTCAGGGGCCAAGCGATGTGGACCCTACGCATCAGGCCAAGTAACGAAAGAGTTCCCAGGGGCAAAGGGTGGTCCAGCGCCCGGAGCACACACCGCAACACACAGGCGGGGAGGGTTGCCGTTGCCCGCTAGAAGGGGAACTACGCAAGCTGCGGAGGCATGACACCTGGATACTTGTGGTCACCCACATTGACCATGAAGCGGGGGCAGAGACAGAGACAAAAAGAGAGAGAGAGAGAGAGAGAGAGAGAGAGAGAGAGAGAGAGAGAGAGAGAGAGAGACCGGGGCTGGCCGAGTCACAAGCGTGACTGCTGCAGTAGGCGCGGAAGGGGGAGAGGGGGCAAGGGCAGGACCGGTGGGGGGTAGTCATGGGCACAAATGGGGGGAACGGTCCAGTGCACTCCTCTCTCCTCCAACCAAACCGACCCGAGGCCCCCCGAATACCGGGGCGGGCGAGAACGCCCGGGGGCTCGCCCCCATGCCCCCAAGAAAGAGAGCAGAGTCAGAGAGCAGAGTCAGAGAGCAGAGTCAGAGAGCAGAGTCAGAGAGCAGAGAGCAGAGCGTGACTTCGTCCTGAGCTCAAGGATTTGTGCGCGTACGTTTGTAGCTTTTCTCTATGCTCTCATGGAGTCTTCTCTGAAGCTGAGTTTCCAGGAATTTGCGGATTTGTATCCTTGGATACAGCGTATGAAACGACGGGTCCAAAGTGAATACGAATTAGTTCGGTGCGGCGCTTGTCGTGTAGCGCACTTGTGTGCAAGCAGAGCGGCGAATTCTGTAGCCTTTCGCCGCTCAAGCCGCCCGACGCATTAGCTCCCACTCTCGACCTCCCTTCGGCGCCAGCCGCCCACCAGGGGCGCCGGGCGGGGGCGGACTGGACTGCCGTTGCGCACGTCGCGCTTGTCGCAAAACGATTGGTGCAGTCCAGCCGTCCAGCCGTAGCCCATGCTCTTAGTTCGGTGCGGCGCCTGTCATTGTTGCTGCTGCCTTGTCGGTTCCCTGCCGACCACGAGGCTGCATCATGGAGTATGTTGGCAATATCGCATTCATGGTGAGTTGCTCAGTTTCGGCCGAAGCCAAGTTGCTTAGCGATCACGTCAGTAAGTGTCTCACCCCTTGATCAGTCTGTGTTCGAGGCCGGGTACCTGCCAAATCGCCGCCGGGGAAGAGAATACTTAGGCTTGCACGCTGTTGCAAGACGAAACGTGCAGATACACGCATGCGTTAAAGATCTTTGCAATATCATTCCGGCGTAAGAAGCGCAACTCGTGACATTGCTGCATGGCCTGGACATCTGGGCGGCAGGTTGGCTGTGCGACCAAGTTGGAAACAAGACAGGCAGGATCCTGGCCCAATCATGCGGGAATGGGAAATGATAATATGAGTGGTTGTCAAATTCCTATTATACTACGGCGCCCAACATTTAGGGTACCCCAAAAGGGATCATAATTTTCACAGCCAGGCCGCATCTCCATCGACCCATCCGTGCGCGAAGACGTGACCCTGGTTCCAGTGCCCAAAGATTGCATTGGATACGTCATGGGTGACAAGCCCGGGGGCCAAGCAAGTGATACGCCAATCGGAGGCAGTCGATATCTTTAAAGCCTCTTGGAGTCCTTTAAGCCCTTGCAGGCGGAAGACCTTGAGTCGACTGGAGGAGGTTTCCGCACAGTACTTTGTTTCATCAAAGCTGTGGACATGTCGCTCCATGACAGGACTGGGAAACTCTGATCTTCTTTGTGGATAGCAGAGGCCTTCCCCCGACCTACCAGCAGGCGAGGAGCTTGAAGGCCAAAGGTGGCCAACAGGTTAGGATTTAGGGTTTAGGGTTTAGGGTTTAGGGTTTAGGGTGTAGGGTTTAGGGTTTAGGGTTTAGGGTTTGGGGTTTGGGGTTTGGGGTTTGGGGCTTAGGGTTTAGGGTGCCAAGCCTGCGATTCGTCATGCGCGAGTACCCCCCCCCCCATCCATACAAACTCGAAGTGTGTTTTTGATATATGCAATCTTTTGGAATAGGGTTTGAATTGCTTGAAGGTTTTTGAGGCTCTGAACCCCTCTCCCCCCCAACCCCCGCCCTTAGTCGGAATAGGGTTTAAACGGCAGGGTCGCTTTCGACAGGATTCTCCCCAAAGCGTGTTTTATCATCAGTGGGGTGTTTTTATACAAGGAGGAAGCGATCTTCAGAAAGCCTCCTCAACCCTAAAACCCTAAAACCCTAAACCCTATACCCTAAACCCTAAACCCTAGACCCTAGACCCTGGACCCTAGACCCTAAACCCTAAACCCTGACCCCACACCCCCCCCCCCCCGGGCTTTCTGGCCGTCCGGAGGACGATGTCGAGGGCCTCGCCATTTTTGGCTCCGAGCGCGGCCGGGCCGGCACGGAGCTCAAGGTGCGCGGAATGCCGTTTTTTTTTTGGGGGGGGTGCGGGGGGGGTTTAGGGTTTGGAGTTTAGGGTTTTCGGGGGGGCAATAAAGTACATTATTATGGGAACCCCAAGAGGATGTTATGGTGGCTTGAGGATTTTGAGGGTTCAAGGCATGGCAGCATTGAAGATTTTAGTTTTTGATCCTTGCCCCGCTGGTCATAAGCATCCACAGTCAGACAGGATGTCAAGGTTTAGGGTTTAGGGTTTAGGGTTGAAGGTTTGGGGTTTACGGTTTCGGGTTTGGGGAAGCATCTTTTTTTGGATGTGGGTTTACGGTTTGCCGAGCACAATTCGAAAGGGGCGCCTCGGAGCAGTCAAACGTGCAAAGGAGGCAGTGGCTCTCAGGTCCGTCAGAATCTCGAAAAGTAGAATATTGCTTGAAGTCTCACACAGGACATCAAATCCATGCGTTGCCTGAAATGTGAACGACGCTCCTTCTTGACTACTTGATCATCTGTTGCTCGCAAGATTGGCAGGTGATGGGCGCGGTCGAGACCAAGATACCCCAGTGGCTCTGATGAGTTCAGTAGACCTCCAAGCATGGGTGCCCCTTGGGTGTGTAGGGAACCAGATGAATAATTACTTCCCAAAATAGGGGTTCCTTGACATGTACCCCAACACACCAGAATCCTGATTATAGGAACCCATCAAAGAAGGCACTCCTATTTTCAGCAGTACTTGATCTTGCCGTCCGTTTTACCCAGCTTACGTAACACCTCCGCGGCCGGCCCGAACAAACCAGCACAAGAGTCTGGCGAGGTTCTTCACACGTGGAGCCAAAGCCTCGGTGCTTGATGTCATCAAGTGTACGGCGTACACCCAAACCGACTTGTGGGTATCTGAGGTCAGGTGTTTACTTAAACCCTCAGCTTTCTAGTGGCAGCGGTGGAGTCGTGTGTCAAAGCCATACTGGGAAGCCAACGCAAGGATCTTGCATGTGTCCATGTGTTGTGTCACACGTGAAGAACGTCCGCGACTTGCTAGCAGCCACAGGCGAAGTGGGAAGGGTATATCCATCTCGGAGTCTATGCGAGCCCTTACCAGTGCGTTGAGGTCGGTGATTTCCAGTATGACGGTCCGTGGGGTGCCCCCGCCTCAGAACACCGGCATCATGGAATACTGTGCTCCTCTCCCGAATCTTGAACCCCCTCCGTGCCCACATAATGTGTGGGAGGTTTCGTATAAGGGTGGTTCGGAACACTCAGCTTTGTAGTTGATGCTGTTAGCTTGAATTGATGAGATCGGGAGGGCGTTGTGAATAATGGGCTCCTTTTAAGTGAGGCAGAACAAGCCGGTTGAGCTCTGGCATGTGGGCCGTGACGTGGGTGCAGGTCGACACAATGCCGCTACCTGGAGATGAGCTCTCCTTTGCGCTTGGCAAGGTAGGGTGCTTCAGCCGGAGACGACTGCGTTCTGCTCCGGTCTGTGAGTAGCATGGGCAAGAAAGCCTCTTTGCCACATTTTTTCAGCCCCAAACCCAAAAGTGAGAGCATGAAATTAGTTTATCTCTCGCCCTACCCGTCTCTCATCCCACCTGAAACGAAGTCCAAGCAGAACCAGGATGGTGCCACAAGGCGGAAGCTGGCCAAGCCGGCTGGAGTTGTAAGCAAAGCAGTGAGTTCGTGGGCCGAAGCAAGCCACAGCCATCCCCTAGCCAGGCAAAAGCCAGCGGCTGCGTTTTGGAGTATGTGGGGACCTCGACAGACGCTTGTGGAACCACCCTCCCCCCTAAACAAACCTAAACCCTAAGTTAGGGTGTTTTTGTTTGTTTTTTTTTGTTTTTTTGGGGGGGGGGGGGGAGATCCTTCAAGGCTGACAGCTGAAACTGTGTGAGGTTGGCAACGTTGCCTACATGGCCGGCACCTTGGAGGAGCGGAAGCGGGCAAGGCGCCTTGGTGACTGGGGGCCTAGGTCAAGAAATGGATATTATTCTGGGTAGAAGAGTGTCTAACTCTTTGAAGAGTTGTTGACGAGTTTTGGGTTTACAGGCTTTTTTGTTGCAAACAAGGTCGATAGTGAAGAAGAGTTGTTGAGGAGGGTTTATCGTCGCCAGGAGATGTGAGAGAGCATTCGTATTACCAGCGGGTGCTCCGAATTTCTTTTTCAATCACCAGCCAGCCCCCCTCTTGTGCAGGGACTACCTCATGTGGCTCACCTGGCAGCGCACCGGCCCTGTGAACATCGACACCAGCGGCCGAGATGACATCCTTGAGATGGAGGATGGGTACGTGCAGACACATGGGTGGTTGTCAAAATTATGATCCCTTTTGGGGTACCCTAAATATTACAATAGACAATAGAGGTCCAAAAAGGGGCTACAATTTTGACAACCACCCACATGGCTCTTGCATCGCCTTTGTGTAAATAGCAGCCAGCACGGTCCTGGACAGCATCTTGGAATCAGGGAAGCAGCGATCATGCTCTTGTCAAGCCATCGTTGTGGAGAATTGGGTGAAGCTCAGATCAGCTCCCTGCAAGGTGCCTGAGGAGATGCGCGGCCTGACCAAAGCTGCCTCGCTGCGCGAGGTCGAGAAGGCTTGGTGCATCTTGGAGCTCTGGAAGGGAGTTTGCCTTTTGCAAAAGCTTCTTGCAGCTAAATCACACACGCAAGGAGTACATCAGCATTTCGCCCAAAGTCGGGTTGACATCGCCTGCTTTGCCAGGAGTCTGGAACCTTCTGCTTCTTCCAGGGTGATAGCAACACATCCGATGTGCTGCTGATTTGTGGCCACCGTCCAGAGGCAAGGGCGTGCGTGGGCTGCCGGGACTCCCATACGAAGAAGACAGTTTGGTGTACCTGTCGCACTGTCCCAGGCGCGGACGTATGCTGAGCAGCTGCTTCACGACCTGATGATGAAGGGCTTCCCGGCCGCAAAGAGCGGTGCATTCAGAAGCCGACTGTCGGAATTGTGTTCCCTCCGTTTCTTAATTCATCAAGCCTAGGCTCGGTACAGCAACGCCCCAAGGCAGAGGGCATGGGAGCAGATAGCCGATGGGAGCAGACATGTCCAACGCAATCAAGCACTCCCCCAAATTCCCTAAAATCCACCTAACTTGCTTTCTGTGGCCAGGCACCACGGCGACAGGGGCGTCGGCAACGTGGCCCGCGAATGCGAAATCGACCGCCGAAGCGAAAAGTTGAGTCGGGCGGCTCAGTGCGTACGGTCGCCCATTCTGATGTTTTGCTCTGCGCAAGTCGAGTCTGCAAATTCCAGGAGCAGCAGCGAAGAGGAAGAGTCAGAGTCAGAGGCGAGCGCAGTAAGCTTCAGCATAACAGTTCAGCCAAAGAGGATGCTGGCACGAGGCAAACAGCCCGGAATTCCTCTCACCAGCCTTAGTTTTTCGGCTTGTTTCCAGGCCTCCGTCTCTGAGTCGGAGTCGCACTCGGAACTTTCCCTCCACAGTGAAGAGTGGGCCACCCGGAGACCTGCACCTTTGGGAGGGTTTAGGGGTCGGGATGGGTAGGGTTTACAATGAACTTTGCAAGTGTCTGAGCTTCGGCACATCCACGCACCCGAGGCGGGAGAGAACATCCGAGCGCATGGCTCCGCCGCCCCAGAGGCAAAGCCGAGGGCCAGGGCCTTACAGAGAGTGGGAAGGCTAAATGAAGTGAGAGTCACGTGTGATCACGTGTGACCATGTACCTCCAAACCCGTATTCCATTCTTGTTCGTCCTGCCAGGTGGGGCACTGGCCCTCGCATCCGGCAATGGGCCTCGCAGGACGTTGTAACACCACAGACATATAACGATACGGAAAGCTTTGGCAAGTCGATGTTTTGGCCAGAGAGTGCTAGGGGGGGGGGGGTAGGAACAGTGCCAGGACTGCTAGGACCTAGCTACTGGGAGGTCGGGGATCCGACTTGCTTTGCTGCAGCCATGCGCTTTGCGTCATCAAAGAACAGCACCCTCGCGTTAAAACAGAGGCACGCGCGGAAGCAAAGGAACACGCTCGCAGTGACGGATCCTCGATCTTTTGGCAGCTCCTTTTGGACTCCAGCGTCCTTGGTTGTACCGAAATTTTGCATGCGGGGTGACTCGTGCAGAAAACATGAGAAAGAGATGTGGTCCAGTCCGTTGTGGAAGCTGTTTGCAGGATGACACTGACTCTGACGACGAGATCGTTCCATACTGGCGCGCTAGCACTCTGCAACACCTTTTGTGTTCAGGACTATGTCTGTTTATAGGGTGATGGACCGAAGGTTAAGGGTAGTTCTAGGACCAAGCCCCTTCGTGATCGGTTTCAAAGTGGGTCGTAGCAGGGTGTAGCAGCGCCATGCGTTCCAAACATCTCAGCAGGCATTTTCGCTGCGTATAGTCTCGTGCACCTTGAACCCTCCACCGTATCGCAGCTGCAATTGCCAGGTAGATCGTTTCAGGCCGAATCATCTTACATTTGCAGCACCTTGGCTGCACAATCCTTTCTGCCAGTGCTGATGGTTTAGGCCAGTTTAGGCGTTTGGGGGTGAGATTTCGGGAGCCTCAGAGGAAGCGCAGTAGATTGTAGCAGTGTCGGAGCATGTTTGCGACTCAAAGATCTCACACTGACTTTGGGCCGGGCTGCTTGCACACAGCGGAGGTGGATCTACCTCATGATGTGTGGCCTAGTGCTACTTCAGCCCCTGCCTCAGGGATAATCAGGGGCACCTGCAATGGCATGCTTGCAGGATAAAGACCTCAAAGAAAAAATGCGATGTGCAGTAGGACATGAAAGCAGGCTGATGAGTGATCCACCCAATCAAGAAGGGGCCTCCCCACTACCACAAACCTCTCCCTCCCGCCTCGCCACACTCGGTCTGGCAGCTTTCGCGAGCGGCTCTCATGTGGAGATTTTCCGATAATAGGGGTACTTTATTGGGGTCCCCTATTTTCGCGGGAAAAAAAACAGATCCTCTAGCAGCTTGCGGTCCTATCGTTCTGTGATCTCTTGAAGGACACAGTTGCCCTTGCGGCCAATGTGTCCACCTCGCACCGACCTCAGTGTGTCTCTTCAAAAAAAGCTCTGGCAAGGGGGGGGGAGGGGGGTGGGGGGGGGGCGGGTCTCTGCAAGCTTGGAGATCAAGGCCATGGATCTTCAGAGGATGTGGAAGCAGCCTAAGGCGTGACGCAACCTAAACGCCCTTGCACGCATCAGATTGCTCATGGTTGGTCTCTGTTGGGACCTGGAAGAGCAGGCAGTGCATGTGCCAGACTGCATGGTCTTCCCGAAGTAGTGATGGCCACCGGACCGGAGTCAAGGCAATTTTGCGAGATCTCCCTGTCCCTTTGAGTGTTGGAGATGTGCATCTCTCGTGTGCCTTTTGGAATTTGGAGAGTCTGGGTTTGTTGCTGTGAATTGTGTGGAGTCTCGCTTCTTTACGTGCCACAGAGCACTCGACTGCCAGTGTTAACCAGGTTCTCGTTCAATATCAAGCACAGCAGTGACCCCTCGCACCTTGCAGAGGGGCACAAGCGCAGTACAAGGATTTTTGACGTGCCGGCGGAGCGTGCACATGAAGATCCCGGTCTGACAGTACTCAGTACTCTTATTGCCACCATCTTTCATGGCAAGCGTTCCATTTATGAAGCTGAATTCCTCTTCATATGATTTCATGTGCAACCAGCACGTTAAGATTCTGATCCTTGGAAGTTCCATTTCCATGCTGGAACCTCGGTCACCTGGATGTCACATGCCAGAACTCCCAGTTGGACTTGGTTGACGGTAGCTGCCGAAATTCTTGTAATCCAGGTGCTTTGGAATCAATACCCTTTCAGGTTGTCGAGCTCCGTTATGGGGATGCTTGTTCTACCAGGCACAGAGATATGTGCTGGAGCAGATGATGAGCAAGAAGATAAAAAGAGCCTGACAAGTCCGTACCCCTATTGAGTGAAGTCGGCTCACTTGGGAGTTCTTCCAAGTGTCTGATCATGGAATCCCTTGTCAGGTAAGGAGGCCCCAAAGAAACCGGGGCCCGGAAATTTAGACAAAACCCACTTGAATCGAAGATGTCAGGCATGTGCAACTCACAACCGTCTCGGCTCACCAGCTAAAGGATTCTAGACCGACCAAGTACTTGACATGTGAATGTCCACGACCCTGCATGCTGGGCTGCTGAGGTCGAATGTTACTAAGTCCCAGCACTAGAATCTGACACGGACGTAGAATTTTCACATGACTCGGCAAGACACTCCATCAATCCCCACACTCTTGTTCTTCGGTCGTTAGGCGTGACCAAAGCTAGGCCGAATGCGTTCGAGCAGTTGCAGCGCCTGCCCTAAGCATCCTGCAGCCCCAAGCAGCTGCGCCAGCACGTGTCTTTCAGCGAAGTGTGTGTTGGATGTCACCGGGGGGCTCCTTCCCCCCCCCCCCCTCCCCCCGAGGTCTGTTCCGGAATTTGCAGCTTGAGGCCCATGGGGGCAAAGCTGGTTCGGCACCGAGTTGCCTACTGGGCCGGTCAGTGCTTACTTGGGCGTGTACGAAGATAGGGGACCCCGAAAATAAACCCCCACAAATCGTATAGGATCCCGGGACCCCCAAGAAGGTACACCCCGAAATTCGGAAACCCCCACTTGGGTGGTGGCTGCTGGGTGCCGGATCCTGCTTGTGGCCCGGTGCTCAGGCCTCCTCGTGCTGCACTGCTACTGAGCCTGACGAGGCTCACTCGGCTCTGGGAACCCTAAACCCTAAACCCTCAACCCTCAACCCTCAACCCTCAACCCTAAACCCTAAACCCTAAACCCTAAGCCCTAAGCCCTAAGCCCTAAGCCCTAAACCCAAACCCGGCTCTGGGTCTGAGCATGGCAAGTCGCGACAGAACTCTTGCTGAGGCTGTGGTAGTGCCCGAATACCATGCAGACTACTTGGGGAAGCCACTGTTCTACAACGAAGATCCGCTGCCAGCCTGCCACGTCTTCTGTCACAGTCACTTCACCTGTATAGAGTAGAGAGAGACGTTTCATGACGTTTCTGAGTTCTCGTTGCAGCTGACGGTCGTATCAGGCTGGATCACACCCTTGACGTCAATACGAAATCTCAGGCGCCCTCTTGCATGTTGGATGGGTCAACGTGGCACTATCGCCGCCTGGCCCCGCTTCCAAACTCCTTCAGAACTGGGAGTTTACGAAAATAGGGGATCCTAATGGAGGCCCACAAATAGTAGAACAAAGGACCCCAACCCCTATTTGTATACTATCGTAAACCCCCCAACTCAGTACAAGTGTGGGGCAGAACGTCACAGCCATCTGTGCGGAGGCAAACTGCCAGATTCACGAGGCCAAGAAGGCCTTGCAAGGGACAGGGACGGGGCTGTGTTTGCCGCAGAAGCCTTTGCCGCCGTTCTTTTTTTCTCACATCAGGCCCACTCCGGCAACTTCAGCTATCAGGGCTTCTGCTGTAAAGCAAAAGGCCAGGCACTGCGCTACAACCCTGAAACCCTACCCCCCCTAAACCCGAAACCCTACAACCAAAACTACTGAATAAAACCCCTAAAGCTGCGGGCTCCAGCCCTGTTAGGAGATTCTAAGTTTCCAAGGTCCAGTCCCTCTCTGAGGTCCTTTCACAAGGACGACTCTACTTTCCAAAAAATAGCTGCACGGGGTTTCTCGCAAAACGCGCGTTGGTCATAGGGAGTCCCTTGCGAAGATCGCTGCAGGTCCTGAAGTTTCCTAGGCTGACACCCCATTGTACTCGATGTATGAGCATTAAAGCTACAACTACAACCTCGAACTTGCCTGAACCCTTGAGAGAGGCTCCCTGCATTGCCAAAAGGGCTCTAGCCATCTTGCAGGGGCCCCGCGAGGGCTGTCGATTCCCTACCCGTCCCCCAGCGCGCCTAGAGCTGGGAACCATTCTGGGGGGAGAAGTGGTGCTCCCTATAGTGCCTGGGGGGCCTCAGCGCATCCATCAAAGTTCAACCCGGAACGCCAAAACCCCAACCCTTCAACCCCCCAAACCCTATGCTCCCCCAAAACCTTAAACCCTTAAACCCTGAAAAGGCCCTGGGAGTGCGGCCGGAGAAGCAGACGCTGAGGCAGAGGGTTTCTTAAAGGGTTCCACAACTAGGCTTTAGGGGGGTGGAGGGCTTTAGGCACCATGGGATGAACCGCTGGGGGGGGCAGGGGGTGTGTTCCTAGAAGACAAGAAGACTTACAACGTGGAACCCCCCAGTACGGGAAGCCCTTGTATGCTAGGAGGGTTTTGGGGGGAGCGGGGGGGAGTTTTAGGCAGGTCTTCTGCTTCGTCTGATTTCTTTTTGCTGGCCAAGTTTGGGGTTTTACATGCCTTTTAGATTTCGCGGGTTCTGAGAGCTTGAGAGCCCATGTGCTCATGTGCCCATGTGTGGGCTTCAGGATTTATCTTGGGATGTTCGAGGGTTTCGAGGGTTCGTCAGTCAAAGGGCATGACGCTGCCGGGAAAGTGACTTAGTGTTGTGGAGGGCTTCCCAGACTGGTAGAGCTGCTTCACTGGATGCTCTGGGGCACAGGACTTGTCTGCTGACATTGCCTGAGCTACGGGGGGAACAGCTCATGCTGCAGCCGCTCGCGCCTCAAGTAAGTCTATTGGACACAAGCCGAACTGCACAACACAACCTCCTTTACTCACTTGGCACACCTGAACCACTCAAGAGCACACTGACTTACTGATTTGGGGTCCATCCTAGCCGCAGCCCGCGCCAGCCCCGGCAGCCCCGGCAGCCCCGGTCCCACCCTGCTTCGAGGCCAGCTGCACGAGGCTGTGATAACTTGCTGGGTTGTAGGGGGTTGTAGGGAGCGCGTGCGTTCAGTGGGCTCGAAAGGGCTTACCAAGAGGAGCTCTGGAGACCCAACCCATTGCTATGAGGCCAATGTCTGATTCTCTGGTTCTTAGTGGGGAGCTTTCGGTGCCCAATATGCACCAGGTATCCTCCCCCTTCCTCCGAGGGTGGTGGTTGGGCTGAGGGCTTCAGAGTTCGTTGCTTTAGGGTTGCCCCATGAGGGTAGCAGTGGCATCGTTTTTTGATTGATCCCCTCAGTTTGTGGGGGTCTGGAAACGTGACCCTTGAGCGTCAGGAAATCGGAGGTCTGAAATGGGGTTAGGACCATTTTAGACGTCTCACGACCTTTCCATTGTGGTCTAGAGAACCAAACCATAGCCAACACCGACAAGTCCATAACCAACAAGGGGTCTGAAATGGGTTTTTCAAATTATACCCAGCTCCCAGGAAAAGCCACAGTTGGGGGTCTATAATGGGGCCCCAACCCCACCCCCTCTCTGAGGGAGTGTTTTTTGTGGGTGAGAGTACCTAAGTCGCCGCTAAATGACCTCCAAATAACTCCTGTATAGGGTCCCTTCTTTATCTTTAGTCCCTCGAAAGAATGACTTGTACTTCTGGAGGCCTCCCCATGGCCAAGGCCAAGGCTGCCAAGAAGGCGCAGAGTTTCTTGGGTCGGGGTTTGAGGGTTTAGGGTTTAGGCTTGTGACATTCCTTCGACACTGAAAGCGAACAAGAGAGCTGAGCCCAAAGCTTCAAGTCCTCAAAGGACGCCTGTGCACAATGTGGCAATGTGTACATGGATGACTCGGTGTTCTGCCGGAAGTGCGGCACAAAGCGGCAGGCCCGAACTCTGTTTGAGCGTGAGAGCGAGCAAACAAGCGAATTCATCGATGGCAAGGACACCTGTGCACAATGTGGCAATGTGTACATGGATGACTCGGTGTTCTGCCGGAAGTGCGGCACGAAGCGCCAGGCCAGCGTGAGAGCGAGCAAAGGAGCTAATCCATCGATGGCAAGTTATCCCCAATTGCCCTCCTAGAAGACGCATGAAAGCGTCACAGCCTTCTGGGTCGAAGGGCATCAGAAGTAGAACACTCTACCATGCAAACTTTCTGAGGGCGGCGCCAAAACTGGGAAGCGCGATGAGGATGAGGTGTGGACAGATACTGCGAGAAGCTTTGCGAAGCGCAGCAGGGTCAGAGCCAGCCGTGAATCTTCTGAGATGCCTCGAACAGGGGAAGAAGCGACCCAAAAAAGCGCCAAAGGCCAAAAAAGCCAAGGCAGCTCCCACGAAGGCACCAAGAGCGTCGCCAGTAAAGGACATGCTGCCTGGGCTTGAGCGCAATGGCAGGCAGCTGAGAATCAAGAAGCCGTAGAAGAGAAGGCCAAGGCACATGCACACATAAATAAATGAATAAGTACAAATAACAAAATGATAAATAAATAAATAAATATATATATATATATATATTACAATATGCATATGTGATATTATATAATTATATGCATATAGCAACATATAGTAAAAGATAGTCGTCTGTAGCAAGATAAGGAGCAGTCTCCAGGGCATTGCCGCGCGCATTGAGCAAGGAGGTGGCAGAGGAACCACGGCGGGACTCCGACGAAGTCCAGGCCGAAGAAGCCGCTGAAGAGGCTGTTGAAGAGGCCGGCAAAGCTTTGCAGGTTGCATGATGTTATTTTTGTTTTGTGGGGGGGGGGGAGGTTTTGAGGGGAATCGCGGAGGGGAATGGGAATTCGAAGTATCTGCCAGAGATGCTGGGAAACGTCAGGTATACTGCACGATGGGTTGCAGCTTGCAGATTGTTCTGGAATCTTGATGTCTGGATCAAGCATCAGAAAGCTTTGTTTCCTGCTGTAGTTCGTTGGGTTCCGCAGAAATGTCTGTGGAGTAATGTCCAAGTCAAAGATCCTCGAATCTCGGCGGCGAGCCGCCGGCGAGCAGTTTGAGCCTCGCCGTCCGAACGACCCCAAATGGTCAGCACAACATGGCGATCTTCGATCGGATTTGGGGCCAATCTTTCCATTGGTCAGCCTCTCATACCCGGAAGGGCTTGCCGCGGTGCAGTGTCAGGAGGATGGCAGTGGGGTGGCCAGCTACCCCTCCGGCAAGAAGGCAGTGTGCATATCGTCGCATCATCAGTCGAGACGCTTCAGTGCTCTGGCATATGCTCGGTCCGACTTCAGCATCAAAAGCGCAGTGTCCGAGGATTCTCCGCATTTTCGAGTTTCCAGCCCTGACTCCAAGCGCGATCGCCGCGGTCGCACCAGACTTTTGGGTGCCATGGATGAGTGGGGCATAGGCATGTTTGAGTCTCCACCTGACGGAACAGGTTGTCGAGGCTGCTATGAGGTGACCTCGACCCATGTCACTGTAGTCACATCGGGGCCTAATGGATCGAAAACACGCATGAGCCGCGCAGCACTGGCAGGCGATGTTACGTCGCTTGATCCGCTGAGCTTGCGCCTCTGCCCAGAGCTTGTGGTCTCCTACAGCCCAGCAAGTGGAACGACTGTGCTCGACTTCAATTCCAGCGGCGTGAGCTACACATTCCATATTGGTGAGGTCTGGAAGCTGTCCTCGCTTCCACGTGGAAGCAGCGGATTGTCCTTGCCAGTGGCTACCAGTCCCCTGGAGATCAACTCTTCCATCAACTTGTCTTCGCAAGCATCTCTCGACACGTCGTGCTTGATCATGTCAGAAAGCACAAGCTTGCTTGACAAGACACTCAAAAACAGCACCGCGTGCTTGAGCGCCAGTGCTGCAAGTGTGCTGGATGCTTCCTCACCCTCTGGCACCAAGCTCAAGAAGTCTGCTTCGGAAGGTACCATGCGGCTGCCGCTGGATGCCTTCAAGCAACTCACGGAGGGGCGGATTGACTTCACTCATGATCACCTTCTCAAGAGAAAGTTGACCGACAAAGTCCATCCAAAACTAGGCCGACTGCAACTCAACAGGGCTCTGCGAGAAGGCTTTCTCTGGCCGCAGCCCCATCCAGGGAAGCCCTACTCTGAGCCTGCGCTGCTGAGCCAGCCAGCCTCCTTGGAGCAAATTTCCTGCCACGATGTGGAAGGTCGAGCAGGGAATCTGGAGGCTGGGCAACTGATGGTGGTGCTGGTGGTGGCCAGCTGGGCGCGTAAGTCCCAGTACAGCTCAAGCTCCCATGCCCAGGTCATGGCCGAAGCTGCCTGGTCTGAGCTCAAGGCTGCCGGAGACAACGTGCGCTTCTTCATTTCGGACCTGGCGGAAGCTGGGGCGATCTACTCAACGGGAAAGAACACGAACCCACTGGTGGCCAAGTACGGCGTTCGGGAGGCTCCTTGGCTCCTGATGTTTGCACGAGGTGAACTTGTGTTGAGTGAGAACCCATCAGGCCCTCGGAACGGTGGTATGGGCTTCGCGTCTCGTTTGAGATACATGGCCTTTTCGAAGCCACGGGTGCTTGTATTGGAGCCCTCTCCCACTGCATCCGCCATGCAGAACGCCGCTGCTACAGCTGTGGCCGAGTCGGGAAAGGCCATCAACAACTTCCAGCTGCTATATCCCCCTTGGAATTGATTTTTTGTTTTTTGTTTATATAAAAACCCAAGAGGATATTAACAGTATTATTCTTATTAAGGTTCTAAGGGGAGTATAGGCTGCAGCTCGAGACGCAGGAGGTGCTGCGAAGGTCTCGGTTCGACTTCGACTTAGCGGTGACCACTGCGGACGCGATGAGAATGGTGCTGACTCTGCAGCCAATGTATGGGCTTCTGCTTTGTAGCTCAGAAGTAGGCCCAACAACCTTCTCAGAGATCGCATCTCGGTTGAAGGAGCGGAACCCGAAGGCTTTGGCTTTCATTTGTCACGACATGAAATGCCTCGGGCCTTTGGACGACTCGATGCAGGCTCTTCTCAAGTCGGACTCCCCCTTGGCCGCCGGCGTTCTGTATCGCCCAATCACAAAGTCATCTTTCGAGCGTGTCTTAGTTGGAAATCCGGATGCCCGGATTCAGTATCCAACGTGTGGAATGGTCAAGGAGGATCTGCTGCAAATCATTCGGAAGAAGCAAGGAGGCCTTTAAGCAGCAGCTGCTGGGCGACGTTGCCAAGGGATCTGAGTCTAATGCCTTTTATGCGTCCTTCACCCCTGTTCCAATTAGTTTTCCTCGCTGCTGGCGAGCGCCAATGTCGCCACCTGGGATGACGTCCAAAACATGTCGCTTCTCCCCACCTCTCGCAAAGCGAGCGGGTGCGGAACGCGATCACGTCATCTCCTCTTGCTTAATGTGGCAGCCCAAAGGGAAAGGCTAGTTACTAGTTGAGGAAAAGTCGTCAGCCATGTCGATGCAAGTAATTGCGGCCCAGCAGCGCCAGAATGAAGTCGAGGCAACGTTGTTCTTCGTAGCTCTCCTGAGTTTCTATTCGCATCACGGGAATAGCTTTGTACACGCAGGTAAGACAGCTGCTGATGCATGGGAGGAGTTCTGCAACAAGTTGTGCTGAACATGCGCCCAGGCTCCGGCCTCGGCAGCCAAGCCGCTTGCCTAGCTCGGAGAGATTTTTTTGGGGGGGGGGGGGGGGGAGATGTCGGGTCCCCTTTGAAAGCACATCACGGAACCTGCCCCATTCTGAGGAGCCCTGATCTAGAACAACCCCCCCCCCCCCCTCCCGTCTTGCCTGTGTTTTTTTGGCCCCTAAGTCCCCCTTCAGACGTGAGGGTTTGAGGGTTTAGGGCATAGTGTGCAGGGTTTAGCAGGTCATCCCCCCCCACCCTGGCAAGCAGCTACACCCCACCCCTATAAGGCCACGAAGATCCAAAGCCAACCGCTTGAAGGAGGCTTTGGACGAGGTGCGGAGACTGTTTATGCAGGGGGGGGGGGGGGGTGTAGGGTTTGGGGTTTAGGGTTTAAGTTAGTTAGCGTAGGGGTAGAGTGGGATCCCATAGTGTGAAGTCATTGAAAATGGTTCATCCGAGCAGGAGGGAGAGGAAGAAGAGGAGAAGGAGCGGAAGGGCGTCGTTTACCTAGGTGCAGGACTCGATGTCGGTTCTTCTGCCAGCTTTCTTCGCAACAACCTGCTGATCCGCCACTTACACGCGTATTCCGCAGGTTATAACGGAAGCACACCCTCCAGTAAGGTCACATTCCGCACGGCTTCTTCGAGCCGCAGATGAGAAAGTGCCTCCAGCACATGGGGGGGCTGTCAAAATTATGGTCCCTTTTTGGATCCCGTTTTACAATACGGCACCTAATTTCTAGGGTAGTAGTATGGGATCATAATTTTGACAACCACCCTTATTACTCGTGGCAGCCACACAGACACCAAACCCTAAGGCCCAAATCTGCAAGAGCTTCAACGAGCACAAAAGAGCCCTAAACCCTTAGCCCAATGAGGTTTTAGGGTCCTTGCTATTACCCTTTGCACAAAAGAGTCGTGGGAGAGAGGCCCGAAACCCTAAACTCTAAGCCCTAAACCCTAAACCCTAGAGTGGTCCCCAGGTACTTCTCCCAGTTTGGCCAAGTCACTCGAATGCGGCTGGCACGATCTCGAAAGACCGGGGGGTCCAAGGCCAGGCCGAGTTGTCTCAAGAGTCCCACTGGGACCACCTTGAGGGTTTAGGGTTTATAGGGTTTAGGGTTTAGGGTTTATAGGGTTTAGGGTTTAGGGTTTAGGGTTTAGGGTACTTGGCAGGGTTACGCCTTCATCGAGTTCAAGGAGGAGAGTGTCGCCAAGATTGTGGCGTCGACGATGAACAAGACACTGCCTCACGGCTTTATCAAGCCTTAGCTTGCACCACTCGCTGAAGCCTTAGGTACCTTATGTTTGACAAGTCCCTGGTGTGCGAGTTCCTGCCCAAAGAGAAGGCCGAGAGACGAAGCATCTCACGTCGTGGCATTTTTGGTGCAAGGCTGACTTCTTTTCTGCATGTTTGCCCGAACAAAATACTGCCAGTGTCACAAGAAGCTCTTTGCTGGTTGGCAGAGACCACCGAAGGACCCGGTCGTCACGCGCATTTGGCAACGCTTCGTTCATACACTGATCTTCATGTCCGGTGACGCATAATGAACTCTGCAGGACCTGCGCAAAGAGCGGCGGGAGAAAGAGATGCTTCAAAGCAGTGATCGGCCAATGGTCGAGGTCCTCATCAGTCACGAGCCTGAGGAACCCCCCAACGCACGACCCTAAACCAGGTCAATAGCCTGTCCGTGCCGCAGCTCACAGAGCAGCAGGCGGCGTCTCCACGACTAAAGGTACCTCACCTGGCCCTTGCACTGACTCACAGGTCAGCCGACGGGAGCGTCAAAAGCGCAAACTGAAGGACAGGCTCACAGACTGAGACTCCTGCTGATGACGGCTCATTCATCTGGCATCCTCACTTAATCATGTATCATCAGCACGGAGTTGCTGGTCACAATGCAAGGCCACGTTGCAAAACTTGGCCGGCCCGGCCGCTTTTTTCAAGGGGGGAGCGGGAGGCTCCATGATCAACAGCTACCTATACGGGCCCCCCCCCCCCTGTTAAGTAAGGTCACGTATACCAAGCCCAATTCCTCCCAACAGCTACACGGGGTCTTGGTATCTCAGTCTTTCTGCTCGGAGGAGAAGCTGGCGAGTCTCGAAGTTGACTTCGATCTCGACGCAGTTCTAAACGAGGGAGGCTTGAAGAGCGGTCGTGTGGTTTGGGCGCTTGTGAATGCTTCTGGCACCCGTGGAAGATACACAATCCCTACTATGCATAAGATGAGTCTTCTCTAAGATCTCTCTTTGTAGTTCCTAAATCTCCTAAAGTAAAGCGCATGAAGATGGATGTAGGATGCATGACTCGCTCCTCCTCGGAGTGGTGAGCGCAGCAAGGCACCGCCGACGACGAGGCAGAGGAGGCCGAGGTTGAGGACTGCCTTGGAGCTGCCGGAGGGTGGTTTCGGAATTTAGTAGTTGAGGGTTTAGGGTTTAGGGTTTGGGGTTTGGGGTTTAGGGTTTAGGGTTTCGGAATTTAGTACTTGAGGTTATGAGGCGAGGGCTTTTAATGATTATGTCAGTCGGGGTACAGAACGTGCTGGAAAGCTTGATTCAAGTATGCTCATCTTTGAGTCCATATGACTTGCGGGCGTCACGGCGCGCGAGGACCCAAGGCTGCTAGACTAGCCTGTCTGAAAAGCATCAACGCGAACGTGGGAATCACTCGAGCCCTTCTTTCGCTTTCCAGCACTGCACGAGCACGACAGCTCACACTGCTTCAATTGGGGTTGTCCCTGGAGTCCACTCATGGATACTCGTAATGATGGAAAATTCCTTGAAAGGGATCCCAAGCCCCCTAAGACCCTTGAAGGGATACCATATGCTTCGCAAGGAGCCTCCGGCCACCAAGAAGCGTCCAAAGAAGAAGTTGAGGCTTGCTGTGATGCTGTGAGCTTGAGAAGAAGGGCGCTTTGCAGCTGTGCCGAATCATGAGATGCGACATCCTACCATCTACATGGGCTTGACTGAGAGTAAGAGCCCCTTTTGGCACCTTAAATTATACGAAAGGACGAGGCGTGGTTATGATCGAAGCCCCAAAAATGGGGCGACGCTTTTGGATGAGCATGCATATGCCGCCTCTGTGCAGGAAGCAAGCAGTGGGCAGCTTAGTCTTCCCACGCCTCATACAACCCATGATCTGAACGGCACACGCTCGAGGCCACATAGCGAAGTTCCGGCAAAGAGGGCCAGCACTAAGCCAGAGACCTGGGCTGCGCTCTCGCGAGTTCAGGAGGTTGCATATCAGAAGCTGTCCCGTGTTCTCCTCAGGCCCCTCTTCCGGTGATGGAGCTGATGGATTCACGTAGTAGCAGAGAAGTTTGAGAGGCTCAAAGATACCAGCCTCTTCTTTCACCTGCCGGCTCAAGAGCATTGGCACGATGGGCATGCGGATTGGCATGCAGCCGAAAGTCTCACCTCAGTCTGACATGTGGGCTCGCGGGCCTGCATCGGCTGGACAAAATACCAATACGAATCATCGCACGAATAGTCAAGAATCATCATAGGAAAGCATAGCTGTAGGGTTTAGGAATTTAGGGTTGGTCCAGGCACCTGCATCCATCGATGTGTGCCAGGTTTCTGCGTACGACTTGCAGCCGCGGGGCAAGCTGGTACAGAAGGGCGAGGCTCGTCAGCCTGGACTTCCTGTAGTTCAGAGACTCAGAGCAATTAGTCAAGCGAAAGAGTTTCATAGTCATTACTTATCATTTCTGCATTAATTCTGAGGACCTGCATCATTCTTGTCTCCTTGATGAGTATTCCTGCTTCTCCGTATTTTTCAAACTCTAGACTTTCCTCGACGAAACCCTGGAGCTCTCCGGTCAGGACTGGAACTCCCGGGAGTTCCTGCGAGAACTCAACCGCCAAGCAAGGAGGAGATGCTCTCAACCGGATTTGGCGGATTCCGAAATGGGGTACCCTTTTTGGGGGTACTTTTTAAGGGGATACTAATCTATTTCGGGTATGAAAGGGGTACCCCTATTTTGGTTTGAGGACTTAGGGCTGAGGGTTTCCTTGTAGTGGTCATGTCTGAATGGGGTTTTCATGTAAAAACTATCGATTTTAATGTTCGGGTCCTCTTTTCTCGAAGGAATATGGGTATAAAAGGTATCGTCACCAGCCCTCCCTGCAAGAATGTCGTTTAGGGAGGCTCGGGTTTGTAGGGCACCGCAACACCCAAAACCTAAACCCCTGAACCCTAAACCGAGAATCCGCCCTCGATCCCTGCCAGTGTCTCCATGGAGTTCAAGCCCTTCCAAGAAGTTCTCGATTCTTTCAGGTCCGACCCGCCGGCTTTGCAGAAGATCACGAGTGGGTTGATCCAAACGATGTGTTTTTGGGGCGAGAGAGATGGGGCATCTCTGGGAGCACATTCTGTTGCAAGCCTCATAGCAGGGGCCATAGTCTAGATCAAGCCCTGCATGTGGGGGTGCCGACTCGCTGGTTTACACTGTCCTACACTGTCCAAGCACATGTGCAGGGATTGCTCTCCGCAGGTAGCCACGGAGTGGCAGGATAAGGTGGAGATGGCTGGACAAGTCAGTTTTGGCATGGAGGTCACAGCTCACAGATTGCGTCGACATACCTTGTAGCGACTCTCATAAGGGTCAGCTGTTGCAAAGACTACGTGTGTGCTGGAAGCCACACAAGTTAGAGGGCTACTTCTGGGTCCTGCAGCACAAGGTGTTGCGTCGCAAAGGCACTTGGCAACTCGCAATTCAGCCGATTGAGAACTCCCAAAGGGAGTGTTCTCAGAGTTGGACTTGGGACTTTGAAGATTGTCCCTGATTTTGGAAGTGCCGAGCCCATGTTCAGGGGAATGCTCTTTCAATTTGTTCCTGACAACTGTGAATCGTTGGCTGTTGAATAAATTGTACATTCGATCAGAACATGGGGCCAGTTCATTTAATGATCTGGAGCTGACTCTGTCACAGTGAAAACGACCAGGAGACGTCCACAGGTGTTGATTGCAAGTGTCAAGATGCTTGAGGTCTAGAGCCTTCAATGAGGGCATCAACATTTTTTGCTGAGCTTAGCACACGGAAGTTAAGTACCACAGCGAAATTGGACCACAAACCACAACTGCTGCTAACTCTGCGACTATATAGGCTAACATCTGCCGACCCGAGCACCAAACTGCATGATCTCCCGCCAGAGTCCTGCCCCCTGCTGCGATCCTCCTCAGCGCCGTTGGAAAATCCACTTCAAGCTCTGTGTCAGCATCCAGCCATACTCTTGCCACGCAGACTCAAAGGTTTAGTTAGATTCAGAAGCTCAATCGTAGCGATAGTCCGGAAATATCTGGTGGTAGCATCCTGCAAAGGTCGCAGCCGAAGCTCTCTGAGGCTCCTCTCCCTCCTCTTTTTCTTCGCCTCCCTCTGTTTTGGCTAAATTTTCTTGCACCGTTCAGCAGAAGATTCGTCCAGAGAGCTCTTTGGAACATGGTTGGCCTGTCAAGCAGAAGGCTTCGGTTCAAGCGGAAGTGATCGCACGCATGGGGCGCAGCAGTGAGTGTGTGGGGGTAGGCTTGTCAAGTGCAAATGCTTTTTCACGTGAAATAGAGGGTTCCTTGTCCTAATTTCTGCACGGGCTGCACGCATCCGGCTTTCTGCGATGCAATGCTGCAGTTGGTAGAGAGACGCCGACGGCTTGTATCAACAATGAATGCTACATCGATCATCCCCCACGCGCTCTAAAAATCAGGATTGGTGATCTTGCGGCGCCTTGCCAGCGTTTTCTTGGCCCGGGCCTGGACCAGTCAGATCGTTGCTGTGTGAATGCGAGACTGCATGCTACAACTTCCAGTGACAGCTTAGCCTCTCCGAAAGCCGAGGCGGTTGTTTGCTTTGCCTTTTGGCAACAGCATCGCCGGTTTGGCGAACGTCGTGACCTCAAGACCTCAAAAGGGCAATGTGCAGAGGTTCATGCATGATTTTTCCCTTGGTCAGCGCATCCCAGGGCGACGCACCCGAGCGAACCGGTGCCGTGTTCCTCGAGGACGGTTGGCACGCAGCACAAAGAATTTCCATCGTGTGCGGCAGTTTGGTCAGGGGCAGCTGAGCCTGCTCCACCTGCTCCATTTACAGGGTGTGCCTTCCTTGCTTGTCCGGACGCTGTACCGAGAACGGCTCCGCGAGTGAACGTCAAAAGTTGCGCCATGGCTAGGCCAGCGACAGCAGAAGAGCTCGGAGAGTGGCACTTTGGTGGGCGGAGGCGAGCTCAATCCTGCAGAATTGGGGTTTAGGCTTTGTGAAGCAGTTTATTCAGTAGGGCCTCCACGCAGTTTCCCATTCTGGGGTTGCACTCTGTCCGAACACCCCTCTTCAGCAGAGGGGGGTGCTGAGGAGGTGGCTCTGGTTGCACGACGGCCGGACACCAAACGGATGGTTCGAGTCGGGCGCTTTGCTTTACATAGAGCTGATGTTTCGTACTGTTAAACCTTCTTTGAATACTCGACTTAGAGCATTGGCCGACCGTTGAGGCTCGGAGCAGGGGGAGGCCTTCGAGTTGAAATCGGCCGGAGCCGCGAAGGCGCGGACTGGTGGAAGTCGCTGTTGATATTATACCCTGAGCCACATAGATCACAGCGTGTACGAAATGCAAAGTGCGCTGGCAGTCTTAAGTCTGCCGCCGCATACCCTTCGCCTCTTCTCCGAAAAGGCATCCCGATCCCTAGCCACCCCCTGCAGGTCGGGGCAGTGCATTCAGTTTCTTGCACTGCCTCACACGCCAAGGGGACACTGCGCGAACTTTCGCAGCTGGCCCGCCCTGCCCCATCCTTGTGCTCCCCCGGCTTAGTGCTTGGTCCGGAGATCACACGGCGAAAGACTTTTGCTCTTAACAAGTGCTTTGTCCAGCGTTACGCGGGGGCTCATGGAGGGAGGCTCGGGTGCTTTCGGGTGGCACGGTTGCCCGTTCAGATCGAGGGATCCTGGCCCGGGCCCCAACGCGGAAATCACTCAATGCCTCAAAAAATCGGGTGCCAATGTATGGGGTGGGCCGCCCTACCCAACCCCTTGCCTTGCAGAAGCGCGGCTGCCCCGCAAAGGATATTCAGAAGGTGGATAGACAGCCCGCCCCATAAATTGGCACCTCAAGAAAGTGTGACAACAGTGGCTACGTGAGGCAGGCCTATATATGAGGACTAATATCCAGCTCAGGGGATGGAATCACGTACCGTACGTAACACCGGCTGTGTCAGGAAGCTGGCAACATGGACGAGCAGGCGAGTCGGGCCCTCAACATCGGCAGCTATATACATATGCATGTCCATATGTAATTATATATATATATATATAAACAATTTTTTCAAACGTACATACAGTTACATACGTACATACATATTGTAAAAACGCTTGCGCGCGCCGCCTCGGCAGAAGGGCTGGCTCAACGCGGGGTTCCAGGGCTTCCAAGGGTTTCAGGAAGGTCCTACTTGTAAGGAGGGGTTCCAATTTCGTGGGTTTGTTGGCCTTTGTCCTGCATTCTGTGGGAGGGGCTCGGATTTCGGCTCCTCCAAGAGGCTGGGGAGGTCGCACAGGGCTGGGGGGGGGGGGGGACAGAAAGTTTCATTAGATCCTGGTCTGCTTGTTCTAGATGCCTCTCGGCTGGAAGTGTTGCGGTGCATTCCGAGGCTGGTTGTCACCTTTGGGCGCCGCGATCTTGTTGGTGCTCTGCAATGCCTTGCATGACATCACCTGTTGACCACATGGGTACAGAGCTTTTGACCAAAGTGACCCAAGGTTGCCATCATGACCTGCTGCTGACGGAAGCTGTCGGCGCCTTCGGTACGTGCTTCTGCTGACCCTTGCCACAGCCCCGCACTGCAAACATGTTCGAGGCCGAGAGTCCAACCTTCACGGTCCGACAAAGGCGAATGAAGGCTTCCGCGCTGCTCAGTACAGAAGAAGCCCAGCATGCGTCTTACGTTCTCCCGACTTCGACATTGGGCCAGCAGCTTGCAGACTCTGCTTTCTTGTCTTGAAGGATGGTTCCGCGACACGGGCACATGACCCGATAACAATTGGAAAGAGCTCCCGCCTTGTTTTGGCACGGGCATGCACGGCGGCACACCATAGCCTTCTCATGACTATCAGTTCATTCAGCTTGTTTGACGCCAGGTTGGATTTGAGCTTTGGTAGATGAAGTTGGGCTGCGCATTCACAGATGCGTGCAGCATGCATGCACTCCAGCCACACGCGAACTCACACCCTCGAATCTGCTTGCAGATTTGCCGAGCAGGGCGGTGGGAGCCACTGTTCACAGCGGTCGGGAATGTGCTCCACTGCCCGACTGCTAGCCCAAGCCGACCAAAGGTTCAGCTATGTGCAGGTTGCAGTAGTCTTGGGGCGTGCTGCATCACTTGTGTGCCGCATAGCAGACAAAAGCCAGATGGTTCGCGGCGCGCTTGCTTCATTTGTTGCTGACGATGTCCGATCCGAAAACATTGAAAGGTGTGATTATTGGTTGCTGCCTTGCTTCGGAACGACGCCGCTCGACAGCTGCATGATGATGCATACACGAGACCGCCGACAAGATGCAACATGCAAAGGGCTGCGGTGCCTGAACAGATCCCGACTCAAACATCCCCAACTGTTGGGAATAGCCAGCACTTCTCAACCTTGCGGGACGAGTCATTCCTCAGTGCTGTGTCTTGCCATGAGCATGGGCCACTGGGGTAGAGCTTCCAGGAGGCACAGTTACAGCTCAGGGATTCAGGGTCGGGTTTCGGGTGTGGGGGCAAGAACATGATTGAGGGCTTTTTTTGGGGGCCAGACGCCACTTAAGGGGCCTCTCCAGGAGGCGTGCCGACCTGACACTCGCTCTGGTCAGCCGCTCAGGTCGAGGTCGAGTTACAAGGGACACAGGATTTGCGGGGGTTGTTCCAAACTAGGAAGCCTCGTTGCGTGCCCCATCCTTTTTACAATATGGAGTGAGCATCTGAGGGAACCCAAATGTATGACAGCCCCCATGCCCATACCCCAAAGTGTAGAGTTACACTCAGCTTGCCACTGTTCGACATTCTCGAGGCTGCACTCCTGGCCCTGGGAAGCACCGCTTTCCTGCAGGCTCCAAGAACCTTCGAAGGCCCACACGGCCACTGGCGTGCTTCCGTACACCAGGCAACCCCCAAAATGGGCGATAGTTTACCCAAACATGCAGTGTGCTTGAGGCCACCGCGATGGTCCTGGTGTACACCACAGCCGAAGGAGGCAGTAGAGAGAAACGGCAATCCGAGTTGAGCAGACTTCGTCGGGATGGGCAGTATCATGACGTGAACATTACCTACGCCCATTCATGTTCGCGCATCGGAAGCACTTGAGCCCCTGCACTGGCTCCTATTTACGCGTACTCCTTAGAACAGGCTTCTGGACCTGAGCGCCGGAGTGCTGCTCCTCCCGGCGGAGGCTCTTCCACTTTAACCCCGCGCCCCCGCTTTCGCATCTGCTTGTCGCACCTACTCCCTGTTTCATTGCTTCATGCTGCAGATACTCCATGCAAATGCCAACCATGCAAAACATGGCCGGGGAGTCCTACCGTGTTGCGAACCTGAGGATGCGGGTGCACTGGGTGTCGCCTTCGACTATCGCACTTTGGAGGAGATCGAACCTCCCTCAAGGTCACTCCGCCTTGCCTCGGGAGCATCCCTGAACCCAAACAGACGTGGGGAGAAGCCTTACGCAGGAAGCCTGTCGGAGATGTGACTTCCGAAAAGGCGCAGAAGGCCGGGCAGCCAAGCATTTTACTCCAAAGATTTGCAGATAAATTGAGAATTTCTTCTTGAACCGAACGGATGACACAGACACTGGAGCTTTGGCAAGTGCAATTTGCCCTACACCCAAACGCAGTCGAGGCTATAGGCCTTCTCAAGGAGTGCCGTCAGAAGATGTTGACCTTGCTGAAGACGCTCCGACTTTGTTTTTTCCGGTGTAGGGCATCTCATTCTCGATTCTCGATGGTCGCGCCAGGAAGCTCCCGGAAGATCCACAAGTCGACTTCACACCATACTTTGAGCCTCCGCCCCTTGTCTACACGCGACAGCTTTGCGCATCAGCTCCAGGAAGCTTAAGCCATGAACGTGTGAGGATTGGGGAGATCCGTGAAGCCCTGAATGACATCTATGACCTTTTTGACCAGGACATGACACCTGGCAGCTAGTTTGTTGATACAGCTGCCATAAATTGCTGGAAGTGGGGGGGGGGTGGGGAGTCCATCCTTCGTCTGTCAGGACACACGGCGGGATGCGGAACGAGTGGGCAGAATAATGCTGGCCGCAAGGTATAACATCCTCGGGGCACCGGCCACAGTTTCATCCACACCAGTACTTGGGGCCAATTCAACGAAGCATGGTCCAAGGCATCTGAGGGGGAGAACAAGATGAAACCGGCCGGATTCTCGTAGTCATGCCTCACCCAGCAACATAGTTTGTGTTTCTGCTCTGAGGATAAAGCAAGTCGGGGCATCGAAAGGCTGATTCCGGAGGAACAGGCAGGCCCGAGCGCAGATGCTTGGACATGCTGCGGAATCTGGGGGTTTTCCGAAATTAGGGGTACCGTAATGGGGCCCGGGATATTACTACTTGGGGGTCTACTTGAGGGGTCCCCTATGTTCGTAAACCCCCATCTGTTCCGAGACTCCAAAGTGCCTCACAGGTGAAGTTCAACAACAGGATGGTGGACTTTATTCGAGCCGCAGACCGATTGTTGTTGTATGTTGCTTGAGCAACCGCACCAAGCATGGTCTACGAAGGTGTTTGATTGAAACCCGAATCTCTCAATGTCTCAATGATCTCTAACTGTTAACTAATTATATTAAGACTTGACAAAATAAATATCCACGATGATCTCTTGGCCTAATTTTACATTCAACATCTTGAATTTCACCAAAAAGATATTCGAGAGAATGAGATATGAAAAATGAGAGGTTAAGGATTTGAAGCCACGATATCATTTTGAGATTGCTTGTGGTTTTGATTCGGAGGGATTATATTTTATTATCCTTGTATCGAGCGGTAGATGATCATCATCAGAAATCGTATGGTTTTGAAAAATTTCAATCTTGAAGGATATTTTTCGTTTATAAAAGATGGGTAATTGATATTCTTTCTCTGAAGGAAAAATGTTTATCGTGATTGTAGGCCCGTCGTATAGGGGATACGATGATTGATAACTTTTTATGGGGGTTAAAGAATATCCCTATAAAAGGTTACGGGGTCGACCCCTATTTTCGGGAATTTAATCACTTTTTGTCTAAAAATCTTGGGAATTTTGGGAATCATCCGGAGCTGAAAATTCTCGGAATTTTAGGAAT